CTCGTGTGCGAGAGCGGGTATGTGGGTATGTATGGGTATGGGTGTGCCAGGTAGGGTAGAGCGTGATGCCTCGGCTCGGCTCGTGCTGGGCTGGTTTGGGTTAGGAGGTGGTGAGAGCAGCCTGGCAGGCAGCCTGGCAGCCTGGCAGGGAGGGAGAGAGGTACGGAGGTACGAAGTGTGTATGTAGAGACGGGACGAGAGGAGAGATGGAAGCGAGAAATGAGAGGTGAGAGGTGAGAAGTGAGAAGTGAGAAGTGAGAAAATGAGACGAGAGAAGAAGCATGAGGCGTGCTTGTGTGACCGCATAATGCGCGCGCGCGAGGGAAGGGGTTTGTTTGTTAGAGGTGAGTGAGGGCAGTCTACACACACACTTACCATTTACAAACCACACGACGCCGCACCTCCGAGCCGCTCACAAAAACAACCCGGTAAGCAAGCAAGCAGCATCGATCTCGTGACGGCGTGACAAGCTCTTCCTTCGCGGGCGACGGGGGGCACCCTCCTAGAGGCGATCAATCTCGCATAACGAAAACGCGCCAGACAATGACGAGAAGACGGGTCGACGGGGAAGCGATGCTACGTCAGCGCGCGTGCGTCGTGTGCCTGTGCCTGTGCCCGGTGCGTGGGTAAATGCGGAGAGCGAGCGCAAGATACCTGTGCGTACTTGGGTGCCTAGGTAGGCACGGGGAAGTACGGATTAGTACCGGTACAAAGCGGAGCGGAACGAGGACGAGCGGGTGGGAACTAGCTGGATAAGTATAAGTATTGTACGAGTTTGGTACTCGAGTAGGGTCCATGAGTGGGCGGACGGGCGGATTGGGGAGATGGAGCTAGTGTGTGAGTGCCGGCTAAAGGTGTTGGCGGCTGGCGGCTGGGGATTGAGTCAGAGGCAGAGGCAGTGTGGTTTGGACGAGGGCAGGCAGCATGCGAGGCCGAAGGCGTGAATAGGTAGGTAGTCCGTATGTAGGCGTGCGCACAAACATCTGAGTTGTACTGTACTGTACCTCGGTATACACAGCTGGGTATGTACATACCTAGGTATTGCACAAGCACATCAAAGTACCCGCTACACCCCGTCCGTCAGGCCGTCGACCTACTCTACACTTACACTGCCCTCAGCCCACACGCACACGCACAACCCCAACCCCAACCCCAACCCCACACGCCCCCCACCGCCAGAGGACGCAAGGCGCAAGCGCGAACCCCACCACCTCCTCCACCAACACTACCAACGGCGCGGAGTGATCCCACCCACTCGCACACCGAATCCTCGCTACGTACTACGTACGTGCCTAGCCTACTCTAGAGGATGTAGTCGGTAGCCCAGCACCCCCCCACACCGCAGGGCATCCCTACCAGCAGGCCGACCCGTCCCGTCTCGAGTCGAGTCGAGTCAGCTGCCAAGCGGCGGCAAAATGCTGGGGGCGCCACCAACCACCAGTGCGGAGAGCAGGCCGTGAATCATGCATGCTTGCTTGGTACAATAGCGACGTTGCGACGTTGGCGTGGGTGCGTCCGTCGGCCGGGCGGCCAACAAGCTCGGGCGTTTGTGGGGGCGCCGCGTGTGGGTAAAGAGTGATTTACAGGGTCCTGTGGGTGAGAAGTGCCAAGCAGGAGCTGAGGCCAAGACTTTGTTTGCCGACTGCCACTCTACTCACTCCCACGACGTCCTGCCGTGGTCGGAGAGGCGGCTTTGTGTGTATGTGCTTGTTTCATGTACTTGGGTGCTTTGGGCGGCGTGGGTGGCGGGTACAGGTGTGTGTGTGTGTGTGGTGTGTGTACATAGGCAGTGCGACTGCGCACGAAGGAAAACAGAGATGGGCTGGCGTGGGGGTGGTGCGATGGCAGCGGTGGGCGATGATGGAGCTGATGGACGAGGACGCGCGGTGGACGCGGTGGTGGTGTCGTCGCGCGACCTGAACATCCTTTTTCTTCATTTTTTTTTTTTTTATTCGCGCCTCTCCACCATCATCAGCCAGCCAGCCAGCCAACACCACGCCAACGAAACATGTTCGCTGTTTCATTTTCGTCCCAGCACACCATCATGCTTTCCAGAACGCCGCCGTCAGTTTCTCGTACACTGAAGGCGTGCGTCATTGTCAGGCGCTCGCCCGCCCGTCGCCGCCACTTACCTACTTGATCAGCTACCTATGTACGGAGTATGTACATATCCATGTCTGTCCCGTTGTTGCTGCTGGCTGCCTGCAGCAGGACAGCTGCACCTGCAGAGCTGCAGGCGCGGGCGGCAGGGGATCGGATCGGAGCAGGCGGCACGAGCGATGAATGGCCGGCAGGATGAGTGAGGAAAGGGGAGCGAGGCCGCGAATGGCTCCTCCTTCTTCAACACCCGGGCAGCAACAGCAGCAGCAGCAGCGGGAGCTCCGAACGTCGGGCTCCGTTGCCCGCCCCATGTCCACCGCCTTCTAGAAGGGCACACGTGGACGAACTAGATGGTTGTAGCAGGCGCTGGGCGTCCGGCCAGACGCGACAACTCGTGGCCGCGGCGAGGCGAGGGATGCGCATACGCGCGTGGCGGATGCGCACTTGGGGCGTTGGCGCGACGGTTGGGCAAGAGGGCAAGAGGGCGAGAGAGAGCAAGGGCAAGCCTACACGACCTATCGACTTTGTACTCGTATGGTTGGTTCGATGATGGCAGTCGGAGGGACACATAGACACACACACACATACCCCGCCTGCAGTGGGCGCAGAAAACAGCGCCGCCCGCGCCCTCGTTCCTTCTTCCTACACAGGGCCTTTCTACTCCTATCGCTGCCCACTCGGTTGCTGGTCGCCTCGTCTCGTGTAGTAACCCACCGCCTCTCTCTCGTCTCTTGTCCCTCGATCGGCCCGTCTGCCGGGCTAGATTGGGGCGCGCGGTGCAAAGAGCACTCCCGCATCTGGGTTCACACCACTGGCGACTGATCAGTGATCCGCGCCGACTCCACTTCAGTCCGGGCGCGCCCCCGGAGATTGGCCTTACTTTTTGCTCCCCCTCTCAACGCCTCACGATACGTCTGGATAAAAAGTAAGCTACTATTATGCTCATGTGCCCGCCGCACACGAGGCTCCAGCTACTACCACCCGCCACCACTCCACTCCCACTCCCGCCGCCGAAGCTCCCTCCGCCCATGGCCGCCTCGACCACCAGGAGCAAAACCTCGAGTGCAAATTGCGATTGCCAGCCCGCCCTTAATACCTAGCCTTACCGCCTCCCATCCCACCTATCGTCCCGTATCTACCCCTCCCCCGCCACCCCGCCTGCCTAATCCATATGGCTGCCGCCGTGGACACGAACCCCGGAGAGGGCCACCTCCACCACGACCACGACCACGACCTGCACCTCGAGCTGCCGCCGCCGCCGAACCCCTCGTCGGACGCAGGCGTCATCCCCCCGCTCACGACGCCCGAAGAGGATGCGCCGTCGCCGCCCGCCCAGGGAGAATGGGACCCGTCGACACTGCGGCCGGAGACGGCCATGAAGATGCTGTGCCGGGCAGTCGTGGCGCTGGCGAACATGACGGGCGACATACCGCCGACGCCGCCCATCATGCGGCCGTCGCCCAGCCGATGTAGCAGCAGCAACAGCAGCAGCAACACGATGGAGAGCATGGGGCAGCGGCTCGCGCGGCGGGGGTCAGGGCCGCCGACCCCCGTGCCGTCGGACGACCTGCGCGCGCCGTCGTACCGCTACATCGACGTCGGCAGCCCCGAGGCCATGTACCACGAGCCGTCGGCGCGCGACGTGGGCGCCGACGCCGAGAGCGTGCCGTTCCAGCGCGTGGCGATTGCGCGCAAGTTCTTCAGCAAGAAGCCGCCGCCCATCAACCTGCAGGACTACCTGATGCGGCTGCAGCGCTACTGCCCCATGTCGACGGCCGTCTACCTGGCCGCGGCGACGTACATCCACAAGCTGGCGGTCGAGGACAAGGTGGTGCCGGTGACGGGGCGCACCATCCACCGCCTGGTGCTGGGCACGCTGCGCGTGGCCATGAAGTCGCTCGAGGACCTGCGCTACCCGCAGGCGCGCTTCGCCGGCGTCGGCGGCGTGCGCGAAACCGAGCTCCAGAACCTCGAAATCTCCGTCTGCTACCTCATGGACTTTGACCTGCAGGTCAGCACCGAGAGCCTCTACCGCAAGATGCTCTTGCTGCAGCAGGCGGGCGCCCAGGCCGCCATTGTCCGCCAGCCGCTGCCGCCCTCGTTCCAGCCTGTGCTCCCGCCTCCGCGCACCGCCGTCACGGCCTCATAAGCCTTGCCTTCTTCTTTTCCTCTCTGTTGGTCTCCTTTGTTGTCGTCGTCGTTGTCTGCTCTGCCGGTCGTTGTACGGTTAGAAGTCGTCTCTGGCGTCAAGTGCGCGTGTGTCCCTGGGAGAAGAGGTGTTTACGGAGCATCGGTTGGATAAAGGGGAGATACACCAAATTCGCGGGGTTTTTTGTTTTTTTTATTTGCTTTTTGTTTTTGCTTTTTTTGCAGTTTCTTTCTGCCTTGTGCGTGTGTCAGGGGTTGAGTGGACGCGCGGAACAACGGGATCGCGCGCAGCTGCTTACCTATGCATGCCTGGAACGAATCGAACAAGGGATGGACGGATGGGCGGAAAACAAAAATTGAAAAGAGGTGGCAAGGAAGCGCGCGTATGCACGCTCGCATGCACGCTCGCTGCAGAGAGCAGGCTTTGCCTGCCTGCCTGCCTGCCTGCCTGCTTTTTGGGTTGAGTGTGTGGACGTGGACGAGGAGGAAAATATTGTTGTTGTTGGTGGTGGTGTTGGTGTTGGCGCGCGGTGCATCAGATAACTGCGATATATCCAGGTACTACCTACTACTACTGTTACAACTATCCGTACTACTTCTACTACCTCGGCACTAGGTACGGGTTCCGCAATCCGGCTGAGGAAACAACTACGCGTCGTGCGTGAGTGGTCGGGTCTCGTTGCGGGCGGGAAGGCACGGACGGACTCGCACGCCTCCTGGCCCTGCCCTGGCCTACCCTGGCGATCGATCTGCTGCCGTTGGTGCTTGCTTGCTTGCTGCTAACGCTGCTGTGCGAGGGCGGCATGCGCCTGCCTGCCTGCCTGCCTACGCGTCTGGTCAGGAGGCAGGCAGGCAGGCAGGCGCGTTCGTTCCCTTCCTTTCCTGTCTTGTCTCTCTACCTACCTACCTACCTATCTGGCTGGTGGTCTTTGGCCTGACACTGTCGCTACTTACTTACCTACCTAGGTACACAGGTACTCACCTCACCTACCTACAGACGACTCGCAGCTCGACGCCGACGCCGGCAGAAGTTGGGTCCTGCGCGCTTTGTTTGTTTGTTTGTTTGTTTGGTGGGTTTGTGGCACGCTCGCGCGCATACCTACCTGTCTGGTCCACGGGGGGTTGTACGACCTGCGTACTGCGACCTCGTCTGCTGCGGCTGAGACAGCGAGGACGTCGACTCACTGCCTGCCTACGACCTACCTACGCTCATGCTCACGGCTTGCTGCCTCACTACCATTGTCACCACCTCCACCACCACCGCCACCATAGCCAGCACGATGCGCGCCCTCCGCGCCCTCGCTCTCCCGCTCCTCGCCCTCCTAGCCCTGATGACGACGCTCCTCGCCCCGCTCGCGCACGCAGACATCGCGTTCACGTCGCCTGCGGCGGGGGTTACGCTGGTGGTGGGCGGTGACGGCGGCGGCAACGACGGCAGCAACAGCAGCGACGGCAGTGGCGGCAGCAGCAGTGGCGGCAGCAGCAGTGGCAGCAGCATATACATCGCGTGGAAGGAGAGCGGAAGCGCGCCGGCGATGGAGTTGCTAAGGGAACGGCCGTATGTGCTAGAGCTTTGTGGGGGCACGGATGAGGAGTGGGTTGTGCTGAAGACGTTTACGAGGAGCGGGGATTTTGGAGAGGGGGATGAGTTTGTGGGTGTGGTTGAGGTTGAGGGGGGTGAGGGAGGGGAACTAGGTGGAGGTGAGGGGGACGGGGATGGGGGGGTGTTGTGAGTGTTATTTTTCTTTCTTTTTTGTTTTGTTGTTTTGTTTTCTCCATCCCCAACCCTCACCTTTGCAGTCTCCACGGCACAAGCAAGCGTTGTCTTTTCAATGGAACAAGGCAAACGAAGCTAACGCACCGCAAACAGTTTTCTGCGCATGACCACCTCGACCGCCACAGGCCAGTCTGTCACGAACTTCTCGCCGCGCTTCTCGCTCCGCGGCCTGCGTGGGACTTGGCCGGAGCGCGTTGCGCGTGCGCTTGCGGATAACCCTGTGCGTGGTACAAAGGGGCCGCCGGACGTGAACCCCTTTGTTGAGGGGCTGGGGGCAAGGCAGGCTGTCGTGCCTGGCGCTGCGGCTGCTGCTGGTGCTGGTGCCGCTGCTGGAGCTGGAGCTGGAGCTGGTGCCGCCGCTGTGCCTGGTGCTGCCGCTGTGCCTGGCGCTGCAGCAGCAGGAGGAGGAGGAGGAGCCGCAGCCGGAGCCGGAGCAGTAGGCGCAGGCGGCGCCGCAGCAGCAGCGCCCGCCACGGCCGACGACGCAGCGAGCTACGAGAAGACATACACGGCGCAGACGGGGGCGACGCGGTACGCGCCGATGCAGAAGGCGCCGGGGACCAAGATCACGCGCAAGAGCGCGCGCATGCAGTACCCGACTAGCGCGATTGTGGGGGGATATTACACGACGTTTGCGGGGAAGCCGGATGCTGCGACGACGATGACAAGGAGCCAGACGGCGAGTTGGAGTAGTGGTGAGAATGAGGTGAGTTGTTTTTTGTTTTTATGATTTTTTGTGTTGTGGTTTGTTGGTTTGTTGGTTTGTGGAATGGTGGTTGGCTGATGAGACGCGTGTACCTAGGCTTCTGCGGCGCCGATGCCTGCGGATGATATGGCGAGGCTTTTGGCGCGGTGGAAGGACTAGGCCGTGTGGGTTGAGGATGGGATGGGTGGTGTGCTGTGTGCGGTGGCAGCATTTGTCTCGGCCTTCACGACGACCTCCCTCCCTAAGTACGTGCTGTACTGTACGATGATGGATGGCATGGCTATTGAACGAGGTGGAGTATTGCTTTGGCTTTGACTTCTCTTCTTTTTGCTTTTACTTTTCCGATTCCATGGCTGGCGGTAGGCAGGTGGAGCATCGATCGATGGATGGATGGATGGATGGACGAATGGACGGGCAAGCGGGGAGTAAGACGGGAGTAATATACCTATACCTATACCTACTTACTTACTCAGATGACGCGGGAGTAAATGAATCAAGGAAGACGCTACCTTAAGCCTCTTGCTTACGGAGGTGGGGAGTACGAATTGGATTGAATATATATTTGTAGTGTTAATGTCTCAGCCTGCTACTGGGATGGGGCCGTGAAGCCACGACTTGAGTGTGTGTACTGTGTGATGAAGAGGTCGGAGTCGAGAAGTAGAGTGGAGACGCACAGATCGCTCGCTCTGGGATTGCTCAGAGCTCGCTCGCGAAGAAACGAACGGACAAACAAAACAAACCTCGGCCACGAAATTCCCCCACCAGCAACAGCATCAGTACCACCAGCAGGGCGTGCAAGGAGAAGCTTCTGTTTGCCTGCGTGCTGTAGGTTGCTAAGTCCCTAGCTGGCTGCGGTATACATAGTAGCCATTGGCTTGTCCTATAGGTACGGGCTGTAGGTAAGGTAGTCGGACACCTAGATGTTGCTGTTGCTGGCCCGACAGCTCGGCCGCGGCGGTCTCTGCCCCACCTTGTCAGTGCCAGTGTCATCCCACCTTCGCCAACCCCACCGACTTCGATCTGCTGCTGCTTCTTCACTGCCACTGCCTCTCCTGTCCTTGCAACCGCAACAGCTACCTCAGGCCTCGCAACAGCTACGCCAGGCCTCGCTGCACTCGCAATCCTCGCTCCGCTCGACCCGCGGATTCCATACCTCGACCGCCCGCACCGCCGCCGCCGCTGCGCGCCCGAACTTTGCCGACTTGAAACAGCGCCGTGCGTTATTGCAGCGCGTGAGCGAGTATCGAGAGAAGAGGGACGGGAATAGTTCTGCTGCCACCGGCTCCGTCGCAAGCTCCGTCGCCATGTCCATCGCCAAGCCGCACGTCCGCGACGTGCTCAAGGGCAAGTACCCCGCCAAGACGCACGCGCGGCGCGTCGCGGACTGGATCCGGGAGAAGGGCGCCAAGGACGGGATTGTGTATCTGGAGGGGCAGAAGACGCGCATGAACGAGGACAATGACCAGGAGCAGCCGTTCCGCCAGCGCCGCTACTTCTACTACTTGTCCGGCTGCGAGGTCCCGGATTGCTCGCTTGCCTATGATATGAAGAATGATAGGACCACGCTGTTTGTCCCCCCGATTGATCCTGATGAGGTTATTTGGTCCGGCTTGCCGTTGAGTACGCAGGAGGCTTTGGAGAGGTATGTGGATTCTTTTTTTTTATGGGAGGCTTCTTTCTATTTCTCTTGATATTCTTTGCTTCCCTGGATCAATTCTTCGTTTACTTTCCTTCCAACTCCCGCCATTTCCTTCACTGCTGACTCCCATAGGTATGAGATTGATGACTGCAAGACGTCCGCCGAGGTCAATGCGTACCTTTCCAGCTCTGATACTCCCAAGTCGATTGTCTACGCCATCAACAACCAAGTCTCCGACAACGTCACCTTCCTCCCCTTCAACGAAGCCAACATGGATCTTTTGAAGACGGGTATCGAGGAGTGCCGCGTGGTCAAGACCCCCTACGAGATCGCGCTCATCACGCACGCCAACACCGTCTCGACCGCCGCGCACACGGCCGTCATGGCCGCCGCCAAGTCCGCCACCAACGAGCGTGAGCTCGAGGCCATCTTCCTCAAGACGTGCGTCGAGCGCGGCTGCCGCAACCAAGCGTACAGCTCCATTGTCGCGGGCGGCACCAGCGCCGCAACGCTGCACTACGTGCGCAACGACCAGCCGCTCACGGGTAAGCTGAACCTGCTCGTCGACGCGGGCGCGGAAAAGGACTGCTACGCGTCGGACATCACGCGCACGTACCCCATCAACGGCAAGTTCACACCCGAGAGCCGCGCCATCTACGACATCGTGCTCGGGATGCAGAAGGAGGCGATCAGCGGGCTCAAGGCAGGCATCAAATGGGACGACGTGCACGCGCAGGCGCACCGGAGCGCCATCGCGGGGCTGCTGCACCTCGGGATCCTCAAGGGCGACGCCGACGCCATCTTCGCGGCCCGCACGAGCGTCGCGTTTTTCCCGCACGGCCTGGGCCACTACCTGGGCATGGACACGCACGACTCGGGCGGCCGCGCCAACTACGCCGACAAGGACACCATGTTCCGCTATCTGCGGGTGCGGGGCACGGTGCCCGCGGGGGCGGTCGTGACGGTCGAGCCCGGCATCTACTTCTGCCGCTTCATCATCGAGCCGTACCTGAAGGACGCGAAGCACAAGGCGTTTATTGACGAGGCGGTGCTGGAGAAGTACTGGGAGGTTGGCGGCGTGCGCATCGAGGACAACATTCTGGTCACCGAGGACGGGTATGAGAATTTGACGGATACGCCCAAGGAGGCCGCCGAGGTCGAGGGCATTATCGTCGGCTGACGCCTGTACATATAGTACTGTGTACGTGCGAGGTGGAAACCTTGCCGCCATCTCCAAATAGCATATGCGCACATGCAGCGCCTAGGCACTCTTGCAGCAGAACGAAAAGCCAAACTGCCCTCTATTTCCTATCCTATCCTACCCCTCCCTTCCCTTCCCTTCCCTTCCCTTCCCTTCCCTCCCATCTGCTCCTCGACACGTACCTAAACCAAACCACGCCCGCGTGCCAGGCCCTGCCTTACTTACTACATCTCCCTCGCCCCAGCCACGCGAGCGAGCAACCAAGCAACCAACCATGCAAGCAACCAAGCAACCAAGCAACCAAGCAACCAAGCAACCCAGGCTAGCGAACCCAGCCTGGAGCAGCAATGCCGTTCCACGCGTAGGTGCTGAGGTACATAGGTAGTAAAGGGCAGTAGGTACATGGTTGGGTTAGGTTGATAGAGGTGCCTAGGTAGTTAGTACCCACGCGTGCACTACCAGACAGCCTCATCACTCATCACGCATCACGCATCACGCATGACTCATCGCCGCGAAAAAAAAAAAAAAAAAAAAAAAAAAAAAAAATCCATCCATCATATCACGCAACGCAGTTGATAATGACTACCTTAAGTTTCGCTGCTTATGCGCAACCTCTCTCCTCTCAACCCCCCCTTCGCACCCCACCTACCACCCGCACCCCCACGCACACACCCCATCTACCACCCTCTCTCCACGCACGCCCTACCACCATCCCACCTACCACCCCCCGCCCCTGACCCAGCCTCCCGCAACCCCCAAGCCCCGGAAAAGCACGCGCACCGGCCACCCCGTGGCCCAGAGCGCCTCGCCCACGGCGCCGACGACGCGGAACGCGTTCAGCGCGCACCAGAGCAGGAGGAGGAACTTTGCGAGGGCGAGGGGCGTGGGGAGGGGTGGTGGTGTGTGTGTGTGTTTTGCGTTTGGGTGTGGGGTGCGTGCTTGGGTGTGGCGTGCGCTTTGGCGTGGTGGAGCTGGCGCTGCTGTGGTTGTGGACGTGGCGGGGGTTGGGACTGTGGTGGTTTGTGCTGAGGGATTGTTGGTTGAGGCTGTTGTGGTGGAGCAGTGCCGTGAGCGCTGCCGAGCAGGGAAGAGGCACGACAGCCGGCGCCGTTTCTTGCTTGTTGTTGTTGTTGTTGGTGGTGGTGGTGGTGGTGGTGGTGGTGGTGGTGGTGCGTTTACCTGCTGTTGCTGTTCTAGCCGTGGCTCTGGCTGCGGAGGCAGGGGTGGGGGCGGAGGTGGAGGTGCGCGGGCGGGCTGGGGTGGGTTCGTGGTTTGGGTAGGTTGGGTAGGTTGATGCAGCTGAGCAGAAGTCGCCACATCCCCAATTTCTCGAGCCTGAAGACGAACCTCTCGCCTAGCCTCCGCGCCCGACACAACGACGAGGCGCTGGACGCCGGTGCCGTAGAGGCGGGTTCGCTCGCGCGGCGACGCGTGCTGTGTGCATGAAGGCGCGGGCGGGGTAGGCGTGGCCTGGTAGTGCTGAGGGCGCGGATGCTGCGCGGCCGGCGCATTTGGTGGGCGCAGACGGGGCGGGATCGGAGGAGGGGGCGCTGCTGTTGCTACTGGCGCTGCTGCTGGTGCTGGTGGTGTTGCACCTGCGTCCACGCCAGGCGACGGCGTGGGATTGAGCCTGATTCCAAGACCCGCGACAGGCTGTCTATGCGGCGGCAGAGACGGAGGCTCGACGGGCGCAGAGCCGGCGACGTCCCTGTAGCTTGTGTAGCTAGCGCCTGCAGTGGTAGCAGCAGCAGCAGCAGCAGCAGCAGCAGCGGGGGCGGTGGCGGCGGCGGCGGCGGGGATGGCAGTAGAAGCGGAGGCTGTAGGAGCAGGGCGCGCAGCCCCAACCGCAACCTCAACCCCGTTTCCAAGCGGATAAGGCAACGGCGTGCCGGTGTCGCGCGCAGCGAGGAGCGGTCCCTCTTGCGGACAAAGTCTGCTCGTGCGGGGGTAGGGACAGGACGCCTGCCGCAGCAGCGCGCCCTCCTCGCCTAGCGACGCAGGCAGCTCAGCCGGCAGCTCAAACACCTGCCTGTTCTGCACCGTCGTCCACGTCGCGATAGCATCGGAGCCAGTGCTCGTCTTCAGTCGATGCATCGTTGGACGTGTAAGGGGGCGTTGCCATTGCCCTTGCTCCTGCCGTTCTTGGCCGTCTCGCTCCCACTCCCGCTGTTGGTGGTGCTGATGTATTTGCACCTGCGTCGAACGCGACCCCGTCGATGGCGATGGCGGCGTTGGCGGCGTTGCTCCCGCCAGCGCGTCCGCTGTCATGCTGCGCAGCATGTCGGGGTCGAAAGCCGCAAAATGCGTAGGCGGGAGGTCGAGCGCGGCGCGCGAGCGGGGTGTTTGTGATGGGTGAGAGGGAGGCGGAGTGGGGGATTTAGGGGGAGGTGGTGGCGGCAGTGGCGGTGGCGGTGGAGTTTTTGGTTTTCGATAGTGGTGGTGCTGTTGTTGTTGTTGGTGGTTGTTTTGATGTGGAGGTTCATGTTGAGGCTGGTGTTGAGTTGTCTGGTGATGAGGTTGATGGTGACCATGCCGGTTGAACGATTGGTGGGCGCGCAAGTGGGAGTGGGATTGCGAGCGCGGCGGCGCTGGAGGAAAGAGCTGGCTCACCCAGGCGCCGCCTTTTCTCCTCTCTCTCCCCTTCTCTCTCGACAAAGCCCTTCGTTCATGTCCTTGCTCTTGCTTTCGCTCCTCACTCAAGCCAGTCTCCACTGCCATCCTACCCACGTCCATTTCCACCTCATCCCCTCTCTCCTGCTCATGCTCCCCACTAAAACTCAACACGCTCGGGCTCATTTCCCCAGTATGTGGATTTGGGTTCTGCACCGTGATGAAGTCGCCCGTATGCCTGATACTCGTCCCCGGCCTCCCATGCGTCGGATGCACGTACGGCGCGAGCTCCTCACCTGACGTCGACGACGAGGTAGACCACCTTCTCCGATTAAGACGACGGCCCCGTCTGGCTTCTTGGTGGTGGGCGTAGCCAGGTTGCAAGAACCCGTTATCCTCTTCCTGGTGCTGTTGTCGCCGCCGCAGCTGTGGCTGTTGTTGCTGCTGCTGCTCTCCCGCAACTGAAGACGAGAAAATGCGCCTAACCCGAACCCTCAAGCTGTTACTTCTGCGCAAAGCGGGGACTGAAGGAAGAGGCGGACTAGGCGGCTGGATGGCAATCGACGGGATTTGAACAGCTTGATGCTGCTGCTGCCGGTCGCGGTGCTGGAGGCGTTGACGGCGGCGCGGCCGGGCCTGGAATGCTGCGCCAGCCGGGGCAGGGATTGCAGAATGCGGTGCGGGGCGCGCCATGAGTGCGACGCGAGGCTGTACTGTGCGTGCTGGGGAGTGCGGAATGGAAGCCCTTCCGGCTTGTTTCGAGAAGCAAAGCTGCTGCGCTTCTGCGCTGCGCGGTGTTGGGCTTGGAACTGGTGTCAGTGGTGGTGGTGGGGGAATGCATGGCAGGGAGAAGGCGTACCAGCAGCGACAAACGCGTGCATACAAGTGTACGTCTGCTTAAGCAGATACCGAGTCGAGGGATAGATGCCTCGATAGCCACGAAGAGCCGTGCAAACCGACAGACCGCGAACGCATACAGTCAGTAAGTTCTGCAGCCCAACTCTTCCCCAAAGCCACGCCGGCCGCCCGTCTCTTATAGCTATGTGCAGATTTGACTTTCGCCCATGAAGGTACCGGCAAAGCGTAGTATTCTCCACACAAGACAGCGGAAGACGAAACGTCGCCAGTCAACCAGTCAGTCAGAACTCTACTCGGGACCCAACCCCAGGTCCTCAAAGACTAAACCCCATCACTGACGTCTCGTCACCGAGCCTAAGCCTCCGAAAGCGGTGCCCGTGTAGCGGGCGGTAGCCCAGTGCGTGCGCACCCGTGCAGAGCCATGGTTACGCGCGCGCAGCGCACCGAACCGGCCGCAACGGTAGTCGTGGGCGGAAAAACGACAAGCGTTCTTTTTTTCTTCTTCTCTTTTTCCGGACAAGGTCGCGCAGAAAAAACAACAAAAAACGAAGAAAGAAGAAGAAAGCGGCGACGGTGTTGCTGGTGGTGATGACGATTGACGACAAAGAGAGCTTGGTCGACGTACTGCATGCAGATTATTTTCCGTCCTTCCCGCGCCCCTCTTGGCTCCAAACTACGTAGTACAAGTTATAGTATGTACGGCGCAAGCCGCCAGTACCTAGTTCCTTCCCCCCTAACCAACCCCAACGCCGAGACGCCATCGCTGTGCCTTTTCACAACTGAAACCCTGTGAATTTTGATAGTCACTGCTGCCGCCGAAAAAAAGTGCCAGTCAGCCAGACGGGCAGGCAAGCAGGCATGCAAAAGCCGCCGCCTACCGCCCGACGGGGATGCCATCCTTCGTCCAGCCCTTGCTCTTCATGCTGTGCTCAATCGCACCCCAGATCTGCTCTACGACCTCCCTGTCGCGCCATCGGCCCGTCGTCCCCTGGTTCGCCATGTACTTGTCGACCTGGACGGTCATGACGCCGCGACCCCAGCCGCGCACCGTCTCGGGCACCGTCTCCCCGCGCCAGCCCACGTACACGCCCAGCGCGTGGCTGAACAGGTCCGCGGGCTGCGTCCACTTGTACGACTTGAACTGCCACGTCTGGCCCGTCGTGAAGACGGCGACAACGCGCTGCCAGTAGTCGGGCTTGAATTGGTCGAGCGAGTCAACCAGGATGAAGCGCATCGGCCGCGTAGGGTCGATGCTGGGGAGGGTGCGGCTAAGCTTGAGCAGGTTGGAGGCGCTGCCCGCCGAGGCGGAGTCCGCGGGGATGTAGAGGCCGCCCTCGAGGAAGGACTTGATGTTCGTCATGCGCAGCAGTGACGAAGCAGAGGGTGACAGAAGGATGATAGGATCGGGACGGCGTCCGCTGGGCTTCTTCAGGTTCGAGACAAGCGCCGGGTTTGTCACGTTGTTGAGCGGGTTTGGCGCCTGAGCGTGCCCGCGCTTGTGATGGCCGAGGAAGGCCGCCGCGTTCTTGCGGATATGCGAAAAGTCCTGTTATGCGTTAGACTGTCCATACAGATCACCACCAGCCACGAAACCTACCGTAGGCTTGATGCCCCTCAGTACGCTGTTCCTGTCGCCCATCCTCCGCTCGCCATTGTAAATCTCCAACAAACGGGGGTCCGGCTGCGACTTGCCCGCCTTCGGGGCACCGCTCGGCACCGTAGCAATGCCACCCGTAGCACCCGCCGCGATGTTGGATGCGCTCGTCGCCGCCGTGGCCTCGGGGGCCAGCGGCTTGATGTTCTCGCTTTCATCCGAGCCGCCCTCCAGCCAGGTGATGAGGTCCAGCTTCTCGGCGAAGACCAGGTTCTTGACCGCGCCACCTGCGCCGCCCGGCGCTTCCAGCTCCTCGTTTAGCCGCTGCGTCGCCGTGATGTACTCGGGCACCGCTGCATCCTTCTTTTGCCAGGTGAAGTAGACGCTGCGCAGGTCGATTGGCTGCCCCGATGACACAAAGCGCGTCGGCGTGTTCAGCGCGATCGATCGGTGCTTGCCCTCTTCGTGGTTGAATTGGAGGTAAGTCGCTTTGGCCAGGTTATCCTCTGTGTCCGCAGCGCTGGACGCGTCGGCATTGGTCGTGGGTATCGGGGGCTTGTTGGCGGCAATCGCTTGGCGGAGGTTCAACAGAGGGTCGTTCTCGGCCATTGTGGCGGTTATGCGACGGAGACGGCTCGAGTGGCGAGAGTTGTAGACGGGTGGTGGAAGGGCGTGAAGGGTTGTGATGGATGGTGTTCAGTAGCTCAGTAAATCGAGCTCTCAACATCGGTCGGAGGTTCAAACGGCCGATGAGCGCATATCCGGGTCGGTTCGCAGTGATCAGGTCATCCACTCGAACGACATTGGATGATGAGTGTGGGTGGATAGCAAGGACATAAAGAAAAGTATACATTCCCCGTTCACACCCTCACATCTCCCACTGAAGCTCTAACATAGCCCTATCTAACACTTTCATAGATACTGTAGCGAAATTCCAGCGTGGATAGCCCCTGTCCCAACACTACTTACTCCAGCGGCAACCCCGGCGTCGTCGGCCTGCTCCTCTCCGTTCTAAAAAATGCCACGTTCTCCCTCAGCGCCACATACTCACTATCCGCATATCCTAGAATCTGGTGAATCTGGGTGCTCCTCATTCCCCGAATGCGCTTAATCTCGGCCGCCGAGTAATTGACAAGGGCCCTGCCCGCCTCAAACGGAGCGGGGTCTTCCCTCTCAAAGCCCGTCGCCGGGGCCGACGGCGTCTCCGTCCCCGCATCATGCTGCCTCGACGCAGCGGTCCGCTTCACGACGATAATGCGCACGGCCTCCTGCTGCGCGAAGTGACCCTCAACGTCGACGACGCCGACAGGCAGTAATCCCGCCTTGTCTGCCAGCGCGTTATACGCACCCTCGTCGATGTACAGCTTGCCATGCGGAGCGAGGCCATGCAGCAGCCAGAAGTAGCGGTCGCGGATCGGGTGTGGCTGCGGCAGGAAGCGGGTGTGGAGGGGTGCGACGAGGCCGTTCGCCGGGTCGACAATGGGCGGCTTGTTGCCCGTCTCGGCTTCGTGCTCGACAAGCGACGCGGTGCTGAGTTCCAGGGCGTTGGTCTTCTCCGCGAGCTGCGCTTCCGTGCCTGGCGTTGTAACCTTGCTTGCTGCGGAGCTGTCCTCCAGCGTCTTTTGTGCTTCGGCGTACTGCACGATGCTGTGGATGTTGCCGGGCTTGGAGGAGCGCGTGATTACGGTCGTGACGCCCGCGGATGTTGCTAACCGCGCCGCTACAATCTTTGTGGACATGCCGCCCGTTCCCAGCGAGGAGCCGGCACTTGACACATCGGCCACCAGGTCCGCAATGTCCTCGACGACCTCGATAGGCTTGGCGTCGGGATTTGTGCGGGGGTTCTTGTCATACAAGCAGTCCACGTCTGTCATCAAGAACAGATAGTCCGCCTGTACCATAGCCGCAGTGATAGCGGAGAGGGTATCGTTATCGCCAAACTTGATTTCCGACACTGCCAGCGTATCGTTCTCGTTCACGATGGGGATGACGCCCATGTGCAACAGCTCGATAAACGTGTTCTGAGCATTGAGATACTGTGTCCTATCCGCGATGTCGTTCCTCGTGAGCAGGATCTGGGCGACGGGCTGGTTCATGTGCGAGAAGAGCTGGTCCCAGAGGCTCATCAGGCGACACTGGCCGATCGCGGCCAGCGCCTGGACCTTGGGCAGGTGTTTGGGACGGCGTTCGAGGTCCATACGACGCAGAGCGACGCCAATGGCGCCCGAGGAGACGAGAACGACGCGGTGCCCATCTTTGTGCAGCTTCACGGCGGTTTCGACTATGGTGCTCAGGATGGAGAGGAGCGGCTCATGGGTCTTCTCATCGACAATGGATGACGTGCCTGCGGTGGTGTTAGTGGATCTTCAGATGCAGGTACGGGGTACGTTTGTACAGGCAGTGCTGTACCGAGCTTGATTACTATTGTAAGATGCTTCTTCATCTTGGATCTCTTGGTCTGGCGACTCAATGCCAGCGGCCGCTGCTGTTGTTGCGGGTTATGACTCTCCGCTGCGACGGCCGACATGACTCGGAAGGCCGACGTCGCCCAAGACCCGGTCGAATTAGTCGTGGCCGATTTGCAACTGTACGAACAGCTTCAAGTGTAGCTGGAACGGATCTCTTCGTACCGCTGATAGGATCCAGTTCAACAGCGACCGAATGGATTTCCGTTCGGACAGCGTACAGCGCCTCCTGAAGGCCTGCATCTCTCCAATATAACTGCATGATGAAAGCGGACATGACTAAGTCCGCCATGCACTTTTTGACAGACCGCCTTGCGGAGATCCCTGCGTAATCACCATCTCGGAAAGCATAGGGCGCGACGGCATCCTCCCCGCTCTATCCCACGCCTCTTCCCCGTCGAGGAAACACAGCAATCCCGCCAGATCCGGCACCCCATCGCCCGCACGCAGCCGCAACCATGGCCGAAGCAATGGAGCCCGAGCAGCAGCCGCGCATCACCGCACCCAGCACCGAACCCGACCAGAGCTTCTACACATGGCGCAGCTTCTTCTCGATCCTGTCCGGCCAAGCCACGCCCGAGGAGCGGCGGCAGTATCTCCTAACGCGCGACATTCTCAATGAAGAGCGCGACATCAAGCGCGTCGAAGAGCACCGCGACTTCCTCTTCCAGTACAGTACGCCACCCACGCACCCACAGCACAACTCGCTGCGAGGTCCTCGCGCTAACCCGCTGTCCCCGTAGGCCCCATCGTGCGCTTCATGCGCGAGGAGATCCAGAAGCTTGGCGGCGATATCAATCCCTCGAACGTGCGCTGTCGCCGCTGCACCACGCCTCAGGGCGGTGGCATCGACAAGGACTACGGCATCCTGCTGTGCGCGAACCATATGCGCAACCGTGGACATGTCGAGGATACGATTGCGCATGAAATGGTCCACGCGTACGACTATCTGCGCTTTAAGGTCGACCGCTGGAACTTGCGCCATCAGGCCTGCACTGAGGTATGAAGAGATAAACCTGTTGGTGATGGTGGTGGTGTTGCGGTCTTGCCAGCATGGATGATAGATGGCTGACCATATATGTGTGCAGATTCGCGCCTCGACGTTGAGCGGAGAATGTAGGTTTACGCGTGAGTTCTTCACCAGGAACCAATGGAGCATCACGAGCCAGCTCCAAGAGTGCGTGCGCCGGCGAGCCACTCTGTCGCTGATGGCGCGGCCGGGCGTCAAGGATGACGTGCATGCGGCCCGCCTCGTCAACGAAGTCTGGGACAACTGCTTCGTTGACACCAGGCCGTTTGACGAGATCTACAAGTGATTCATCTTCGACACGGGACGCGGCGGACTTGAATATTTCTAAAATTCCGAGATGTATCTTTGGAAGACGATTCGTTGTATCATTTACCTATTGCATAGCGCCGGCGTTTGTATGTTCAAATGCCAATACCAGGGATCAATCCAACTCCTTTCCTTCAACTCCGTCCGTCCCACCCGCTGATTAGTATCATTCTCCGCTTGAACGCCATAAAAAAAACAAGAGCCAAGATCGGCTCAACCCAATAATCTTACAGAAGAAGCGTTAGAATAAATGGCAACATCCCAGCCGAACTGCTAGATCACTCTAGTCATCGGACTTGTCGCTCGTCCGGCTCTTGCTAGATTGGCCAGAGGTCCGCAAGTAGCTGCGCTCGCCCTTGACGCAGTGTTTGATGATCCAAGGGTGCTTCTCCACCTCCTCAAGCGGAATGCGCTTCTCTGGGTCCAGAACAAGCAACTGCAAATTCCGTTAGTAAATCGAATGAAAACGCCGATTCAGTTGAACTTACTCTCTTGATAAGGTCTCTCGCCTCCGGGCTAACAAAGCTCGGAACAGTCATCTCGCCTCTGGCGATCCTGCGCTGGGTCATGACCGGGGTATCCTCGAACGGCGCCTCGCCAACCAAGAACTCGTACATCAAGACGCCCAGACTCCAGAGGTCGACCTTCTCGCTGTAGTAGTTCTCGGAGCTGCCAGGCTTGATCATCTCAGGAGGCAAGTAGTCGAGAGTGCCGCACATGGTGTTGCGGCGGTTGTTGGGCGCGTGGACGCTCCAGCCGAAATCCGAGATTTTGATCTCGCCGTGGATGCCAACAAGGATGTTCTCCGGCTTGATATCGCGGTGCATGACGTGCTTCTTGTGAAGGTACTTGAGGGCCGCAGCCATCTGCGCGATGTACTGCGCCGACTTCCACTCGGGGAAGCGCTGCTCCTTGCGAAGATGCTTGTACAACTCGCCACGGCCGGCAAACTCCAGGATTAGGAAAATACGTTTCGAGTCGTGGAAGTGGCCGTACAGGCGCAGAATATTAGGGTGGGCTAGGTTCGACTGGATCTCGATCTCTCGCCGCACCTGCTTCTCGACCTTGCCCTGCTGCAATTCCGACTTGTGCAGGACCTTGAGCGCGCACACAAAGCCCGAGTGCCGCTCCTTGGCAAGGTACACCCGTCCGAACTTGCCCTTGCCGAGAGGCTTGCCAATTTCGAACATGTTGAGGTTGAATTGCTTGGGTGCGGTGGGCTGCTTGTAGAGCACGGTGTCGGAGCTCCGTTGCACGAGCTCGTCGGATGGCCGCGACTCGGTCCGGTTGTGCTGGGCGGCTTGCGACGGGAGGGTGACTTTGGTGATCGTGTTGCTGCTGTATGCCTTGGGTGCGCTGGGGTTCTGTAACCGCTGCAGGGGAAGCTTCATGCGGTTGCCGTTGGTTGCCGTTGAGCCGAGTCCGGTGAGGTTTACTGCAGTCGAGAGCGAACCCTGAGCTGGATTAATGGTTGCTCAATACACCTAGAGCGAAGCTTCATACCTTCGACTTGTGGTAGGCGCCGGGGATCTTGGAGGATTGGACGTCCTCGTTTTCATCGTTGATGGAAAAGCGCTCGAGAGCGCCTTCGAGGGTTTTGGTTGCCATGATGTGCGTGCTTGTGTGAAGGATAAGAATGCGGGACCAAGGTGAGATGGCAGTCTGGTAGTAAAGTGGGTCTGGAAGTGTTTGTGCGTAGAATTGGGAAGTGTCGTCCTTGACGATGAGAAGAGGGAGCGGCGGCGCAATTGTAGGACGTTGTGTTTTCGTCTGTTGCTACGGGAACACTCAATCGCCCGAACATCAGCCGCATGACCTCAGCCCCGCAGCCCGCGCGAAGCCCCGCGACACGCACGCTTCATCTGTCGACGTGATAACTATACACGGATCGGGATCGTTGAGCACTGGTGCCTGTTGCGACAATGAATGCCCACTTCCCGTCTCCTGCCGACCAGGGCAACACGACCACTCAGGCCGGCTGGAAAATCACCACGCGCAAGCTGCCGATATTGAAGGCTGGCCCTATCGAGGACATGACAAACAAGCTGGGCATTGCGCCGCCGGAGATGATATTTGGAGATAACCTCATCCGCTTGGAACATGTTGCGACTGGCTGGAACATAGAGTTCAACGCGTTCGATGCGCTTGACCGCGTCGACAAGACGGGCGGCTCGATGCTCCAGGTCGCATACTCTAAGCAGTGGCAGCAGAACAGGTGAGGAGTGCATGCGGCCCGAAGTAGAATGGCCTGTTGACTTTGTGCAAGACAACACCACGCGTCCGACATCAAAGAGGTAGTCAAGCCCTTCGACTGGTCCTACAGCACCGACTACACCGGCACCATCCATGCTCAATCCTCGGAATCGCCTTCTTTCCAGCCCAGCGATACGCCAATCCCTGTCGAGCTGCTCAAGCGGCCGGATCCCATCCTTTTCTTTGACGACCTTGTGCTGTACGAGGATGAGCTGGCCGACAACGGCATCGCCATGCTTTCCTGCAAGATCCGCGTCATGCCGGCCCGTCTGCTGCTGCTGACCCGGTTTTTCCTGAGGCTCGACGACGTCGTCTTCCGGATCCGCGATACTCGGGTTTTCGTGGAGTTTGCGACTGGTGACGTCATCAGAGAGTATACGGCCAGAGAAGAGAAGTTCGACGTTGTTAAGAAGAGGCTCGCCATCACGAGGGAGGACGTCCCGGCGCTGATGCGCGACGCGAATCGCTTGGTCGAGCTGCTACCTGTCGTGGAGCATCGCTTGGAGAAGTGCATCGTGAAGTGAGGGCATACAACCGGAGACGACGACAGTGGAATGTCCTGCCGCTACGACTGGGCCTCCATGTGCAACAAAGCCGCGGAACAAGGCGCGTCGGGCAGCGGTAGTGAGTTGAGCCTTGAAAATACCTCGAGGCACAGCCGGTTGTGAATCTGAGCAATTATCGGCTCTCGATCTGGCCAAGAACTGCTTCACGAGTTCGCATAACCTTCGTTGGATGCGACTGCTCACGAGCCGCGGATAGGAGGGCGTGTTCTCTTGAACCCTACCACCAGGAACTTGAATCCGGTAGTGGCGAACCAGCAGCCGTGAAGCAGAACGCGGTATGTACATGAGCACCACATGAAGCCACCCCATCCAAGTCGTACGCAGACACGTTGTAGAGTCGCAATATAAATCTCTGAACCACGGTAGCCAGTGTGCCACATGTTTCTTCGCGTGTGTCCTCCGGTTCGCACATTTATCAAACCCATCAGTTCTTGCCTCGAACGAAACCACTGACCACAATTCCATGTCTCTTGTCTCTGTCTTTCCCGCGGTAGCAATGGTTCGCTTTTGCCCGCTACCGTTCTACAATACAGCTACATGGGTATAGCCACGTCTTGCAGAATATATGGGAGAGCATATAAACCCCGCTCTACCGCCTGCGCTCAAGCCTCCATCACGGCTTCGCCGGCTCAGCACAGAAACGCGGCAACAACCACAACCGCAACTCCAGCCTCAGTCCCCGATTCCAGCAACTCAACCACTGCGACAGCACTAGCTCAGTCTAATCCTCTACCTCTCCATCCTCCTCAAACCAAACCCAAATCCAACCGCACCACACACTAAACCATGGCTTCCCCCCACGACTCGGCCATCTCCCTCCTCTCAGAACGAAACATCCCATCACCTCCCCCTGTAGCTCCCCCTGTAGCTACAGCTGCAGCCGCAGCCGCAGCCGCAACTGCAGCAGCGCTTACAACCCCAGCTGAAGTGAGGCGCGGAACCCTCCGGAGGCTATGGGAATGGATTTCTGGGTGGTTTAGGTAGCGCTAGCCGTTGGGTATCTATCCTAAATCCGCTTGTCATTGCGATGGAGGGCCGGTTCAAGGGCGTTGGCTCCTTCGGTCGGTCTGGTACTGTTAAACGCATCCGTTAGCCCTGGTGCGGATATGGGGCTCTTACCGGAATTATGAGGGAAGAAGGGTCTTAACTGATTCTCGGCGCGCCTCCTTGGACGGATGGAGGCTGTGGACTGCGCTTCTGTGACTGGCGCCCGAGACTTGTGGAGGCTTCTTGTCCTGCTGCATTCCCGCCATACGCACTTCCACCCGAACGCGCACCGATAGAACAGACGGGCCCGACACTCATCTCTGTGTTTTGTCTGCTGTGCAAAGAGACTGGATCATTGTTCGTTGTATGTCCTGTTTTCCTCGCGCTATTGGCAAGGGTCATCCTGACTGCTGTTCGAAGCAACTGCGCTGTTTGAGTACGTGGGCTTGCGGTAGTTAGGTGTTTCTTTGGTTTGGAGGCGTAGTTGGTAGCGAGGGCTTGAGATGTTATGAGGGTAGGGGGGGTTATTTTTCTTTTGGTTTGGTATCTTTTCTGATGCTGCTGTACTGTGCTGTTTATTAACAGCGATTTAAGAATGCGTAGTGTTTCTCTATTCTAGGTACTATTTCTTTCTTTCTTTATACCTAGGAGCAGTATATGATGTTTAAATTGATATCATCAAGTGGAGCCCACATATTAGTTTAGTGCCTTAAAATTACATTCTCGATAAATACATTAACCAGTCCTGCTACGCCACAAGGCCTTAGAGAGCTCTGAGCCCGTTAAATGCTAAAGAGAAGACAGCGCTTCTTAGACAGCCCTAGTCCTCGAGGGTAGCAGTCAATAGACAAGAATGATGGCCGAGTTATACAAGCAATATAACAGAATACTTAGTTCTAGATCTTTCCGTACACGCATTCGGAGATATATTTCAATCGACGTCGTTGTCAACACCTGCCTACACACCCCAGGCCGGCAAAACTTCGCAACGCGGGGCAGTAGACCGACGGGAAGCCACGTACCTGCAGCTTGCGGAAGCAACCTCAAACACCTGCAAACTTACCTCCCCGCCATGACGGACAAGACGAAGCGCGTCGTCTTCTTCCACCCAGACCTGGGCATTGGCGGCGCCGAGCGGCTCGTCGTCGACGCCGCCGTGGGTCTGCAGGACCTCGGGTACAAGGTGACGGTCTTCACGTCGCACTGCGACAGCAAGCACTGCTTCGACGAGGCGCGCGACGGTAAGCCACTAGCCCCACGCACGCAAAGCGTAGCCACAATCACGCGCTCATGAAGCAGAAGATGAAGAATGAAGAAGATCAAGGCCGCTGAGTAGTCATCGCTATGTAAAAAGGAACTCTGGACGTGCGCGTCCGCGGCAACTCGCTCGTCCCGCCCTCGCTCCTCGGCCGCTTCTCCATCCTCTGCGCCGTCCTGCGCCAGGTGCACTTGATTCTGCAGATTGCAGTGCTGACAGCGGAGCTGCGCCAGCTCCAGCCGGACGTCTTCTTCGTGGACCAACTGAGCGCAGGCGTGCCGCTGCTACGGCTGCTCTCGCCCGCCGCGCGCGTCCTCTTCTACTGCCACTTCCCCGACAAGCTGCTCGCGCAGCACGAGAACTCACTAAAAACCGCGTACAGAGTGCCGTTCGACAAGCTCGAGAGCTGGAGCACTGGCTGCAGCGACGCCATCGTCGTCAACAGCAACTTCACAAAAGGCGTCTTCAAGCACGCCTTCCCCGCCCTGGCCCACCGCGACCCCGGCGTCGTGTACCCCTGCGTCGACACGCACGTGTCGGAGCAAGCCGCCGAGGTCAAGAGCCAGGACACCCCGCTGTGGGCGCACAAAGCCGTCTTCCTCAGCATCAACCGCTTCGAGCGCAAAAAAGACATCGGGTTGGCAATCCGGGCCTACGCAAACCTCACGCCGCAAGAACGACGAACGACGCGCCTGGTACTCGCGGGCGGGTACGACGCGCGCGTCGCCGAGAACGCCGCCTACTACGCCGCGCTGAACGAGCAGGCCGCGGCGCTGGGCCTCAAAGCCGCGACGGTCAAAAACGTCATCACGGCGCTGTCGGTGCCCGACGATATCGACGTGCTGTTCCTGCTGTCCATCCCCACGACGCTCAAAGCCACGCTCCTCGCCTCCGCCCGCTTGCTGCTCTACACGCCGCGCCATGAGCACTTCGGCATCGTGCCGCTGGAGGCCATGCTGGCGGGCACGCCAGTGCTGGCAGCCAACGAGGGCGGGCCGCTCGAGACGGTCGTGGATGGGGAGACGGGCTGGCTGCGCGACGTGAGTAAGCCCGAGGAGTGGACCGCCGTTATGCGCTTGGTGCTGCTGGACGAGGGGGAGGGGGGCGTGGGCCGCACGCGCCTGGAGGAGATGGGCATGGCCGGCCAGGAGCGCGTCAAGGCGGAGTTCTCGAAGGAGATGATGGCGCGCCGCTTGCGGGGCTATCTGAGCGATATGCCGGCGGAGCGGCCGGCGGTGCTCGATGCCGAGGCGTTTAAGTTGTTGGCGGCCGTGGTGGGGGGCTTGCTTGCTTATGGGGCTATTAGGACGTTCTCTTAAGAGTAGGTAGCTACATAGCTAGCTCGCGTGTTCTAGTGGCCAGCACTTGGCGAAGCATGCATATACATAGGTAGCACTCCAGCTCGCCCATTCACCCAAACAAAGAAAGCAAAATAACAAACAATCAAACAAATATCTTACACACACACACGCCCAACCTCTCTCTTCCCCTCACCCCTCACCCCCTCCCCACGCCCCAAAACAAACCAAACCAAACCCCACACACTCACACAGCCCAATTATCCCGCTCAAACACGACCAGCGCCAAGCGATGCCGAATGAGCAAGCCCAGCAGCCCCGCCCCAACCTGCGCCGCGCACACGCCCAGCGCGAGCCGGTCCTCGCGCTGCGGTCCCCACCACACCAGCCACAGGTTCAGCAGCGTCAGGTTCGTTGCCGACGTTATGGCGCCTGTGGCAGGGTCTTCTTGGATGCGGATTAGGCGGAGGCGGTGCAGGAGGCGGAGGGCGTGCGCGAGGAGGGGGTGGGGCGGGGGATTTGTGGCGGGGGTTTTGGCTGGGGGCGCGTTGGTGGTGGCGTTTGTGGGGGGGTTGGTGGTGTTGTTGGTGCTGGTGGAGGAGGGCAAAGCGAAGGCAACGACGGACGGCTCGAGCAAGCCCGTCGCGGGATTGAAGCGGGGCAGACGGTGGCGCGGACACGGCACCAGGTGGAAGAGCTGCGGGGCCGAGTAGACGAAGTTCGCGATCTGGGGGAGGAGGAGCAGCAGCAGGGTTTTGCTGAAATGCCCGAGGATGCCGACGACGGCGAAGACCATGCCCGCGAAGTAGCAGTACGTGTCGCCGACGAAGACGCGGGCGGGGAACCAGTTGTGCTTGAGGAGGGCGAGCGAGACGCCCAGGAAGGGCAGGAGCAGGTATAGAGAGAAGAGGTGCGCGTCTGTTGCCGGGTGCGGGACGGGGTAGTGTGGTGGGGGTGGGGGGAGCAGGTAGAGTAGGTCGTTGAGGATTAGCAGGAGCGCGATTACGATGGATTGTAGGACTTCGATGCCGTTGATCCCTGCGAGGATGTTGATGCTGTTGGGGCAGAAGATCGAGATTAGTGCCATGTAGGCGTAGTAGAGCCAGCCTGGGAGAGCGTTAGTAGGGCGTTCTCTGAGCGGACGGGCGTGCAGCTGCAGCTGAAACAAACGGCGGAGCTTGTTGCTTGGTGGGGCAAGAGCGGGTTGGGTTGGTCGGATTCCCAGAGGAGCGGGACGGAGGACAGGAATGCACACACGTGCATACAGCGCAGCTAGCTCTAAACGCACTTACCCAAGTCAAAGAGGTCGCCCAGATACGGGCGCAGCGGCGTCGGGATGACGATCTTGGTCACGCCAAAGTCGACAAAGTAGACGGTGAGCATGGGGATGGCGGCGAAGGCGGGGATGAGGATCTTGTGGCGCCAGCGGATGTCGAACAGGTCGTCGCCGATGCCGAGGATGACGACCGTCTGGAGAGACAGGATGGCCGAGAGATACGACGCCAGCTGCGAGGAATGTCAACCGCCCGAAGACAACTGACAGGTCGCACATAATACCTTGCTGTGAGGGAAGCGATGGAGGAAGCGCCCCGTCTCCACCTCCTGGACCTGCATGATGAGATCCTTGTTTCCGCCGCCCGACGTCGCGGCGACGATATCCTTGTAGAAGGGAAAAGGAATGAAGACGATCAGAGTAAAGAGATAGACGACGGCGCATACAGCACCCATGGTTTCGGGACTGGCTTGCGCGTCAGTATGATAGATGCATCACGTGTAGAGGCAGACGGACATTTCAATCTGCTTTGTTTTGGACAGGTCTTTGCCCTTGAAGCCGGCGCGCATAAAGGCGTCGCCCAGCCAGCGGATGAGGGCGTAGCAGCTGGCAAAGGCCAGGCCGCTAAAGGCCAGAGAGGCAAGTAGTGGCTCACCATCGGCGCGGAAGGTATTTGCGAGGATAGCGAAGCAAGCGGCCGCAACGGCGAGCAGGCCGGCCGTCTCGGGCGAGGAGAGACTTTTGGCCATGTTTTTTTTATGATTTTATCTTGCGGCTCAGCGAAGTTGACATGTGTTTGGTTTAAAAGGGAACCTCAACCTCTAACGCGAAGCGGCTACGCAGCCGAAAGACGATCAATGCACCAATGGATCATCGCGACTCCATCCAGGCCCAGCTCGATGCCGTGACGACGCAGCTCGCCCGCCCGGCCTTTTTGCAAAACCTCACGCCCAGCCGCCTGCCGTCGCAAGCCACCTCTGAGGCTTCTGTGTCGCCGCGGCCTCCCAGCAGCAACGACTGCCGCTCTCTGCTGACCCTGGAGCATGGCGCCTGCCTGACTGCCCACCCCCACCATCATAACTACCACCACGACAATCCTGCCTACCTAGAGCTGCGCGCCTCGGAAGCCCACGCCCGTCGCGCCTGGTCCACCATGGCCGCCTCTGCTGCCTTTCAGCCCTTTGACCACGCCCACTCCGACCTCGTCTTGGCCGTCGACTTCAACTTCTTCGGCACCCGCATGGTCACGGCCTCGTCGGACCACCGCCTCAAGGTCTGGGATCGCAAGGACGACGCCTGGTCGCTGGTCGACACCTGGAGGGCCCACGATGCCGAGGTTGTCGATGTAAGTATCTAGCCGCCCGCGCGTTTCGCTAATGCCGTAGAACCTCGCTGTCCCTGCCATGTGGCTCGCGAGTTCCGTGTTGCTTCTTTTTTTTCGCTGACCACGCGCGGCCAGGTCAAATGGAACGGCCCGTTCATGGGTGAGGTCCTCGGCAGCATCGGCGAGGACGGCCGCTTCAAGCTATGGCAGGAAGACGTGACGGAAATCGCAAACTCGGGCCGCCGCTTCAAGCTCATCTACAACCAGGTCTCCGAGACCAAGGTGCCCTTCATGTCACTCGACTTCAAGAACATTATGCAAGAGACGTGGGTCGCGCTCATCTCGCGCGACGGCTACCTCACCATCTACGAACCCATTGATCACAGCAACCTGTCCGAATGGCAAGTCATGGCCCAGACATTTGTGCTGCCCACTGCGCCCCCGCGCTCCGACGAGGCCAGCTTCCGTGTCTGCTTCCACCACGAGCAGCTCCCCTGCTGGACGGCCATCCAAGCCGGACTGGACCGGCGCGCCCTGTCTCTCGCCGTCGTAGCCATGGACACGGTCAAGGTCTACCGTACGGACAAGCAGCGCCGCTTCTACGTCGCGGCGGAGCTCACAGGCTCGCGCAACATCTTGCGCGACGTCGCGTGGGCCAATGGCAGCATGCGCGGCTCCGACATCATCGCCACCGCCAGCAAGGACGGCATGCTCCGCATCTACGACCTCTCGACGCCGGAGCCCTCGTTTCCGCTCGGCGGCGGTGCCAGCGGCCCTGGCGGCCCCGGCACCCCTTCTACCGGCGGCGGGCTCGCTGCGCCCTCCGTGCCCCCCGAGCCCGCCGCCTCGCCGCGTGGCCGCGGCGCTAGCAGAAACGCCCCGTCGGGCATTGGCGCCGGCTTGGCCAGCGCAACGCGTGTGGGTGACGCGGCGCTCGAGAACGATCAGGACCCTGGCCGCGTCAAGCACGTTGTCAAACTTGCGGCGGAGCTGCAGTCGAACCACGGGGCTGTGTGGCGTGTCACGTTTTCGCAGATGGGTAAGGACACATATGTACGCGCTCTTTCTTGTCTCTCCTGGCTAACCACACACACTCGATAGGCGACTTGCTTGTCTCGACGGGCGACGACGGCGCCATTCGCACCTGGAAGAAGGCCAGTGATAATCGCTGGCTCGAGTATGCTGAGATTGATGCTACTAAGCAGTAGTGGACTGACGCTACTAAACAGTGGTGAGCTAACGCTACTCAAACAGTAGTGAGCTAACGCTACTCAAACAGTAGTGAGCTGCCACAGGTGCTTTCTTTTCTAGATAGCGAGTCAACCAAGTTCGAGATCTAGTTCAAGACGGAGACAGGCCCTCGTCGAAGAGTCCCTCTTCGGCGTGTTTGGATTTCCGGGGCCTGGCGGTGAAGGGTGAGTGAGGGATTGGTCGAAGGAAGCAGCGCGACAGAAGGAAGCGGCAAAGCGCGTCATGGACGACGCTGGTGACGCCGTAGACGCGTCCGGGTCGCGCATCGGAAATAGGCGGTTAAAGCCGCGCTCCTATGATTCGAGTCATGGCAAAGGTTCCGTCACCGGCGGTGCGGCGGGGCGATCAAACAACACATATTTTGCAATGCTTCTCATGCAACGAGCATAGAACCACCCCCTATACGCGCCCATTGCCAAGAACGAAAAAAAGGAAAGAATAAGAGAAACCAAACAACCATACTATTCCGTACCATACCCACCTATCCTCGCGCAACAGCAAGCAAGCAAGCAAGCGCACGCGCCCATCCACCCACCCACCATGCCGCCCGCGAACCCCATCACGCCGTCCTCAACCCTCGACCACGAATCATACATGCGGCTCGCGATCAGCGAAGCTCGTAAATCGCCCCCACAGCCGACCAACTTCTGCGTCGGCGCCGTGCTCGTCAACGAGCGCACGGGGGACATTCTAGCAACAGGCTACACACTCGAACTCCCCGGCAACACGCACGCGGAGCAATGCGCGCTGCAGAAATACGCCGAGGCACACGAGCTGCCCGAGGAGCGTGTGGGCGAGGTCCTGCCGCCGCAGTGCGCCGTCTACACGACCATGGAGCCGTGCGCGCAGCGGCTGAGTGGGAATCTGCCCTGCGTGGACCGCTTGCTGCGCGCGCGGAGGGAGCAGGATGGCAAGGCGGTGGGCGTGGTCAAGGTTTTCTCGGGCGTTAGGGAGCCCGAGACTTTTGTGGGTGAGAATGTGGGACGCAAGCGGTTGGGCGATGGCGGGGTCGAGTGTATTCTGGTGAGTGGGTTTGAGGAGGAGATTTTGGGCGTGGCGACGGCGGGGCATGTTAAGGAGTGAGGGTGAGGGGTTTGGGGGGTTTGGGGCTGGTGTTTGTTGCCGCCTTCTTGGTTGATTGATGGCGGCGGCGGGGTGAGCATGGGGGTGTGGAAGCCAATTATCTTTCTTTCGTGCTTCTGAGGTGGTTTCTTTCTTTCTTTCTTCCCCTTCACACATCTCTTGCATTGCCATTGCACGGGTTGATGATGGGAGAAAACCTAGGAGTAGGTACACGGTAAGATTGCGTCACCACTTTTTTCTTTTGGAGACCCCCGCTAGACGCTTCGGGTATGGAATCAACATGCTCTCTGGCGCGCCGAGGGCAGCAGGACCTCGTTGTCTGCGCCCCGCGCAGCCGCCTTAACCTCTGCCATTGAAGCCTCCTCTCGCATCCAAAATGCGCCGTCCCTCCCCTCAAGAACGCCCCCTCCCTGCTCGCCCTAAACTCAACTCAATCCCAAGCCCAGCCCACAAGCCAGGGCTCGCCGGCGCGGACATACATGGAAGCTAGCTAGCCGCGCGCGCGCGCGCGCCAATGGCGCAATGTACAAGAATGCGAGCGTCACCTTTTTCGATTTTTTCCCGTTCGCGACCCTCCAACGTCGTGTGACTTTCCTGCTTTGCGAGCCTGCCTGCCTGTCTGCCTGTCTGTCATCCGTCCCAAAATAATGCCGTGAGAACGCGTCGAGTCGTGCTGCTGAAAAGAGCGGGTGCCGCCGGGCAGCACACCGCGCGGGTAGTCTCGGTTGTCGGCGACGCGGGCTTAGTAGAACGACTCGACCATCGTCTCCTTGTTCGTCGTGTTGATGGCGGAGGGACCCATGCCCTCGCCCAGCCTGAAGACCGACTCGATGACCGAGAGCTCCGTCGCTGTGGTGTCGAGACCTGTGGGGGGCGGCGTGTTAGCTAGCTGCTGACTGCGGGGCGGGATCGGGTGGAATAGAACTTACCAGTCACGGCCATCCAGTCGTTGACGACCATGCCGGCACCGACGACGGGCGAGCCTCTGTTGATGGAGCCGGCCACCAGCGGGACCTGCAGCAAGCTGGACAGCTCGTCCTGGTCCTGAATGCTGGTCTTGGGGTGGACGATGCCGCCCTGATTGCTGAGGCTCATGTACGAGCCGACGAGGACGTTGTCAGCGACGGTCTGGCGGAAGACCTCGACGCCGAGGACGTCGGCGATGATCTCCTCGGTCTCGCGCTCAATGTCCGGGTGGACGATGGCGACGTGGTCGTTGCAGCAGATGACGTTGCCGAGGGCCGACAGGCGCTCCTCGATGCGCTGGATCTTGACCTCGTCCGGGATGCTGTTGCGCAGGTGCTGCAGCTCCTGGTCCGTCGTCGACGTGGGGACGAGCAGGCCCTTGCGGTTGCCCGCCGTGAGGCGCCCGACTATGCGCGTGCCCGCGATTGTCGCGTGGCAGATGGGGATTACGTCTTGCAGCTCGGCTTCGAAGACGCTGCGGGGCGGGGTTAGCTTTTCGCGTGCCAACTAGGTATCTGATTCCGCCGAGAAAAATGCTGCCGTACCTGTAGAAGTTTTCCGACGCGCCCACTGCGACGAGCGCGTACGAGTTGGTGAGCGTCGAGAAGACGCCGACCCTGCTTGCGCGTTAGCCACTATGCGTGCGACTGGTGCGCCGCGCGCCCGCAGGCCAAGCCAACTCACTCGTTGGAATTCTCAAACTGCGCGCGGACCGCCATGGCTGGAAAAGTGTCGAGTGGTGATGCGTCTGTCGGGGATAGTATTTCCAAGGACGCGCTGAGGCCGTCTACGTCGTAGAGAAGAAAAAAGCGAGGGATGGGGCGGATGGCGAGGCTGGAAAAAGCTGGAGCTGGAACCTAGGTAGGCGGAAGTTGAAGGTTTTATGACGATCTCAGCCTCGCGTGCCCGAAGATGAGCCGGTGGGGCAAGGCTGGATGTGGCTGTGGCAGAGCGTCGTCGACGAGATGACTCCCACCTTCACCGACCGCATTGACGCAGGAAAAACTCATTGTGACTCAACGTCGCACGTACTCGTCCCTAGCCTGTCTCAAATGATAGGCTGAGCGCCACAGTGTAACCGCACACCCGCACCATAGCCCCCGCTCGAGCCTGTTACTTGTCAGCGTGCATCCATGCATCAGCGGAGATCGCTGGGCGATGGAGAACGTGCCGAACCGAAAATATCGAGGGACAGAGCAGGGAAAGGAGAAGAATAGATGCACTAATCTCAGAAGAGAAAACGAAAATATGCAGGGCAAAATCACTCCTCCTTTACAGTCTTTAGATGCCTTTATTCTTTACCTCGCGTATTTAGTTCGTTGGCAGCTTGATCGCTCTTCTGCCTTGCTATCTTATAGCTTGTTTCAGCATACATGTTAAAAGGCAACTATAGCACGGCGTTTATGGTGGTGAAAACAGGTCATTAGCGGGCTGGTGGTCGGTAATGTTAGTTCCAGTGCAGGCCCAGCAGACAGAAAGATTTCCGGCCTGGCGTGGATGGGTTGTGATATTACGGGACTTGACTGGTTAAATTGAAGTATACTACAGCAAACTACACTACCCTACCGCGTCAAGAAAGGCAATACTTGGTGTTTACTGCCACTGAATGTCGTTCATTGTTGATGCGGTACGTACTTGGTGCTGCTAATTACTGCAATTGAAAGATGCTCAACTTCCCTCATGTCTTCAACAAGCTCTCTCAAATAAAGCAAATGCCCACCTCGTGCTCTCTGTTATCGTCAGCTAAAAAAGCCAATTTCGCCCTTTAGACCATGCGTTGAGCCACGTGCAATCCGCTACCACCACACTGTCGTCGAAAGGCCCTACACTGCACTCCCGCTCCCGTTTCCACCTTGCTCTTGCATCTGCGCCTCCTTCTTCGGCTCTTCCAGCAAATCCTTTCCCCTCACTTTGAACCCATCCATCACATTCTCAAGGCGCATCCTCTTATTTTGCACCGCCTCGCTGCGCTTCCTGATTTCCTCCTCATACTTTGCCGCGATGCTGCGCTTCTCCTTTCGCGCATCCTTCAGGCCCTTCAGAATGTTTCCGAACTCACCCAAGATCCAGTCGCCAGCTTCCTCCCACTCCTCGAGCGAGAGCGACGCGAAGAACTTGTTGGCAGATTTTGGTGGCACGAAATTGGGTTGGACCGAAGGCCGTGAATGATTGAATACATGCTCGAGGCGCTGGGAAAGAGGTTGGTCTGGGAGCCAGGAGGGCTTGGGCGGGCGAGCTCGCTCGTTGTGGTCGAAAGACTCGGAAGCGAGATCACTGTAGGGCATGCTGTGGAGTTTGTCGTCGTCGTAATCAAGGAGAAAATGGCTGTCGTTTGAGTCGTCGTTGCTGTCGTCACTTTGCGATTGGGTTTGCGTTTCTTCCGGAACAGGCTGCTCGTCCTCGTCGCTTTCAGGCTCTCCGTCAGATAAGGAAATTGCTCGAGATTGCTGACTTGTTTGCCCGCTTTGCGGTATGCCCATTGATCCAACGTTCATACCATATGCAAATCCAAACCTGTTGGCCATGTTTTCTCCCTCTGGCAGAGGTGAGTTGCGGTTGTGACGTAGAGCGAGGTTTGCGACTGATTGGCCGTTCATCCTCCGGGTTCGGTCTTGCTCATACATACGCCCAAAAGGATCCTGCGGTCCTACGGATGTATGCATAGGACTCATCTGTCCGGCGTCTTGTTGAGTATTCTGCATCTGTTTCGCGTATAGCGGTTGCTGGAGTTTGTAGTGTGGAGCTTGGGGTGCCTGAGATTGATAGGCAGACATTTGAGACTCAAATTGATGGGAAGGAAGTTGCTGTTCTCTGAACCTCTCCTCTTGAGTGCCCGTCCCTGGACGGGATGGTCCAGAGTTCTGACTCTCAGGATCTCCGGCGGTTGTCTCAGGATAAGACCCACTGTCTCCCTCGTTGAGATCATATTTGCGAAGCATCATCGCACCATCGTCTTGACCCGTCGGCAACTTCGATATGTGCGGTTGCGACTGATGAACATTGATAGGGTTACCATGCATTTTTGCATTTCCGTTGTCAGACAATTGGCTTTGCTCGTCCTCGTCTGATTCCATTTCATCTTGCTCTTCAAGTTCAAAACGGTCGTCATCCGAATACATCGGCACGTCGGGGCGGCCATGGTGCTGAGGCTGGCTGTCTCTAACAAACACATCACTCACAGTGGAGTCCCCAGCAGTGGTGTCGTCAAAATGTTCTGTGTCAGTGTCCCAGTTGCCTCGTGGTTGCTCATCAGTAGCTCTTTGTTGCATGTTTTGATGGTGAGGGGTCGGAGGAGACGACGGCTCCACTGACGTAGAGGGCTCTGGCGAGTTTGCATTGCCGTCACCAAGCTTTGAGCTTGAGGGTTGGGTCAGATTAGTTGGAGGAACTTCTACTCTCGCAGACAGACCCTTTTGGCGGCGGCGGTCCATATCCGAGGCTCGACCCGGAGCAGGACTCGCGGGACGGCTGCCCTGCTTTCCGCGGACGTACCCGAACATCTTGACAATGGAAGCCGGGCAGCGAAGAAAGGCTGATGCGTCAGTGTTGGAAAGATCGTGAAGACGCGTCGAGACGCGAGGCTTAAGCGATGATCTAATCTAATCTAATCTAAGTGCCTTCGCTGCTTATCGCTCACCGAAACATGATGTAACTGCCTTATCGCCCCGTTCCAGCGTCTATTGCTATATCGCTTTTGAGGAGTACACTATCAGTTCTGCTTCTCTTGGAAATATCGAATAAGGATATGGAGCGTACAGGTCTTCTTTCGCTGCCCAATGAGGTATGTTCCATAAACAACCTTACCAGATGTGACTGACACAGAACATGCCAGCTCCTGCTCCATGTCCTTAACCCTCTGCCTACGCCTGATCTCCTCCCACTGACTACCGTCTCGCACCGGATATACACGCTCATCCTACGCATTGTGCGCAATCGTCTTATTGCTGCCACAAACCTACAGGAGGGGCAGTATACTTTGCTCCTCGAATGTTACCATCCATCCGCAAAGCTTACAGAACCGCCACTATATTGTGATTATCTTGGGACTGACGGGTTAGACGTGAGAGACCCTGAAGCTGATGATGCCGACTTGGTCGGACGCCTTGGATATCTAAAGTCGCGCTATTCGCGTTTCGGGCCACACCGAAAGGGTCCCGAAGCGTACAGGAGAGTCGCCAGGCCTGGGGATATTCCAGGATCTCGGACGCATCCTTCCACCTCACAACCTCGGTTTAGCGGAGGAGGCTACAATGACGAAGAGTTGGTGAAGCAAGTGCTATCCCTTGACAGTGACGAACGCTTCTCTCAACTCTGCGCCGTTGTCAATCTGATCGAACTTGGCCCTCGCAATGGCTTACTCCGAAGCTGCTCGGAGGTCGATGAGGGCGTTGTCAGGGTCTTCAGGGACTGGCTTCGTAATAATTCAGAGCCAGCTGCGCAGGGAGGGCCAGAGCTCCAAAAAGACCCTGAATATACCAAACCCGGGAAAGGCAAAGAGAAAGCTGGTCCTGAGGCCTTTGATGATCAGCGAATTCTCTGGATCAATCCCTCCAAGAAAAATGTAGGTCTGCGATTTAGAGTGCGCGAGCGGAAGTTTAGAAGAGAAAACCCCATCTTCGTCCTGGCGAATGAGGAACTGGCAGTTAGCTATGACATTGAATATGAGGGTAAGTCGAACTTCAGTATCGGCGCCGCAATATTCAACGAGTCGACGCGGTGACTTTTCGGATTAATTGCTAATGCAAAACGCATCAGAACTTCTTGTCCGAACATCGCACCTGCTGCTGACGTTCGAGCAATCGCTGTTGGAGCAGGACAACCATTCCGGCAAAGCAGTTGTTTTCGGGTCGTTTGGTTGATAGCCAGATCTGAGCAGATCCCGGGATGGCAGATTACCTATCGATTGCCCAGGCGCTGCAGCATGCGCTTCGTACCCGTAGAGAAAGAGAAAGACTGAAGTTTGCCAAGAAGCATAACGATTTCCGCCTCTCACGCGTCACTCTGTCTTCCTTACCTAATTGATGCGCGTGCGCCCCTCCGCCCTCACGTCGGCGGAGGGAGCTCCTAACATCCGATTGCTTATTGGGCCGATTCCGGCTGCTGGAGGTGTGCGAAGAATAGCACATGTGGTTCGTGTTCCGGCATGGTGAATGATAAGAATGCGCATTGCTCGGCGTGTTAGCGACACGAACCACGATGCAACGCAACCCCTCTCCGGCATGGTGGAATGCATCTCGCATGGCTATCGGCGGCACGCGCGTCGTATCTTGCTGCTGTTCAGGAGCATGGGTGCTGCGAGGCCGGCCCCGCCCAAGACCCGTGTTGTGGCGCTCGGCCAGTCAGAGGCTGCGGATTCTAAGCTGACGCTAAGCTTTGAGTCTTTCCCCAGATCCGTCGGCTGCCGATGTCGGCAGGCTGCCATCTTGACGGCAATATTTCTATCGCCATCCACCTCGAATTCTGGCCCAGCACTTTGCCTCTCGCCCTGATCTCTCTCATCTTTCCCTTTCATTTCCATTCCCAGATACCCCTTGTAGATTTGCAAAATGCCCGGCGCAGTCAAGGGTCCGAGGACGCTTTACGACAAGGTCTTTGAGGACCACATCATCGAGGAGCAGGACGATGGCACTGCCCTGATCTACATTGGTGTGTGACACCACGCTGCTCACGGTCGAGTCCAATCCGCTGACCCCAAATAGACAGGCATCTTGTCCACGAAGTCACGTCGCCAGTAAGAAATACTACCCCGCTGTTTCACAGCAGTTGCGGGGGCGGGGCTGATCTCTCATGCAGCAAGCTTTCGAAGGCCTCCGCAATGCCAGCAGAAATGTCCGCAGGCCAGACTGCACTCTCGTAACGACCGACCACGTACGTTCGCCATCTCAGTCTACCCCCTCCGCGACCATTGCCGCTTACCATAGGATAGAATGTCCCTACGTCATCGAGAAAAAACTTCAAGGACGTCTCCTCCTTCATCGATGAGGAGGACTCCAGGATACAATGTGCGACCTTGGAGGACAACGTCAAGGCCTTTGGCCTGACCTACTTTGGTATGGGCGACAAGAGGCAGGGCATCGTCCACATCATCGGCCCTGAGCAGGGTTTCACCCTTCCCGCCACCACCGTTGTTTGCGGCGACAGCCACACCTCCACCCACGGCGCTTTCGGTGCCTTGGCCTTCGGTATCGGTACCAGCGAGGTCGAACACGTCCTTGCCACCCAGACCTTGATTACGAAGAGGAGTAAGAACATGAGGGTCCAGGTCGACGGCGAGCTTGCCCCGGGCGTTGGCAGCAAGGATATTGTCCTCCACATTATCGGTGTCATTGGTACGGCTGGCGGTACTGGCTGTGTTATTGAGTTCTGCGGTTCGGCAATCCGGGGCTTGAGCATGGAGGCTCGCATGTCCATCTGCAACATGTCCATTGAGGCTGGTGCGCGTGCCGGTATGATTGCACCCGACCAGATTACCTTCGAATACCTCAAGGGCAAGCCTCTCGCTCCCAAGGTCGACAGCCCCGAGTGGAAGAAGGCCGTTGCCTACTGGTCGACTCTCAAGACCGACGAGGGCGCCAAGTACGACCACGACATCTTCATCGACTGCAAGGACATCGCCCCGACTGTCTCCTGGGGTACCTCTCCCCAGGACGTCGTCCCCATCACCGCCGTCGTCCCCGGTCCCGACGACTTCCAGGATGAGACGAGGAAGAAGGCCTGCATTCGTGCTCTTGAGTACATGGGTCTTACGGCTGGTACTCCCATGCAGGACGTCGTTTGCGACAAGGTCTTCATTGGCTCTTGCACGAACGCTCGTATCGAAGATTTGAGGTCTGCGGCCAGCGTTGTCAAGGGCAAGAAGGTTGCCGAGAACATCAAGCGCGCAATGATCGTTCCGGGCTCTGGTCTGGTCAAGAAGCAGGCCGAGTCCGAGGGTCTTGATAAGATCTTCACTGATGCCGGCTTCGAGTGGAGAGAGGCTGGTTGCTCCATGTGCCTTGGCATGAACCCCGATATCCTTTCCCCCGGCGAGCGCTGCGCCAGTACGTCTAACCGCAACTTCGAGGGTCGCCAGGGTGCTGGTGGCAGGACTCATCTGATGTCCCCTGCCATGGCTGCCGCTGCTGCCCTTTCCGGCCGCCTTGCGGATGTCCGCAAGATTGCCCCTCCTCAGTCCTCTGCTGAGAAGGGCTCCCCTAAGCTGGAGCTTGAGGCGCATACTGCGGATCTCGACAACGACGAGGAGCTTGACAGGATCCTTGACGACCCGGAGAACTCCCAGGGCAACACCACCGAGTCTGGCGCGCCCGCCACTGCCACCGGCATGCCCAAGTTCACCCAGCTTAAGGGTGTCGCCGCCCCCATCGACGTCGCCAACATCGACACCGACGCGATCATCCCCAAGCAGTTCCTCAAGACCATCAAGCGCTCTGGTCTTGGCTCTGCTCTCTTCAACGCCTGGCGTTACGACCCCGCCACTGGTGCCGAGAACCTCGAGTTCGTCCTTAACAAGGATCCCTACAGGAATGCCAAGATCCTCGTCTGCACCGGTCCTAACTTTGGCTGCGGTTCTTCCCGTGAGCACGCTCCCTGGTCGCTCCTCGACTTTGGCATCATGTGCATCATCGCGCCCAGCTTCGGTGACATCTTCTTCAACAACACGTTCAAGAACGGCATGCTCCCGATCCGGATCGGCGACGAGGCGAAGCTCAACGCAATTGCCGAGGAGGCCAAGGCGGGCAAGGAGATCGAGATTGACCTCCCCGCCCAGCAGATCAAGGACCAGGACGGCAACGTGTTGGCCGAGTTCGAGGTCGAGGAGTTCCGGAAACACTGCCTCGTCAACGGCCTTGACGACATTGGCCTCACGATGCAGAAGCAGGAGCGCATCCAGAAGTTCGAGGAGAAGCGCACGCGCGAGTGGCCGTGGCTCGATGGCCAGGGCTACCTTGCGCGCGACCGCACTGGACCCGTCAAGGTTGAGGCGGCGCCGGTCCCCAAGACCAACCGCGGCGATGTCAAGGGTGAGCCGCTTGAGTGGTAGAGTGGCGGCTGCGTGGGTGTGTCCGAAGTGTTTGGGCGCTACTATCACGGTGCGGTGCCAACTACTTGGAGTGTTTCGGCTATAGGAGTAATAATAGGGAACCTTTGGGGCTCGGCGCGCGTGGCTTGTTACCTATGAGGCAGAGCGCTTCTTACTGTTGTTGTTGTTTTCTCAGTTTTCGGCTGCTGCGGGATCGATATGCGGCTTGGCTTTGGCTTTGGGAGAATATATACACTGCTGGGGTTTGGGGTTGATGATGATGCCCGCTGCTGCTGCTGCTGCCTGGGCTTGATGTGGTATGATAACAAATAAAAGTTTACAATATTTTTTAATATGCTTCTCCTCTTTTGTCTTTGGGTTTTGTTGGTCTTGCTTGGAGTTTGATGTCTTGCGCTGCATTGCGGTGGGAGTCGTGCGTGTGTATATCTAGTTTAAGATGTATTCGAGGTCATTCATCATTACACTTTGTAGATGTATAAATGTATAGTGCAGTGCTGTACTAGATTTTGAGATATATCAGTACCAAGCTGAGCAACATGATTGCAGTTTCTTTTCACGGTTCAATGCCAAACTGATTCATTGTACCTCCAAGGAACGACCGATCTAGATAAACCCATATAGAAAAAGCTATGAATAAAGCACAAGGAAACATAAATCTGAAAACTCCCAGCCGAAACCAAAATAGAAGATAAGAGGAACCGTAAAAGGTTGTTCATCAGCGGCCGTAAAACAAAGAACTGCCCTACTCCTTCACAAAATATTCTCGCCATTTTGCCCTCATTCGGCGAAGTTTACCACGATTCTCAGCGTCTTCTTGATCACTCTCGGCAATATCCTCCTCACTTTCAGCGAGGTCTTCCCTGCCTTCAGTGAAGTTTTTCATACTCTCACCTCCCCAGCGTTGCCTAAATATGACCTTGGTGCTTGTCGTCTTCGGCCAAGAGACAACACAGTCGGGCTGATCGATGAACTCTCCAGTGAGGTATTTGCCCATGAAACGGTCATATCGCTCTTTCAACTCGTCACTTGTCGTGGAGAGCTGCTCACGTGCGCGACGTTTACGGACAAGGTATTCCGCGAGTTGGTTGAGCATCACCTTGGGTGCCGCATAGTCGTCTATTGCCGGGTCTGGACTGTTAGTACTGCTATATCTAAGAGTATACAGAAATTTTCATCGTTTATTTGGCTCAGGAGAGGGGTTTAGCCATGAAGGATATCAACCTACCATACTCGCGAGTCAAGTAAGTTTGCACGGCGTCCTGGATTTTTTGAAGAGTTTTCCCGCCAGGAATCTCTTTCTGTTCACCAGTTTCGATATCTATAATATAAAGATTAGTAATACTATTGCAGTGCTCCTTCGAAAGTAAAGTCTGGTTACTCCGCGTGGATACAGCCGCAAATCAAGTGGACGTACCTGTCAGTGAACCATTCTCCCATTCGTCTATTTTTATTCTCTCCATTCCCTTGTCTACACTGAATCTTTTGAACCAAGTATGCGTGCCATCAGCGAGCTCGCTCAGTCTCCTAGAGCCCTCCTCGGCTTCGTTGGGATCAATCAGAAAATGACGAGCACTAGAATGTTTTATGAACTTGTTGAGAAGCTTTGACCGTTCATTAAAGGGCCCAGGCCAAGAGAGCTCGAATTTAAAGTCCTGGTCAGTACTTCCAATGCCGAGGCTCACTATGGAGGTTGGTTTCTTCCCTTCAATACTAACGTCTCCCTTTGCTGGAAGACAAGTCTGCAGGGTCGAATTCAGTCCTAAAAATAGTTTACCTCGGATCTTGAAATAAAATACTGGCGTGGCTATTTTAAAATACAAACCCCTTTGCCAGTTCGTGTTGTGTGGGTCGGTATAGCCGTAATCACAGTCGAGTAAAGGCGGTGACAAACTGTGTAAATAGAAGTTAATGTCATATAGCTTTCGTAGTTAGGGAAATAATAAGATATATGTTATAAATAAATAAGAAGAGAATGTGCTTTATAATAGTTTTTATATATTTTAGTATTTAATTATTCTTGATCTTTCCGAATAACCTCTAAGACGCTTTGAGCATACCTTTTACAAGTACCTGGATTGCGTTTGGAGTCGCTACCAGATGTTGTCATGCCTGCACAGTTCCCTTTGTGTCTCTTGCAGTGTTTGCGGATGACTTCTTGCATCAAAACCTTCGAATATAGGGTGTCGTATTTGGAATGCAGGCCAGTCCTACTTCTTTTCTTGCTATACAAAGCGTGTCCAAGTTTTTGAAACTCGGCTATGGACTGAGAGATACTCATGCGTAGACAACCCAGCATTCCTTCGGGTATGCTTTCTAGACCATTAGAGGCTTGACAGGTTTATATGGTAGAAATGAAGGGAAGGAAAAGTCTTGCAAACTGTCTTGTGGATGAAAAAAAAAAAAAAAAAAGCACGGCTCTTGGACGGTAAACTTACGCGGATGTCCCTACACCAAATACTATGTCAAAATAGTGACATGGAAGGACTCGTTCCAAATCCCACGGCTGAGAAATGTTTTCTGCTTGCCTTTTTTCGTCGAAATGACTTTCGTATTTGGCAATCATTTCCATGAGATGATATAAAATAATCAGGCAAGAATACACTCTGATGCCACCGCCGTCTGCTTAAATCAGTGCACTTTCTATTTTAGGTCATAAAGTTTACAATATACATACCAAGAAAAAGCCAACTATTGGCCCAAGGATCATCCTCACCGGTAACTATCCATGACTTTCCTGTCTTGTCACGGTTGCTTTTTGACTGGGGGTCTAGGTGAATTTGCTGCTGATTATCTCCTGAGGACATTTTGTTCGAACAAAGAAAAATTTGGGATTGGGGATGAAGATTAAGGTTAGAGGTTGGGCGGAAAGGACGAGGAGAAAAATAAATCATGACGTGGACGTACATGCAGGCCTCGTTTAGACAACTAATCAGCCAGTCACCTCTTTCAAATGCCAAGCTGCGGCTGAGCGGGTTCCAAGTTTCATTCTCAACCCCCTTGAGATCGAAACATTACGAGTTCAACAAACTAGAAATACCCGACACTATGTTCAACGTATTCGGTGACAGAGCTGAAAACACAACAACTTGGAGACCAGAGCCACAATATCGCGGTACTTACAGCATATTATCCTCCTGTATTCTTACCCTAGTTCTCTGCGTCTGGACAGTTGTGCATCTCAACCTTCCAGAGCATGGCGAAAAACAGTGGTGGCAGATGTACCGGAAGGTTGGCTGGTTGATTGTTGGGTTATTCGCCCCAGAACTGGTACGTATTGGAAAAGTACTAGTAGGATGAATCTCGATCCTAACTAAATGACACCAGGTGGCATTTTCCGCCTTTCAGCAATGGCGGGATGCTAGATCACTGACAAAAACAATGGTGAGCCATTTTCGGGGAAAGCAAAGCCAACCGCTCCCTTCTTGGGTTAAAATTGTTCGAAAAATTATGATACTATGTGGTTTCCGGAGCAGAGATTATTTTAAAGAGGAAAGTCCCAGCCAGATGTAGGAGTACATACCTTACTCTCAGCTATAACAACGGCTAAGTTAGCTCATTACAGGCGCCATATCTGGACTGATGTCCACAGCTTCTACGCTGTTATGGGTGGGTTTGCGATACAGCCCACAGATATATCTACCAACTTCCTCGCCAGCAATCAAATGAGAATGACGGTCACTCCGCGCGCCATAGACTTTATAGCCAAAAGAGAGCCAGACCTCATACCTTATATCTCTCTTAAAGAAATCCAAGATAAAAGTAAAGCAAGTGCACTCGCCAAGGCGATTGTGTTGTTCCAAGGTATGTTGTTTGATGTTACTGAGAAGACAACTTAAATAGCTGACAGTGATAAAAATAGCTTCATGGTTTGTATGCCAGTGCATAACCAGATTGACGCAACACCTCTCGGTCAGTCTGCTTGAACTCAACACCTTCGGGCACTATATATGTGCATTACTTATCGCTTTTTTGTGGTGGCACAAGCCACTTGACGTGGGAGAGCCGACCTTACTGAGGAATTCTGCCAGTCAAGAATTACCAGCTTTGCTATATATGTTAAGTCTGACTGAAATTAGTCAAAAAGAGGCTTTCAGACCACCATGAAACAGGGCTGAAAACAGATGGAGACTGGCTTCTTTAGCATTGAAGGAGAGCTATAAATTAGGGAAATACGGAGATAAGTTTGAAGATTGGGGGATGGACCGCGTACCGCGCCACGCGGTAGTGAAAAGAGTTCGGAACTTTCCACGTCTCAATCACTGGAACAACAAACAATTCTACATAGGGTTCTCCTTTGCAGCTCTCACATACGCCCTGCTGCATCTCGTTGCATGGGAAAGCACGTTTCCTTCTAGAACTGAACAAATCCTCTGGCGGATATCTTGCTTAACGATAGCATCGACCGGAATCTTCCTAGTTCTTATTTTTGTTGACGGATATTTTAAAAAAAGGGACGGCCCTCAAAGATACCGTTTCGGAGAGAGATGGGCCTGTGCCCGAATGTCAGGGCTCATCCTACAGGACCTCGTTAGTCTTGTCACTTATCCTCTGCGCAAAATTTGCTGGTACATCTTCCCTCCTATATTTACTTACCTTAAATGGCCATTCTTGATTTCGTATGGGGCACTGTATCTTCTAGCGCGCGTTTTTCTGGTCGTCGAGTCTTTCATTAATCTCGCGCATCTTCCTGACTCGGCTTTTGAACTTCCACAATGGTCCCGCTACTTTCCTCATATCGGCTGATGGGCAAGATTGGGTACTTACATTTTCGTTCGCTTGGCTTTTCTTTGTGTTCGTTTGTATGAAACATTTCTATGATTCTTTAATTAAATTGTGGTTTTGCTTTTTCAGTGATTGGACGGCTCCTAAACTATATTATTAACCCACTTATAGGAGCATGTAGGTATACTTACGGTATCTCTGAAATGATCGTTATAGTTTACTTCTTAGGTAGCTCTAGAGGCCGCGCTCGTAGTTAGCGATATCACTTTATAAAGGGGCTCCCTACAGGTTACTCGGTAGGTACTCATCTCGAAAGTACTAGGAGTATTATAAATACTTCTGTCGTGGTGCAGTTAACCTTTGAGCATATGCCTCTAAAAGAACCACGAACGAACTTACCGTCTCTAATCGTTAACTCAAAACCATAGATTTTGTTGGTCAGGGCCAAACTTCAGGACAGTTGCACATAGTGATGCCAATCTAACTCGATAATTTGAGCACTAGTGAACCACACGGTCTCAAAGGATGAAGTTATGTACCTAATTCGGTGAGTTTGGAATATCATGGCTGACATAGAGACCTGCACCAGTGTTGTTAGCCTTACTGGTGCCTATTATCTAGTAGGAATGAACTTACCGTCTCCATACGCAAGCCATGAAAATTCATCATCAACCACACGAGAAGCTGTTGAAGAAGTAATGCTTGAATATTGCAACAAAAATGATTCAAAATTTTACTTTTACTGGTAACTTAGTAGACTTCCACAGACCAATACTTGCCATACCCATGAACTTTACGTCTCTCGCCGATCAGACAAACTAGATATATAGATGAGAACGCCGTATCCCATATATACAACAGCTGGGAGACACCAAAATCATTCCAATGGACATTCTCTTACACCAACCAACTTTTCAATCCTTCTTTCCAACACCATATCCATAACCTCCACCCACACCATACCCATAACCGTTATACCGCGCGCTCTCCACCCCCAGCGCCCTATCCTTACCATACCGTTTCAGGCGTCTCGGCAGCTCGACGCCACGGAACCAGGCAAAGCAGACGGCCGTCGCGGCGCCCGCAGACAGCATACAGTACACAACGGTACTCATATAGACATGGCCACCGACGCCGGACCAGCCACTCGGCAGATTGGGGCTAGGGTACCAGCGCACCGAAAAGCTCAAGGGCAAGCTATCGCCGATGACGATCTTTGTATTGCGCGACGCAGGGCTGACGCTGTACGCGGTGGCGGCGTCGATAGTGCCGGGCGCGAGCGCGCGCGGCGCCGCGTGCAGCAGCACGTTGAGCTGGTTTGCGATGTGCAGGTGGGAGCGCTGCAGCGTGCCCGTGAGGGCGATGACGAGGGGCGTGTATGCCGTGCTCTGCGCGCCCAGCGCGCCCTGCTTCTCCGTCGCCGCGTCCACGTTGTATTCATCGCCGAGGGCGTCGGCCGTGCTGCCCGCTAGTGGTCGCGTCGGGATGCGGCATGTTAGGGGGGCGTCGTTGTGGACGTAGAACTCGAGGAGGTGGAAGAATGGGTCGGATACAAAGTCGATCGTGCAGTTCACCTCTGTCGTCGCTTGTTAGTTGCCGGTTTCTCGGCCCTTGTGCGCGTCTCACAACGTACCTTTCTCTATGCCAAAGTAGAGCTCCAGAGGTCGTTTGGTCTCATTGCAGACCGGGAAGGGGATGTACTGGAGCTGCCCCGACTCGTCCGTAATCTGGATGTACCCATAGTATCAGCCTCGTCGTCCTTCTTTGTGTGTTCTCGTATCTCCTTGAGCGGTGGTGGAGGTGCGGGCGCGTACGTGTTCCCCGGTATCTCTGCGCACATGTTAGCAATCTGTCCAATTTAAGCTCCGCGACGCCACGAACATGGTTCTGTTCAAGCACGTTACCGGTATCGCCTGTCCGACGCTATATTCCGGCTCTTTAACGGCTTTGAGTGGCTCCTGGCTGGAAACGGCATGCGCGAGTGTAAAGTAGAAGCTGCCCAGCATCGCCAATGCCAGGCGCAGGGATCGGCCACGCAGTGCCATGGGTGCGACGGACTGTGAAAGGAGCGGCGATAGAAGGAAAATAAATGAAGGGGCTATTAATCCGGGAGCGCTTTCTTTATCTCCTGTAGGTATCGTTAAGGATACAATGCCATCACCGGGCGCGACCTTAGCCTAGTTGGTACCGAAAAAGGTACCAAGCTTACGGGGGGAGACACCAAGCTAACAAGCGGGTCATTTCTAGGAACCCACAGGATCGACATCACGACAAGCTCCCACCATCTAGCAAACCATGCACCACAATCAAGACCAATCCACAGGAAGGACAGTATGAGTTATGTATCGAATTCGTTATATCGCATTCGCTATATGCTTGGAATCAAATTATACTCCTTTGTTCTCCGGCACGCCCAGAATTATAGCATGCTTCCAAAACGTTTCTCGTCAATAAGTCACTGCTTAGAGATGCCAGACTTCTTCTTGAAGGCGTTGATGAGGCCGCTCGTGCTGGCATCGTGGTTCTCCGACTCCTTGGGGTCCTCAAGCTCGGCAAGAATCTTCTTGGCCAGGACCTTGCCCAGCTCAACACCCCACTGGTCGAAGGAGTTGATGTTCCAAATGGCGCCCTCGGTGAACGTCAAGTGCTCGTAGTAGGCGATCAGCGCACCAAGAGTGGCGGGGGTGATCTTCTGAGCGAGAATGGTGGTGGTGGGGCGGTTGCCCAGGAAGGTCTTGTGGTTGACGAGCTCCTCGGGAGCGCCCTCGGACTTGACCTCATCGGGGGTTTTGCCGACCATGAGAGCCTCAGCCTGCGCAAAGAAGTTGGAGGCAAGCATCCTGTTACAATTAGCTTATGATCTGGAGTTCTAGCATCATGGGTACTTACTTCTGGTGCAGGTTGTTCTCGACAGGGTTGTGGCTCTCCGCCGCCATGATGAAGTCGGTGGGGATGAGCTTGGTGCCCTGGTGCAGCAGCTGGAAGAAAGAGTGCTGAGCGTTCGTGGCGGGCTCACCGAAGAGGATGGCACCGGTGGTGTACTTGACGTAGTCGCCGCTGCGGGTGATGGCCTTGCCGTTGGACTCCATAGACAGCTGCTGGAGGTAGGCAGGGAAGCGGTGGAGGTACTGGTCGAAAGGAGCAACGAGGTGGGTCTGAGCACCGAAGAAGTCGGAGTACCAGACGCTCAGAAGACCAGCAAGAACGGGAATGTTCTGGTCAAGAGGAGTCTCCTTGAAGTGCTTGTCCATAGCGTGGGCACCGGCAAGGAACTGGTGGAAGTTCTCGTAGCCAATATACAGGCAGACGCTCAGACCGATAGCGCTCCAGACACTGTAACGGCCACCAACCCAGTCAGAGAAGGGGAACATGTTCTTCTTGTCAATGCCGAACTTGGTCACCTCGGCCTCGTTCGTGGACAGAGCGACGAAGTGCTTGGCAATGTGGGACTCGTCCTTCGCAGACTCCAAGAACCAGTGCTTGGCAGTGTTGGCGTTGGTGCAGGTCTCGGCGGTGGTGAAGGTCTTGGAGGCAATGAGGAAGAGAGTGGTCTCGGGGTTGGACTCCTTCAAAGCCTCGGCAATATGCGTACCGTCAATGTTGGAGACGAAGTGCAGCTTGAGGTCACGCTGGCCGTAAGGCTTCAGGGCCTCGGAAACCATGACGGGGCCGCTGGATTTGCCGTTAATTAATCGTCTTCTGCATCTTCTTTTAGGGGTCAACTTACAGGTCGGAACCACCGATACCAACGTTGATGATGGTATCGATCTTCTTGCCGGTGTAACCCTTCCACTCTCCGCTGCGGACCTGCTCGGAGAACTCCTTCATGTGCTCGAGGACGCTGTTGACATCCTCGACAACGCTCTTGCCATCAACCTGCATGGGCTGGTTGGAGGTGTTGCGGAGCGCAACGTGGTAGACGGCGCGCTTCTCGGTGAAGTTAATCTTCTCGCCGGCGAACATGTCATCACGGAGCTTCTCGAGGTTGGCCTCCTTAGCAAGCTTCACGAGCAAGTCGAGGGTCTCCTCAGTGATGAAGTTCTTGGAGAAGTCGAAGAGGGTCTCCGACTTGTCGGCCTCATTGTAGAAGGTGCGCGAGAACTTCTCGAAGCGCTTAGGGTCCTTCGCGAAGTACTCCTTCAGGACAATGTCCTTGCCGAGAGACTGGTGGTGCTCCTGGAGCTGCTGCCACGCCCTCAGCTCGTTGGCTTGCGAAAAACCAGGCATGTTGTCGTGAGATGGGGTGATCGGAGCTGTTGACGCGGGAATTGCGTTAGTCTGATGCGGGGCGGGGCAGCGCAGCGAGAGGGATTGAACAGCAGGGCGGACTCACCAAGATACGGGTATCACTGAATACTGAAGGGAGACAAGTAAGGAGAAGCTTGGAAGGAAGAAGATGGATGGCGGAGTAGCCGGAGGAAGATTGCGTGGATGAACTTTGTTGTCTTGGAGGGGCCGGCCGTGAGCAGGTGGCAGGTGGGGGCATCGGAATGCGGGCTATGTCATTGCCTGACATAATCTGAGCTCCATAACAAGTTACATAAGGCGTCTATACGATGCTATTCTGCAAACTGCTCCACTACGGCCAATCGCCATTCGCGTGCTTGTTACAGATCAGACGATCAGTATTCAACGCCTTCGGTCTCGAATCGAGCGCCGTGATATCCACGAATTAGCTGCAGCTGAGCCCCACTCTTGCAAGTTGCCTTACCAAGCTTCCACCTTGCGACCTCATTCGAGACCGCATGGGAAGGAGCGGAGGGGTCACGCCTCACTTCAAAAATGAGGCAAAGATGCCCGCGAAAGAAAGATCTATTTCCCAGAGAAGCAGAACCAGCCCGAACGCAGCGCCAACCGCCCTGTGTGTTAGATTGTGAAAAGAAGCCGCACGCTCCGCCGACCGTCAAGCACTGCTCTCGCCCGCAAAGGACGACGTCCGGCGCGCCAGCTACAGGACTCTGGGCCCTCTCTTGTATAAAAAAGCAACAAAAAAACTCAATTTCCACCCCGCTCCAACCTACCCTATCCTGCCTTGCCCTGCTTAAATGCATGAAGAAACCGGATTGAACACAATCGCTCAAGTGTTGAATCCAATCATCATAAGTCGTGCCAATTGCAGACCTGATGACCATCTTTCGGCCGCTCTATCTGGCCGCATCCTCAAAAGCGTTGTCGACAACACTGCCTCCCGCATCTCCAAGACCGGCGACGGGTCTGTTGTACGACCAGCCAGCAAACTGCTGCTGCATCGTCTGCGAGAGCATGGGTCCTTCGACGTAAGAGTCAGTCGGCGCTTCAGAGGTGAATTCTCGGTCAAAGTTCGCAGTGTCCCTTTGATCCACCTGTCATGAAAAGTTAGCGCGACCGCGAGACCGTACATACAAAGTGTAAACTTACCACGTTCGGCTTAAAGCTTGGCTCGTACTTGCGGTCCAGAAGCTTCCTCCAGTCGATGCTGTGGAAGAAGTAGTGGGCTTTGATCTCCGCAGCACCGTTGGCGCCAAGACGCTTCTCCGCATTACGGTCCAGGAGCCTTGTCAGAAGATCCCGCGCGGCGGGCGGAACGATTTCCGGACCCGGGAAGTGGAGAGGTTCGGTAAGGATCTTGCGGTACATGTCGTTGGTGTTCTCGTCGTAGAATGGCGGCAGTCCTGTCAACATCTCATAGAGGAGAACACCAAGAGTCCACCAATCGACAGTCTTGGTGTAACCACCACCAGTAAGTAGCTCGGGGGCGAGGTATTCGGGCGTTCCACAGAATGCTAATATCATGTTAGTGGGGAATGCCAGTGTTTCAGGTGGTTGTACATACTGTTAGTCCTGTCTTCGTCTTTCATGTCCAGCTTGCAGAGACCGAAGTCACAGAGCGCAATGTGACCAGTGTAGTCAAGCAGGATGTTCTCCGGCTTCAAGTCACGGTAAATGACGTTGAAACCATGGAGACACTCAAGCGCGCAGAGCAGCTCGGCGGCGTAGAAACGCGCACGGTTGATATCGAAGCGCTGCTCCTTTTGAAGATGGTGGAAAAGTTCACCTCCGTTGACGAAAGCCAGGACAAGGTAAAGTTTCTCAGGCGACTGGAAGGAGAACTTCAGAGGGACAATGAATGGATTGTTGATCTGAGCGAGTACGGACCGCTCGGCCAGCGTGTGCGCGACTTCGGAACGTGAGATGATGTGAGCCTTGCGAATCGTCTTGAGGGCGTAAATCCGATGGGTGTCGTGCTTCCTGTACGTCAGTGTCAGCATGATTCGAATGAAGGAAGCGCGTGATTCGGTACTAACATGACCTGCATGACCTTGCCAAAACTGCCCTTACCGACGACCTTGAGAAGCTCGAAGTCTTCAATCTTGAGGCGATCCTGCCTGTTCTCGACGAATCGGACGCCGACCTTGAGGTTGCCCGTGCCGTACTGAACGTCGATCCAGTCTGCTCCAACTTGACCCAAAGTACGCTCTTGCTCGGCATAAGCAGCTGCCGCCTTTTCCTTGTCTTTCTTGCTCAACTTGGGGTCCTCGACGTACGGTTGCCCCTCCTCGAATCTGGGGTTGACCTTGCAGGTGCCAATGAAGATATCTTCATTGCGTCCCGCGCTCGGTGAGGCATTCGGGTTTCTGATATAAAGAGAGATGGATAGGTCGGTGGTACGAGAAACATCGAATTTATATTGTGTGTTCTCGCCGGCCCAGACGGGGTTCTCGGGGTTTCCGGAGACGGCGTTGACGAAGACTTGCTGCTTGTCGAAATCGACCAGGGCGTAAGGCAGATACTTGGCAGAGTAGCGACCGTGAACGGTAGGAGCGGCGTTGATGGCGCCGGTCGTGGAGTGTGGTCGGCCCTGTTTCACATACGAGCCCGCCATGCTGCCTGAGCCGGGGCGCATTGAGCCAGCGACCGAAAACCCACCCCCTTGCGACAGAGATCCCTGATGATGGGCACCCTGTCCAAAGTTCTGCTCCGCCCCTGGCGGCAGTGAGAAACCTTTGCCTTCATGGAGCGTGACTATAAGGATACCGGGCTTGAGCGGAGGAGGGGGCGGCGCGGCACTCGCGTCTGATGCGGCTGTGGCGAGTGAGCACATGGACTTATCGCAAAGGACGGGGCGACCTACCAATGCCATTCGGGTCCTTAGGATCAGGGCCGGAGCCGGTGGGAGTCTTGTCGACAATGGTGGAGGTGGATGACGAGCGGCTGAAGGTGTTGGCCAGAGGAGCCAGGTGCGTCTCCTTGAGCTCTGCATGGAGCGTTAGTTTTGGGTAGCGACGGAGGGCGCGGGCTGGAGGCTTACTCTTGGTTAACTTCCAGGACATGGTGGCGAGGTGAGGTGGGCGACCGAAGGGAGCGGGCGGAGCGATGGGCAGCGCGGAAGAGGAACCCGTCTAGCGGGGTGTACAAGTCGAGACGTAGAAGGAAATGAGTGGCGTTCGAACAGGGCGCTGGACCAGAACCAAGCTGAAATGCACCGCCTGTACGCGCGAGGACCGAGGGCTTTCGTGATGAGGGTGGCTGTGTGAGAGGCGGCTGGCAGATTGTAATCCACGGGGAGCGTCTGAGGGGAATAGTTCGAAGGCACTGCCCCGGCTTCAATCGAACCGCACTAAAGCCCGATCGGGCATCTTGGTCGCCAAGGAGTCCCCCAACGTCAAGTGCCGACGCCGCCGCGCAACTCTCACCGCAGGTGCACGATAACAATCCGCCTTGCCGGGCTAGACAAGGTGAAGCCGGACTGTCTGCGCCACTCGACACATCCTCACCCGCTCTTCTGACGCCCGGTGCCCTTGGGTGAGGTGACGCGCTACGCGAACGCATTGACTTTGGCTGCCTCGGGCCACCAGCTGGGCTGCAGGGTGCTGCTTCCTACCCCAGATTCTCTCGCCGCGACACCATGGGCGTCATCAAGAAGAAGACGGCCGTCCGGAGCACCGAGGGCGGCGTCAAGTACGTCTGCGACATTTGCTCCGTTGACATCACCTCGACCGTGAGTCTGTTGTTGCCCGCCCCGCGACTGTCTACTCATCATTTCGCAGGTTCGCATACGCTGCGCCAACCCCGCCTGCAATGAATACGACCTCTGTGTGCCCTGCTTTTCCGAGGGCAAGAGCTCCCGCGACCACGACCCGCGCACCCATTCCTATCACGTCATCGAACAGCACTCAATACCCATCTTCACCGGCGACTGGGGCGCCGACGAGGAGCTGGCCTTGCTCGAGGGTGCTGAGACGTACGGCCTGGGATCATGGGCGGACATTGCCGACCACATTGGCGGCTTCCGAACCAAGGACGAAGTGCGCGACCACTACATCGATACCTACATCAACAGCTCGACGTTCCCGCTGCCTGAACATGCCAGCCCGGAGGATACGCGTCTCAGCGAAGAAACGCCTCGAGAGGAGTTCCAAAAGCGGAAGAAGCGGAGGATAGAAGAACGGAAGGATGCTGCCAAGAATGCGCCACCTGCGACACCGAAACAGAAACCCACGGCCAGTGTACCCGCATGTCACGAGGTTCAAGGGTTTATGCCGGGCCGCTTGGAATTTGAGACAGAGTACTTCAACGAGGCCGAAGAGGCCGTGCAACACATGCAGTTTGAGCCCGGCGATGGCATCAATCCAAAGACTGGTGAGCTGGAACCGGAGATGGAGCTGAAGATGACCATCATGGACATCTACAATGCCCGCCTCACTGCTCGTGTGGAGCGCAAGAAGATATTATTTGAGCACAGGTTGCTCGAATACCGCAAAAACCAGGCCCTGGACAAAAAGCGGACAAAAGAAGAACGGGATCTGCTAAACAAGGCCAAGCCATTCGCACGCATGATGAGGCATTCGGACTTTGAGGAGTTCACAAAAGGCCTAGAATATGAACACAATTTACGTCAAGCGATTTCACAGCTCCAAGACTGGAGGCTTATGCAAATTACCAACCTGAAGGCCGGCGAGAAATACGAGGCAGAAAAGCATCAACGGTTGCTCAGAGGGCCGCCTGTCGGCTCCTTTGACAGGTTAGCCGCCACGCGCATCAACAAGCCACCGCTACCTGTCGAAACCACGTCCGCAACATCCGCTTTGACGGCTCCTGATCTTGCGATCCGGCCCCTCAACGCACAGCCAACGCCACCCACATCCGCATCGCCGGGCGAGAAGCCCCTCACGAATGGCAATGCGAATGGTGTTTCGGAGGGCAACCACAAACAAAAGTTCCAGGCGCAGCCAATACAAGGCGTCCCTACCCTGAAGCTCAACGACGAAAACGCAGCAGACCTGCACCTGTTATTACCGGAGGAGCGTGAGCTGTGCGTGGCGCTACATCTCAAGCCCAAGCCCTATATCGCCATCAAGGAGGCGATGCTGCAGGAGGCCATCCGGCAAGGGGGTAGCATCAAGAAGAAGGCGGCACGGGAAATCTGCAAGATTGACGAGAGAAAGGGCGGGAGGATTTATGATTTCTTCGTGTACAGCGGGTGGATCACGAAAGCGTAGACTACGAGTACAAGCAGCTGTTTGCGGGCGGGCTTCTGGATACCCCCTGGCGGTTCTCTTGCATGTGACAGAGGCTCCGGGACCGTGGGATTGACGCTCGGGCGTAGGGCGAAAAGGTACACGATAGAGACGAGTGAAGTAGCGTGGCTGTACGAGTACACGATGTCAAGTTCCTTGTTTGTTTGCCTCTGAACAGCGCATCATATCACGCCAAAGTCTCGCTGCCGAGGGCGGTCAGGGCAGGTTCGCGCTCGTGCACGGCCGGAATCTAGGCCGCAGGGCACGTCACGATGCTTCCCTGGCCTGTTGCCGGGGTAGCTTGGTAGTTTGCAGCGTTCACTGACCCAGAAAACACCTTTAATCACCCCGCACCCACTCCTCCATGAACCCGACGACGCGCCCACATCATTCGTTCGCCATGTCTATCTAGAAGATCTTACAACTGGTCGCCAGCGGACGTGACCAACAAACCCTTGTTCCACTTTTCTCCCCGCATTCAGCCCTTTGTCTCTGAGCTCCAAGGCTCCACTCGCCAACATGACCGGCTCACCGCAACCTACCAAATCCGCAAGATCCGTCCCAGCCCGTGGGGCGCTTCTGCCGCAAAAGCTGCATCCTTGTCAGGGAGCTCGGGCGTCTATTTTTCAACCACCTCATACCCCCACCTCCATCTCCTCTGCACCTCCTCACGGTTCCCCTCTGCGCCGAACAGGAACCTGGGATGATGCAACAACACCGAACTTAAGTCGGAAGCGTTCCCGCGCCGATCCGGATTCGTCTTCTGTCAACAACCTCAACACACCTTACTCTGCTTCTGCCAACGGCTGGACCACTATGGCTGATGTTTCAACCATCATGCGCTCCATCGACACCACAAGCCCGCCACCCTTTGTCAACACCCGATACACCTGCGCCGGGGGCCTGGATACTCCGGGGTTGAAGGCGGCAGCTATCTACGACACCGAGGACGACAACCCGTACGTCGACTTTCGGCGGAGATGGAGCGTCACCAGTCACGACGACAACGCCATCTCCGCTTCCACGGCCCTTGGCCACGGCAAACGCAAGCGATCTCAATCCACGAATGATGCTACATCTGAGGGCTGGGGCAGATTTGTCTTCACGCTGGTCGGAGGAGTAGCCAGCAAGGTCTGGGAGTTTGCTCGCAACAGCACCTTCAGAGGCTTCTACGCTGGCGGGGGCCAAGGATACAAGATGCCGAGACCCAACGGTCTGAACAGGAAAAGTTCAACTTGCAGTGTCTGGGAGGATGTCAGCACCCATCACAGCCCAAGAGGGTTCGATTTCTCTTCAAACCCGGTACCCGGCCGATTTCCCCAGAATGAGCTCTGCCGAGCGAGAGAGGACAGTCCACAGCGCCCGGCAAAGAAGCAGCATACGGACATGGGGGCAAGCTGGGTGATGGTACCTCGACCAACTGAAGACGCGAAGTCGTCGAGCACAGTGCGGAAAACGCCCCAGCCAAATGGCGTGCCTCGATTCTCGCGGCCCCGGGCATCTTCTGGACCTCGACGCTCAATCCTCCCCGCTCCGCGGCGATCCTCGACTGGCCAAACTGGCTCACCGGCGGTTCAGACGGAGAAGTCTGCGTATTCCACGCTGCCCCGCTCCCGGGCGCATTCGAGAACATCCATCAACAGCAACAGTTCCGGAAAGAGCACGCCCCTCTCGCCAGAGACGCAGAAGTGGATGGCCCAGAGACGCAGGGAGGATCAAGAGGCCAACGCGAGCATGCGAAAGCTGAACGCTCAGCTCAGAGCCATGATCACGCAGGGTCGGCAGGCACTGGGCACCAAGATTGAAATCGAGGACGGCGAGGACGAGATGATGGAGGACGAAGGCTTTGCCGAGGGCTGCATTGATCAGCCTATGAAGTGGTAGATAGATCCATTGGTGTCGCATGGCGCTTTGCTTTTAGGTTTGCGGCGTTTTCTGGAAACTGATACCCTCATGGTGCGGGCACAATGACTTCAAATGGAACAAAAAATAACGAGACGGATCGTCCCAGAGGGGCATCAGGATAACCGAGGGTTGCATGCTGGTTTTGCTTCAAGGTTAGCTTTTTCCTTTTTTACCGTTTTTCTTTTTTACATATGACGCGTTACGACTATGATACAGAAATTGAGAAAGACGTCGAGATCATGACGGAAGTAGACATGTGGCTGTGTGATATCTCTGTTCTCTCAGTGTCTCTCAACAAGATCGGAAAGACAAGCATCTGGCGAGAAGACCCGTCCAGCTTTACCGCACTACCTAACCTAGCCTTAGCTAACAACCAGCGCCCCCACCCCACCCCAACCCAAGAAAAAAAATCCATCACGATTACGCCTGAGAGTGAAGCCAGCCAGCCCGCTAAACACGCGCCAACGCGGAGCCGCGCGGAGCTAGTGACGACGCAGATCCAGACGTCACAAGCCCTCTCCGTCGTGGCAGAAGGATGCCGATGGAGCGGTGCGAGCGGTCGGACAACGACAGAAAATCACGAGGCTGGCGCGCACAGGTGTGCTCCTGCTCCTGCGGCCAGACCCTGGCGGCGTCATCTTACGCCAAGCAGGCGAAGGAAGAGAAAGATGCTGAAGCAAGCAAGCAAGCAAGCAAGATATGTACGCACGCACGCAGCCGGCTTGCTGGCGCATGCCTCATTGTTCGGCGGTCGTGCCGCCTCGGGCCTTTTCCCCGCAGTAGCTCAGGCACGCGACCGCTAGGTAGGTGTGTGTATGTACTCTGCCTGCCCATGCTCGGTGTGGATGGCGCACGCACGAGATCCAACGCAAGGCAAGGGGGAGGGCGGACGGGCGACGAACGACGCGGGCCAAGACGGATGGGCGGGCGGCTGTGGCTAGCCGGCTTGGGCGGGCGCGCGCGTTTGTGCCGGCTCTCTTGACCTTACTGCGTGTGTGGATGATGGACACGACACGTTCTTTTCGCGGTTTGGTGTGTCCCTACATAGGTGCTCTAGGGTTGCGATATAACGGCTGCACTAACTGGCTGTGTGGCGCGGCTTGCTAACTACCTAGCTGTTCTTGAATAGGTACTGCGGCTTGGCTTGCCCTACACTACTACTGTCTGCCGCGGTTTGTTTTTTCACTTCTTGCGTTTTTTTCTCTTCTGCTCGTTCTGGTTCTGCTTCTAATTTATTTTCTTCTTTGACCAGCTGGCTTATCGAACGCGTTGCGCCCTTGTTAGCTAGCGGTTGGTGGTAGTGGGCTTTTTGCTATCTATCTATCTATCTCGGTCCTAGCTCTTGGCTCTCTCTGGAGGTGGAGCAGCTGCGCCGTAAAGAGAGCTTGCAGCAAGCAAGCAAGCAAGCAAGCAAGCAGGGCATCCTCAGCTACAGCAGCATCTCTCGCACCTCTCCTTCTCTCTCTCTCCATCTTAGGTGTGGAGCTCTCTAGCACACCCACCCACAAACCAATCCACCAGCACGACCACCAGCACGACCACCAGCACAGCCACAACCATGACCACCAGCATGCTGCTGCTCCCCCAACAACAGCACACCCCGCACGAGCCCCTTCCGCTCTACCGCCCCCGCGACCCGGAAACAGACTCCCTCCTCTCCTCCGCCCCCTCCTACCACTCCGACATCCCGTCCTACCACTCTCGCCGCCCCAGCAGCTGCCACCTCGGCGTCGACGCCGTAGCCCCGCCGGAGCCGGTCTACTACGTCCACTCCTCGCTGCTGGACATTTCTGCGCCGCCGCGGTGCGGCAGCAACACGGCCACCATCACCAGCAGCAGCAACAGCAGTAGCAGCGGCAGTAGGCAAGATCAAACCCGGAGCCAGGGACAGGAACAGCCACTGCCCCTCCGCCTCCTGCCAGGCCCGGGCCTCAGCCCCCCAGCTGCCACAGACACCCCAACCCCCCGCGTCTACCCCGTCCCCTCCCTAGGGCCCGCAAAGCACCGTCTGTACCACAACGTCGCGAGGCGGCGGGCGCTGCGGCGGCTGGGCGACAGCAATGCTGGCACCAGTACCACCGCCGCCGCCACCGTCACTATCACGAACCGCGGGAACGGTAGCGGCAGCAGCGGAGGAGGACCCCACGCGCCCTCGCCCGTCCCAGCCGCGAACGCGAACGAGAACGCGAACGAGGGCGCGGGGGAGGCGCCGTCACGCAGCGCAGACGCGGCCACAGCGACAGCGCGCGAACAGCAGCACCTCGCCCTCCTGGTAGCCGAGAGCGCAAGCTGGGACTTTATGCGCGCGCAGCTGGCGGAGCGGGAGCACACACTGACGCTGCTGCCCGTGGAGCGAGAAAATCGTGCTGTAGGCACACACCATCCTCTTCCTGCTGGTGCTGGTGCTCCTACCAGAGCCGGCGGTCGCGGTGGCGGTGTAGCCCGCGCACTAAGCAGCAGCAGCAGAAGCAAGAGCTGGCGCGTTTTGGGGAGGGCGCTTTTGGGCAGTGCGGGTGCGGGCGCTGGTGGTGGGGGGAGGAGAGGGGATACGGAGGGGAAGGGGAAGGGGAAGGCGGGTTGGGGACGCAGGAGGGGCTGGGCAATTGGTGGGTTTAGGTTTGGGCGGTTTGTTTAGTGGGGTTGTGTTTTCGGGGGGTTTGGGGTTAGAGGGTTTGGGAGGGTAATGATTTTAGGAAATTCACACATAGATTTCGCACTGCCGAATTAGGTAGCCTCATAGGTATAAAGATGGAAGAGACGGGTAGAGCAAACTGGGCATCTAAGGGGATGTAGAAGCTTGTTCGTTCGTAGCACCGTCCCGTTCAATGACAAGAGTGAGAACCGTGGCTTCATTTACAGACGATGATACATTTTCGACGCGGAGCCAAAAGACTAGACAACTTGGGACCCCCCCTTGATGCCTGAACAGAACCCCCTGGATGCAAACATGCGTACGTCGTGCCTATACCGCATTCACACACACTCTGCCCTCTGTCTTCTCGTGGCCGCTGCTGTCAAGTTTCGGGTTTTCTTCCTCTTTGCTCTGCGTGCTCTCCGCTCCATCCACTCCTTCCAATCCAACCACAACACCCCACCCCATCTACCAGCCCTGCCGCCTAAGATACTGCACACGCTCGACCGTCGCCTTGAAGCCGTTCATGAAGCGATTACGCCAGCGCATACTAGCCAGACGCTTGCGCTTCAAGCCCGGGCGCTCATAGAACTGCTGGTTGAGATAGTGGCCACGGACGCGGTTCCGGCTCATAGTCTGATCAAGCAGGCGCAAGCCGCGCGCCAGGTCGAGATTCTTGCTGATTTCGATGGAGCGGCCGGCGGCGGGCCCCAGCCGCGGCAGCAGCTCCGGGTCCGGCGGCGTCAGCAGGTCCTTGGGCGAGGCGGCGATGCCCTGGGCGCGCGAGAGCTGGCCCACGCGCTCGTAGAGCCCCCCCGGCCGCGGGCCCCGGTCTAGCGAGCCGAACAGGTTGAGGGCGTCTTCGGCCGAGGAGCTGCGCGTGCGCGCCGCGGCGCCGCCGAACGGGTTGTTGGCGTTGTTGTTGGTGTTGGGTGCTTGCGAGAAGCCCAGCCGCGTGTGGGTCCGGTTGTCGGCTTGCGCCGTCGCGGCTTTGAAGCGCGAGGTCCGCGGCCCGGCCGTCTTGGTGAAGGACAGGGCGTCGTTGAGCAGGCTGGTTAGTTCGTGCGAGCGCGGCGAGGCGTTGGGCTGCGTGGGCGCTCCGGTCGGCGCGGGCGCGCGCTGCTGCTGCTCTTCGGGGCTACCGCTGGGGGATTGGCCGTCGTGGCGGGCGGCTGAGACGCTGAAGGCCCTCGTGCTGGCCAGCAGGGACTGGCGCTGGTGGTGGTGGTGGAGACATGGGCGGGCGAAGGCGGAGATGAGGTTGGAGCGCAGTCGGAGTTCCATGGTGGTGGCAGAGGCTGGGAGGAGGAGGAGGGAGGTCAGCGCGGAGGTGCGAATGGATGGATGGGGACACACACACTTCAATGGAGTCGACAAGGACGTGGGATGTGCATCTTCCCGCGCTCAAAGTTTCCGGCCGGGGCGCGCGCGTGGCCCGAGCGCGCGTTTGGCGAAGAAGCTCCAGCGACTTGTTCGTCTACCGTATCTCTCTCTCTTTCTTCGAGCAGCTGCAGTTGTCGGCTGTTACTCTCGCTGCTCCCTCCGCTCTCCGACCCGTCTCTTCACTCTGCTGTGCGACGCGCATTGAGCTGCCGCCATGTACAACTATCAAGGTGAGGCGCTCTTCACCTGCCCGTCCCGCGCATCACGCCCGGCTAACCCGTCGCAGCTCCAGGACAATATGCGCGCCCCCCAGGCTACGCTGCCTACCCAGGCGCCAGCGGGACGCCGCCAGGAATGGCTCCGCCGCCCGGCATGGGTAAGCAACCTCGACGCCGACGAGACAAGACAAGACGCTGACAACACACCGTACGGACAGGGCCGCCTCCCGGAGCCATGCCCGCGCCGGGCGTGAGCGCTCCCCCCGGAATCCAGCAGGCGCAGTCGCCGCTGCCCGCGCGCCCCGGCAACCTCCCGCCCAACTTCCAGCCCCCGGCCGGCATGCCCAACATCAACTTCAGCGCGCCCGTCATTCGCCTGGGCACCACGGGCCCCAGCCCCGCGCCCTCGGGCCGCAAGGAGAGCGCCGCCGAGCCGCTGTCGGCCGGCGGTAGGCGTCCGGGCCTCGGCGGCGACTTGAGGGGCGATTCGCAGCGCGGCCAGATGCGCGACTCGATCATGTCGTTGCAGCCGCCTACGCGCGAGGAGATTATGCGCACCATCTTCATTGGCAACATCCCGGACGGCGTGGGCGGCGACGACGGCGTTGAGCGGATATTGCGCACGGCGGGGAACTTGCGTCGCTGGAGCAGGGTCACAGATGCCGACGACAAGCCGTGCAAGTTTGGCTTTGCCGAGTATGAGGATGCCCAGAGCTTGGAGACCGCGGCGGAGATTTTCAAGAATGGCGTCGAGGTCCCGCTCAAGAAGCAGGAAGCTATGAAGACGGAGGAAGAGGTCGAGAAGACGATTCTCTTGGTATGGTTTTGTTATTCTGGCATTTCAATGGCTTTAAATACTGATGTGTCTACAGGTCAAGGTTGACGAGGCCTCGATGGCATACGCCGAGGAGTGGAAGGGCAAACGCGACGAAGACGAGTCCGCTGCGCAGTTCCGTGTTGATACCGCCAAGGAGGCCTTGACTAGTGTCATCCATAGCCTTTTCCACCCCCGTGAAGCTCCGACCCAGGACAACGAAGGCGACGTCGCCATGGGCGATTCCGAGACCAAGATCGACGGCGCTACCGGCGAAGTCGTCACCATCCCTCTTACCGTCGAGGACGAACTGTCTGACATTCCTCCTGAAATGCGCGAGACCGTCGCGGCGGAGATTGCTGCTTTCCGTGATCGCAGTGTGCGCAGGGATATGGAGCGTCTGGCGCGTGAAGAGGAGATGGAGAAGCTGGAACGTCAGAGAGGCTCGGGGGCCCGCATCAACCGCCTGGCTTCGCCGCCTACGACGGCACCTAGCGGACCCGGTGGTGGCGCGAACGGCATCCCTCTCGGACCCAGCAAGCGTGGTGTGGAAGGTGCGCCAAGCGGTCCCAAGGCTTTCACCGGCGCGCAGATTCCCAAGGACTATCAGAACGGCGTGGCGTTTGTCAATGGCTCTTCTTCCTGGATCCACCGCGAGGATGAGGATGATCCGGCCAGCGACGAGGAGCTGGAGCGTCGTCGCAAGGCTAAGCAAAAGGCAGAGGAGGACAAGTCCTACCGTGAGGAAGAGCGTCGTTGGCAGAACCGCGAGAAGAGTCGTACGGCTGCTCTTGCACGTGAGAAAAAGCGTGACGACGAAGAGGAGAAGGCGCAGGAGGCCGAGAAGGACGCCATGGCCAAGCGCCTCGCCGACTGGGATGACGACGAGGAATCCGCCCGCAAGGCCGAAGAGTACTACTCGGACCGTCCGATGTGGTTGCGCAACCGACAGGCGTTCCGCCAACGCGAGTCGGCTGCCGACCAGAAGGACCGCGAAGCCGAGGACCGCGAGAACGCGCGTGAGACGGAGAAGCGCGAGCAAGCGCGCGGGCTGGCCGACTCGTTTCTGGACCGCACGGCCAGCGAGCTGTCAGCGCGCTCGGCCGCAGCACCCACGACGCCGCGCGAGCCGGCGCGCTTCAAGATGTCGCTGGCGGCAGCGGCGTCGCAGCGGGCGCAACAAGCGGCGCCGCGGCGCACGGCGGCCGAGGTCGAAGGCCTGCTCGAGGACGAGGAAGACACGGAGCAGTCGCAGCGGCGCAAGGTCGGGCTCATTCCGTTCGACCCCAACGACCTGAAGGCAAATATGACGGAGGAAGAGAAGCGCGAGGCGGCCAAGCAGCTGGCGGCGGATATTCCGAACGATCTCGAGGGTCTGGTCAATTGGCAGGTCGACTGGAAGTATATCGACGAGGAGATTATGAAGGCCCAGCTGCATCCGTTCATTGAGAAGAAGATTGAGGATTATCTGGGGGTCAGGGAGCAGATGCTGGTGGATGTGGTGGAGGAGCATGTGCGGGGGCAGGGCAAGCCGGATGATTTGATCAAGGTGCTGGAGGAGGTGAGTCTTCTTTTTTCTGTTCCTTTCCTTTCTTTACCTCTCCTTACCTTTCCTGTCCCTTCCCTTCTCTTCACGCTCCGTCAGCCGCGTCACATGTGTGTGTGCTAAGGGAACTGCTAACGTTATACTCCCAGGCACTGGACGAGGAGGCCGAACCCCTGGTCAAGAAGCTCTGGCGCATGATCATCTTCTTCTCCGAGTCGGAGAAGCGCGGCATTGCTGCGTAGGTAGGTATCGAGGTAAGGTGGGTAGGTAGGCTACTATTATGAAGAAGACGATGGTCTGGAAATCAAACTCAAAATCAAATATTGCAAGTTGGCTGGCTGGCTTCTGTCGCTGTGTCGTGTTGTGTCGTTTCGGTTTGGTTGATGTGGCTTTGTGGCTTTGGTTGTGAGGCGGGATGGCCGGGTTGGGGGGGTTGGTTGGTTGGTTGGTTGGTTGTGTCTGGCGTGATAGGTAGGTGCGTGGGTGTCTGTCTGTCTATCTGTCTGGCTGTCTCTTGGTCCTGCGGATGGGGGTGGAGGTGGGCGTGGTGTGCGTGCCTCTATCTACCGTGCTTCTGCCCTTGGTTGGTTGGTTGGTTGTGTCTGGCGTGATAGGTAGGTGCGTGGGTGTCTGTCTGTCTATCTGTCTGGCTGTCTCTTGGTCCTGCGGATGGGGGTGGAGGTGGGCGTGGTGTGCGTGCCTCTATCTACCGTGCTTCTGCCCGTTTGTTCATTCGTCCATATATCCATCCATCCATTATTTTCGCTTGCATGCATCTGTTGCCCACTTTGCGCTTTCTCTGTACGGATACGATGGGTTTGTGGGGGCGTGAGGGGTGTCTAGGAGGAGTACGTGCGTGGGAAATGAGAAGGGCTGAGAAGGCTTGGTTATAGTAGTCGTAGTACCTAGATACTAATCTATAGTTATATTAGGGGAGTTAAAGGAGAGAGTAAAGTACTTACTTTACATTATTATTAGTAGACTAGGAGGCTTTAGGAAAGGTAGGATACGTAGAGAAATTTAGTTACTTTCTTAGAGAATATAGTAAAGTAGAACGTTAATTAGACTGTTATATTTACAAGGGTCTTAATTACAGATATAGTATATTCTGCGCCGTAAACCCCCTAACAACAAAAGAGATAATTGATAATCGTTAATTTTAATTCCTTGTTTTTCGTTTTCTAAGTGTTTTTTCGTTTTTGTTTTACTTAATTTCTTATCTTTCTCATTTTTAGTGTTTTTGTTTTTTCGTTTTTCTATTTTTTATTTTTTATTTTTATACGAGATGATTTTGACGGCCTCTTCCCCTTTACGATTATGGAATGATGGAGAAAGAGACGTTCCTGGCGGTGTGATTAGGATTGCGGGCTGCAGGTCCGGGGTCGAGGCGGGTCATATCATCGAGACGAAGGGATGGCGAGGGGATAGGATTATAGAGGACGGTCATGGGAGCAGCTAAGGCACAGGCCCGGCACGATGGAAACTGTCGCAGGGTGTAAAGACATCCAGCGCAGAACAGGGCCGGCACCGCCTGAACACGTGTATGTAAGCAGATGGTCTTGAGCCGTCCCCATAGACGGGGCGGATGGCCTATGTTTCATCGGGACGGCAGAGGACCGATATGGGATGTAGGAAGTGGTGTTGCTGACAATATAACTGAATACGAAGATACCGCGTACGGTGTTGACCGCGCGCGTATAAAGAGCCACCTACATGTGACGCGTTAAGCTTATACAAGTGTCGAATAGAGTCAAACCTAATCTATAATCTATGTTTTTTCGTGTCTCTCCACGCATTATAAAGCTAACACCTACTCGCAAATACAGAGACATCACTAAGCAGCTTGACGGCGTCGCTTCATCCACTTAGCCCGCTAGACGGTTAGGGACAGCGGACAGCACGAAGCCGCTAAGCTATGCGCCGCCTGGACGAGACGCAACGACTTTACGCCCTAACGGTCTAGGCATGGACCTATATACTTTCTAGAAAATGTATAACAATTGCTTACTTTCCGTCTTTAGAACTATTAGTAATTTCTGTTCATATTTATCTGTCACTAGCAGTTAAAAGTACAAAAGCTATGAAGTTCATTCTAGACTATAGAGTAGGAAACCACAAGAGAATTTAAAGAAAGTAGTAAATACATAACTAAATACAATAGCCGAGAAGATTTCCCATCAACCACAACCACGCACTGAAACCGCACACAAAAGCCCTCCCTCAATTTAAACATCTAAACAGGCACCAACGACGCAACACCACTAAACCTTTTCCTCCACCCAGCTCATCTCCACCATCCCCACCCCCTCATCCTCACTTTCATCCCCCCTTCCCACATCCGCAAAACACCACACCACGCCCAACCCGGCACTCACACAAACCGGCACAACCAGAAACGCCGCCTCCAGCAGCGTCAACCCCACAGCCAACCCCCCCACCAGCCCTACGACCGCACTCCCCGCCAGCGTCAGCAATTTCCGTGGACGCGACGCCAGCGCGCCAAGCGCAGAGACGAGGCAGTACGCGTACGCGCTGGCGATGAAGAGCGCGAAGCAGACCGCCACGGTAGGCGTAAGCGGATTGTTGGGCGCACGGTCAAAGAGCTAGAAAAAGCGCGGTACAGTCAGCATTGCTGAGTCTACTCTTGATGACGGGTTGGGTTGGGGCGTATGACGCACGTGGTACAGAGGCCGGATGGCCGGGCTCGGACGCGCGAGCGGCACGCCCGCGTCGAGGTCGAGGAACGCCGCGCCGAGGCAGAGCGAGGAGCCTAGTTGCGCGAGGACCATGACGAGCTCGACGGGGCGCGTGTAGGGGCTTGGTGGCGTTGGTGAGGGTGGTGCTGTGGTTGCTTTGGGTACCGGGGGCTCCGGCTCAGGCCGCTTTAGTAGCGGCTCTGTGGCGAGGTATGTCGGGAGTAGAGGGCCGGGCATGGTTGGCGGTTTTTTGGTGGCTTGAGGTCGCTTTTGGGAGTTGTGTGTTGTGTTGGTGCGGGTGTCTTCTCGCTGGCTTTTTTGTTTGTCCTGGTTAAGAATGGAGTGATGAAAAGATTGCCTGTGAGTGTAGAAGTCAATATGAGTGATGAGTGAGAGGAAGTTGGAAGGCTGTAAGCAGCACTGTACCTTCCGCAGCAGCCGGGCTCAGACACAATAGGTAGGTAGCCACAAGCCAGTCGGCACCGGTTCCAACGCCAGTGAATCCCTGCTATATCGACTTGACAGTTTTTTATTTGCACGCGAGGCACGTATAAGAATAACTGAATAAGTGCCAGGAAGGCAGAGTTAAGTGATGTTGTAACTTGTTGACGTCGAGGCTGAGCCGGTGTGCCGCTGACCCCGCTTTGCGGCTGTGCTATGCTGTGCAAGAGGTTGCACACATGCATGCAGGCATATAAGCGCGAGCTTCAGCCTCGCTGCCTCGCCACTCTGCCTTGTGCTGTGCGGATGGATAGTCTGTGGATTTAATCGCTGATGTTCTGTGCGGCGCTCCTAGGCGACAGGATGGTAGACCGGCTCTTTACCTATATGCGACACAGCCCCTCTAACATATGGACACTCATGTGACTATTAGCCTTCAATACAACTGATGTTAGCAATTAGCATGTTTTAGCGGAGCTTATATCGCATCAAAGTAGAAGACCCAGCTCCTTCACCAAGTCGCGCCATACCAGTCGCAAACCACATCCCAGAAAACATTGAAAACACGCATGCATTTACTGCTGATCATGGTACATCAAAGAAACACCAAAAAGCCCTAAACCCGAAATCAAAATCCGTCGCCAGCCTGATGATGCCCCAGCCCCATGCCATGCCGTCCCAACTCCATGCAGCCGAACGCCCTCCTCTGCTTCTCCAGGAAGCAGACTATATTAGTAGATAGTATAGAGAGAAACCCCGCCAGACGAATGACAATTTCCAAATGCGCAAGAAGAATAAGAACGAGATGATGACGATGATGATGATGGAAAAGAAAAATGACGGAAAAGAAAAAGACGGCGATGAAGGAGAAGAGAATGAGAAAAGGAGAAGAAGACCACAGAAGAAGAAGTCGCACAAGTAATACCTCCACTTATTCCGCCTCCGCCGCAGCCGGCTTAACAGGCTCCCGCACAGGCTCACCATGCACAGCCCTCGCGAGGCTCTCCAGCCCCTCCAACCCCACCAGCTCCCACCCCGCATCCTCGGCCTCCCTCGCGCCCTCCAACTCCTTCAACGCGCCTCTCGCGCGTTCCAAATCCTCGCAGAGCAACCAATGCGTAATCTCCTCCTCCTTCTTCTTCTTCCACAACTCCATCTCGCCCTCCTCGCTCTCGCCAGCGGCAGCAGCAGCGTCTCCGCCCTCAGCCTCGGCCCGTACAAGCGGGGTCGCGGCGCCGTCGGTGCCGTCCGCGGCCTCGCTCTCTTGCCGTCTCGACGCGTTCGCGGCCCAGAATATCGCTTCCCATGCGCATGCCGACACGAGGATGCGGTAGATGGTGCTGAGGCGCTGCTCGGACCTGTCGGCTAGCGTGGCCCAGCGCTGGGGCTCGAAGAGCCAGCCGCCGCAGCGGAGGAAGGGTTGGCAGACTACGTTGGTGGGCCAGCGGGTGCTATGTGCGCGTTAACAGTTGTTCGTTGTGTTGCATTGTGGGGAAGGGTTAGGTTAGGTTGAGAGGACTTACAGTTGCCAGAGGTAGCCGAGGCTGAGGTTGCGGACCGCGAGTTTGGCGTACCAGACCGCGTTGTCGAAGAGGGATTGCGAGCGCGGGGTCGTGAGGTTCGAGATCATGGAGCTGATGCGTGTGAGAAGGCGTTTGAGGGTTGACATCTCCTTGATATCGGTTGTCGACTTTGCCTGGGACGGAGAAGCTTCCTCTTCGTGGTCGAGGATCACCTTGTCATCCGGGATCTCAACGCCCGCTGGGGGAGTCTCAATGACGGGGATCCCCTGGAGCTCTCGCGTGATTTTCTCTAGAGCCTCAATGCACCGGTGCCGTACTGCTGCCCGGCCCTCTTCCACCTTCAACAGGCTCTCTTTCATGAGCTCGTGTCGCTCGCGGAGGGCCTCGGAAGGTAGCAGGCAGCGCGGTCGAAGCTGCTTCAGCTCGGTGCTTTGTGACGAGTACTTCTCCCAGTGGTCTAGGAGCCGGATGTCAATACCATGCTTCTCCACGAAAACCTGCAGTTGACGCCTCATTTCCTCAAGTCGTTTGGTCTCGCGAGTAAGCTCCTCGAGAAGCACTTGGTGCTCGGGTTGCATGTGCTCGGACTCGATGCTTCCCTTGTCGTCCTTCTTGTCGTCTGCCTTGTCGTCTTGGTCGGGCGCGTTCGAGGCTTCTGCCAGCTTGTCGATGTCCAAGACGTCGGCGACCTTGATGATGATTTTCTCATCGAAGCCGGGTCCAAGAGGTTGCTCCATTACCAATTCATCGCCAACCTGAACTTGGAAAACTTCCGGCTCCTCTTCGATGATTTCGGTCTGCACGCCTCCGTCTGATACAGAAGGACCGACGGTTTCCGTTGCTTTGTCTGAGCCAACAGGAGTGACGGTTTCCGTGCCTTTGTCCGAGCTAGATGGAGTGACAGTTCCCGTACCCTTGTCAACTCCACTAGGAGTATCAGGGTCCGTTCCCCTGTCTAAAGCAGGAGGAGTGACAGTTTCTGTCGCCTTATCCGCAGTAGAAGGAAGAGCAGGGGCCTCGGGAGCAATGGTCGAAACCGTCGAGCCTCGACGCCAGACTTTCTGCATAATCGAGGGAGCACGGCGAGGACCATCAATCGAAGTTCGCCTGGTGCTTGCGAAGGGAATTTGTCCCTCCGAAAGGTGCGCAGCCCGGTAGGGATATGCATCAACGACATACTTCCGGGAAGGAGTGGCAGGGCCCTGGTTCGCGTACACTTGACGGAAATCGGGGCGCCCCCGGTGGAACACTGAGAGCGGTCCGTCACACCATGAGTTGGCATAACACAGGTGCTTGAACGGCGCATCAGTTTTCTTCGCCAAGTTGAGGAACCCGCAGCGAGGGTTGGTGAAACGGTCTGCTAAGTCAGTTCAGTCATATGCGAGGTAAATCGGGAGGAAGTACATACTCATCTGCCGCTGGCAGGATGCTTGGTAAGCTTCAAGCATGCCCGTACATGCAAGAACCCAGTAGTCCTTGTACTCCGCCGTCGTCAAAGAGATCTCTTGAATGGTATCGGTCTTGTAGACGTAGCAAGCTGGCGGGAAACGAGAGCGTGGCCAGGGGAAGCTGTCAAAGACTCCCGAAGCCTGCAACGTTTTCATGCCATCGGCACGAAGACATATATCTTCATGTCCAACCTTGGCCATGAGAAGGGCAGCACCTTCCCAGTAACCTTGGAAGAAGAATGCAGCTTCTGTCCAGCGATTGTCCCTGAGATGCTTCATGAACTTGCGGTGGAAACATGACTCCGCGAACTCGGGCAAAGCCTCCTCTGAATCACCATATGGGATCCAGAGGACAAAGTAGGGTGTGGTTGCTTCAGCAAGGAACTCATCGATGCTGGCTTTTGCTGCATCGAGGCAATGGTTGAATCTCGGTGAGGTTTCTGCCGACTTGGTGCTCTTGGAGCTTTTGCCGCTTTTGATGCTTCCTTTGTCAATCTCCTTCTGCTTCTTCTTGAACCTATCAGACCTGGCGGTCGAAGAGGACTCTGCCACCGAGTGAGGCATTGTCGGTGAGTTTGTTGTGTAGGTAAGCAGTTGGCAGATCCTGAGTTAATCTGCAATTTGCTTGGAATTGAGAGAAGATGTTTTTCACTTCAAATGTGCGCAGAAGTCAAGAGTTGATATAAGTCGACAAATTTGCCACTTGCAGGATACGTAGGTTAGGCAATGCAAGCCACGTAGACCGCGGACTGTGGCCACAGCCACACTCGTTGGTATGCATGCATTGGGTGCCCTGCGGGATGGCCTAGGGTGTTGTACGTGGCGCCGTTCGAAGAATTTTGTTCCTCCAATGAGGCTGCACACTTGCTAGCGGGCGGGCTTGTCAACCTCTCGTTAGTTGAGCTCCCCTGAGAAGGCCTGAACGTTGTTTCAACAGAGCCCTGCAGGTATTTCAGCCACTCAGGTTTGGAAGCGTACAGCGGCACTGCGGATAAATTTTGAGGCTTTCCGACCGGTCAACATGGCCGCAGTTATATGTAATCGACATTCACTTCTTTCGCATTTCATTCGAAGCATTCAAGATATCTATACGCGCGTCAGCCCAACCGACGAAGACTTCTACGAAAATCATCAGCATACCGTTCGATGTTGGGCATCAAATGCCTCTTGCTCCCAGATTTTGCAGGCTTGCATATCGGGTGATACGCCGCAACCCCTTCCCCTCTCTGGATACCTGAGTGTCAATGTTACTTTTTGCTGACCGGTGAGCACTCTGATATATGCAGAAACATCAGTACCCAAACGACTGCATGCCCCATAATTGTATGTTAGTAAATTTTTCGCAGATGATACTTTTAGAAGTATCTTCTTTTGCCGATAGATCTTGGTACGAAGAATTTCTTCTGGTTCGACAGTGAATCCTTGCTTTTGCGTTGATAGGAAAATAAATGTATCGAGTACCTGCCTTGTCTCACCGTCAACCTGTCTCAAACGTGAAACAAAGAGTGCTACCCCGTGTTTCAAGTGAGCCAGACTCCATCAGCTCGGGCTCTGCGCAACAGCCTTGTGATCGAGTACGCTGGTGAGGCCGCGGCCAGCTCAGTAGGCGTGAGGCATTCGTGTCCCTTTTTAACAGCAGCGACAACAGAGTCGCGCCTCGTCAGCTCCACAGATTCGCCTCATCAGCTTCACCCAGGAAAATGTGATGATACGTTCAAGCCATTTGAGCGGCGACGCGTGGGAGCGTGGTGTCGTTGAAACGTGTACCTATCGCTTCCGAACCGGGAAAGGCGCGGAGGCCTCAGGCGGGGAAGAGCACGCAATCTCCGCAATCGCCGACGTCACCGGCAACCCGTTACAGCGGGACGTCAGGCATCCAAGCTCAAGCTCAGCTCAAGCTTACCTACCACATCACCTTTCGACCTCGACCTCGACCTCATCCCTTCCAACTCCAGGACTCTATTTTTGTCCACGCACACAATGGAAACAGCACTGAAAACCTTCTTCTCGTCGCCCCGCTTCGCCGTCGCAGGCGCAAGCTCCGACCCCACCAAGTTCGGACACAAAGGTACACCCCACCCTACGCACCTGCTGCACCTGCTACACCACACCCCGCTACAAACAGAACTGACAGCTCCCAGTATTCACCTGGTACCTAACGCACTCCCTGCCCGTCACGCCCCTCAACCCGCGCTCCCAAAGCATCAGCGTCCTCACAACCGCCTACCCCACCATGCCCTCGCCAAAAGCCCTCCTCACCCCGACTGAGACCTCGCTGAGCGTGATCACGCCGCCGGCCGTGACGCGCGAGCTGCTGAAAGAGGCTAAAGAGGCGGGAGTGCCGGCGGTGTGGTTGCAGCCCGGGAGCTTTGACGACGAGGGCTTGGCTTATGCCCAGCGCGAGTTCAAGGCGGCGATTGCGGGGGATTTGGGCGGCGGTGGGAGGGGCGGCGAGGGCTGGTGTGTACTTGTGGATGGAGAGAGGGGGCTGAAGACGGCGGGGCGGGAGTGGGAGGCGGCGAGGTTGTAGGTAGTGGACTGTTGGGGGCGTTGTAATGCCGCTAAAATCGTCCAACAGCGCTTCAGCTGTGTGGAGTCAAGGCGCGGTCCAGGTCGAGAACGAAAACGATTGAGAGCGTCAGGAACATAGGCGAAAGATAACATGATAACAAAATGAATGAACGAGGACATCAAAACTGCGTCTATAAGCATGATTGATGCTAGAAGCTTCAGTGGCTCTTACAACCACGACAAACAACACCATACAAGCCAGCTAATTACATTCACCATAATCGTCACAATTTCATGTATATTCGTGGTGACAAACTTGTTGACCTTCGACGTCTCTGTTGACAACTGTTGCAACCAATAACATCAGCTTCATATACAAGTGTTATAACGAGCCACATAATAACAGTGTAGCCATGAGAGCTTTTACGCACGCTCCGTCGAATAAACAGCACCGGTGCGTGCAACTACTTAACACAACACCCACCATCATGTATAGCTCAGAGATACGTACTACAAACTACAAAAAGCAACTGAAAGCATGGTTTAAGAAGAAAAAGTAGGCGCACACACATTTAAATACATGTTGAAAAAAATTTATACCTTACTGCGGCGCACAAAAAGAGTTCGGCCTTACAAGAAGGCCTACATCTCTATCCGTTTCCAACCTCAAACCCCCTCGTCCCTTTATTATATTATATTACTATTTTTTATAAGCTATTTTCCTGGTTAGTAGTTTTATTATTATTATATTATTATTGTTATAATTGTCGTGCTGGGATTCGAGCTCGGGATGTTGTTTGTAGTATCGTGATGTCGTTCAGACTGGCTGGTCTTTAATTAAGCCACACAGCTCTCGGTGGGTTGCAGAGGTGTTCGTTTCAGTGCATTATATAAGGGGGGTTGGCCTTCTGCGGGGACTGAAGGTGAGTGTGAGCTGCTGGGTTTTGGTGTCTGAAAGATGGTGTTGTCTTTGCGGCGCTCAGTGTTTCGTCTTCACTTCCGGAGCCTTGGGTCAATCGGAAGACCTTCTGAATCTTTGAGGCGTGGGAAAACAGTACGCGGTAGATAGCCTTTGCAACGAAGCGCTCAACCGTAGGCCTGTTTCACTATTTGCTCATCGCGCCGGCCAAACATCATTGTCCCATTGACGTCTAGCGGGTGATAGAAGACTTGGCAAAGGGATTCCGTCGGTGGTATGCTTAAACATGGCTCGCGGCGTGTAACGATTGGTCCGGTATTCTGCTAGGATGTGTCTCGCAGAGATGGCTAGGCTAGGTGTAGACCGGCTTGTCTTTACCTTCTATGCTCACAGAACATAAACATGCATCTTCTCAAGGAGCAAGGGCAATATGTCAATATGACAGAATGTGTTGAAGCATTGAGGTGTTCCAAGGATAGGGTAGAGGCACGGCTGCAGGAGTCAAATATGGTCATTTACTGAAAAGTCCAAGCAGATCAACAATTTTCTGGGACTGAGAGTTTCGGATGTCAATGGCCAGGTAGATCCCAGATATCCGAGGTGGTAACTGTTTTCAAATGGGCAGAGATTTTGGAGCACCAAGATTGCTTCGCCAATCAGGCTGCCACGGATCTCCACAACTGCCATCGCAAGGGTTGCGAACAGCTTCCAGAGGGGTCGTAGCAATGGTACACCGTGTCGACTTCGGAGTGACCGGAAATGGGGCTTCGGGGCCGATCCTTGAAGGACGTAAGGTTCGACGAAGAGTGGGATGAGTTGACATGTCGTCTCGCAAAATTGGATGGATGTGGGTCGGGCCGGGTCGTCCCGCAGGGGAGCTAGGTAGGTAGCGCGTCCCGCTCCGTGCGCACTTCGCTTGTCGATCCAACCTCAACACCACACTGCATCCACACACGCAGGGGTTCCCGGCCCCCGGCTGGAAAATTTTATTGACTCGAGTATTGACTCTCCCTTCGATATAATTCTCATTAGATGTCTCTCATCGCAATTTCACGCTTCCCAGTACCCATCGCCTTCCCTGCACCTGTACCACTAAACTGCCTCTGCCTCCCTTTCTCAAGCATGTTTGCACGTTGGCACTACATCTACGGGCTGGAGGAGCTCTGTCGGAGGGTTGAGCATTCCGGGTTGGCCAGTGTCGAGTAGATTCTTCTGTACACGGAGGTGGATTGATATTCTGGTTGAAGTTGACTCCTATTATGGAGTACTACCACATTAGCGTCGATAGAAGATGCTAAAGTTTGCCACAAGACACCCACGAAGTCCTTTGAAAACCTACTCAGATGTGAAAGTGGATTCTCGAGCGTCCTCTAGAGAGGCAGGCGCGTGGCTTCTTACACTCTGGCATGACCTACACTTCACAGTTACGCTTCATCAGAAGTCCGTTCATGACTCAAACCTCTACTATCTAATCTTCCAGCGACCTTCCTTCACGAACACTTTCACCCTTCAACACCAGCTTGGCTCCGATGTCGCAGACGCCATATATGCTTCCACCCATACACTTATCCTACCACCATCTTTTACTCAATCCTTCAGCAATGATGGACATTGAAGACGAAAAGAAGGACAAGACCACCAAGTCTGTCGAAAAAGTGATGCATCGGAGGCATGGAGGTGAAGGGCAAGGAGTCACCGGCCAAAACGAAAACAAGGACATTAAACATAATGGCGTCGCCTCCACCAAGCTTAATATGACCACACACCAAAACTCACCAGCAAAGACTAACATCAAACAAGAACCCAAGAACAGCACCACCAAAGCTGTCGATATTGGCAAGGGCCAGGAACGCGAAAGTGAAGGCAGGAATCTTGGACATGAAAACGCCGAGAGAAAGGCACACAAGGACTTCATAAGCAACGTCACCACCACCAAGTCTAAAGCAACCTCACAGCAAGCCCCTCCAGCAAAAGACATCATCGAAAAAGAATCGATGGATACTACCATCGACATTGAGATGGGCGAAGACCATCAAGGCGAAGGCAACAATCTCGAACACGCGAACACGGATAGACAACCACACGAGAGCCGCACCGACAGAACGAAACCTTCCGCCGCAACCCTCCCTCTCCGATCCACCTCCACGCCGCCGGCCAACTGCGCCGACATCCACGTCTATCCGCGCGCCAACTCCGTTCCTCCTTCACCCGCTCACGCTATGCTCTCATACAGCCCCAACGCCAGCGCCCTGCACCCATTCATCCGCGAGCTCCTCGCCCGGTACAACGACCCCAGCGCCCCCTTCGTCGACACCGAATACCCGTACATCCAGTTCGCGCTAACGCAGCTCCACGCCTGCGCGCCCAGCGTCGAGGACCTCATCGCGGCGCGTCGCCTCTGCATGTTCTTCCGCGGCAGGCAAACAAGCGTGTGGAGGATGGGGCCTCTACGAGAGTGGATCGAGGAGGTAGCGAGGAAAGAAGCAGACGGTCAGAGAGGAGATGGCGTGGCGGGTATGCCGAAGCTGGAGCAACTGACGGACGAGCAGGCCCAGGCGGATATCCGGCTTGCGGTGCAGAAGGTCGCCATGTACATGGCTGCTGAGCCGGAGTATGTGGGCGATGTGTGTGCTGAGCTTGGGATTAGGGTTGAGAGACTGAGTCCTGACCAGAGGATGGTGGGAGAGTTGCAAGACAACGACGGCAAGCAACATGGGTGGCAGGTATCTCAAGATGGTGCAGACGTGGCGGAGGCTGCCCAGGCGGTGGCTTACGACCACACGCAAGAGGAGAACCAGAGAGTGCCGAAGCGGTTCTTGGGCGAGCAGCAACGCGATGACGACACTGCCGCACCGCCTGCGAAGAAATTGCGCGCGGATGCGGACACTGACATGGACACAAACACAACAAGAAAGAAAATCGGCCCGGAGTGCATTCCTCTTGGTATGGAGCGGCTCATAGACTAACGCATAGCGAGACAAAGCACCACTGACAAGCCGGTATCACGAGCGAACAGAATCAGAGAAGCAGTAAACATTGATTAAAGGGCTTGTAGGCGGAGCGGTGGTTGAGTACCTCACTCAGACGGCGATGGTGGGAGGAGTTGTTACTGAGGGAGCCGCTAGGCAGGCGGGTAGCACGAGATCACGAGCGGTGTGGGCGAATGCATGGATGGATGAACGGAGCGGTCTGGTAGGGACAGAGAAGCATGCAGGTAGCACACTGAAAGCAGGCAGGGTCTCGGGAGCCTAGGCGCTGGGCTGCATTATCAACTACCTAAATAGAACATCATTAGCTAACAGCCGCGCTCAAATGCACACGAACACACATGGTGAAGCAGCACACAACCAAAGCAACCAAGCAGACATATCGTGAGCGCGCACTCAGCGCCGCCAAGACCAAAAACGAGAGACAACGCGCCGTTGAACTAATCCAGAGAGAAACAGAAACAGAAACAGAAACACAACGAGTCAAAAACAAAAAACCCACGGAGTGGTCCCCCTCCTGCGCAGCCCGCTCAAACGGCATCGCACGTCTCTCCACCGCCGGTGCTGTGTCCAAGACACAGCGCCCCGATCCGTCTCGCCCTGTCCCGCCGTCCGAATCAGTGCTTGCGGCCCACATAACGAACCGCGCACGCAAACGCGCTCACCTCACTCACTCGCTCGTTTGGTTTGCAAGTAAGTAGCCACACCGACAAGCAAACCGACGGCGATAGGCAAGGGAAAACGTCATCAGAGAGTAAGGCTGTGAGAGGAAGAAGGCAGGACGGCGGGGAGAGGAAAGGAAAGGCACATACACGACCGTCAAGCGTCACCGCCTCCGCAAGCAAACACACATATACAAACAAACAGACACGCAAACGACAGCGGCAAACGCCGCGTGCTTTCGTGCAGCAAGCTTGCCTGCATGCGAGCAAGCGAGCTTGCATGTACGCATGTACGCATGTACGTACGCACGTACGTATATGTACACTACCGCTACCACACACACACGCGCGCGCCAGCCTAGCCTAGCCTAGCCCGATCCAGCACGTCGCCATTCAACATTTGACATCTGACATCTGACATCTGGTACCTCATCCCATCTGACAAGCTCCGGCCCGCGCAAACGGACACACAAACGGACGGTAGGTAGGTAGGTACCAACGAGGACCTACCGTGCAACAACAACCCGACAATACCTAGCAGCCTGGCAGACACGCACTTCGTTCGTCATCCATCGCGCCCTCAGACCTAACCCACACCCCAAACCCAGCGTACAACCCACTGCCCGCCGTCTCGGCCACAGCCCACAGCTCACACCAGTGCGCCTAGACACGGCTCTAGGACGTGCTGTACTGTAGATAACGCAGCCCAGCCCAGCCCTTGTACCACTGACCCGCACCAGCCCGTCCGTGCGTGCGTCAGAGCGCGAACGTCACACCGCGCTGCACCGCGCTGCAGGCTTGCAACAGAGAGGGCGAGTGGGGCCGTAGGGCTGCGCTGCAGGTGTGACGCGACGACACGACACGACACGACACAGCTCGGTTTGGTTTGACGTGACAAAACAGACGACTCAGAAACGACTCAGACTGGGGTGGTGGTGGGTTCGGGTTTGGGTTTGGCGGTGTTTGGTGTGTGTGGTGGACGGGTGGATGGGGGGATATGGGGGTTGAGGAGGAAATGGAAATGGAAATGGAAAGGGAAGGGGAAGGGTAAAGACTAAAGATGGAGGGTTGTGGTTTTGCACAACAGTACGTCATAGCAAGCAAGCAAGCAAACTAGGCATCATCAGAGACTAAGTGCGATGAGAGAGAGAGGAGTGAAGAATGCCATTTCTGTCCGCCCGAAGATAAGACTGCTTTTCGTGGGAGAAGGGACGAGGCGCGCGAAGCTAGATGCTACTACAGGGGTACAGGTGACAAGGCGCGCGCGCGAACAACAGGAGAAGAAGGAAGAGGACGAGAACCGAGGAATTTTCCTAGCGTACAATATTGGCACTGTGGAGAGAGGCAGTGGTAGTCGTAGTTGTCGTCGTCGTCATAGCCGTCATCGCTGCTCTCTGCCCTGAATGAGAAGAGCTGAGTCTTCACAGGAAGAAAGAGAGGAGAGAGCGAGTGAGAGAGAGACTGACTGACTGACTGACTGCTGGAGGGATGGGAGGGAGGAAGAAAGGGGAGACAACAGACAGGGGGGAAGGGGTAACAATGCATCGACGATGTATGGGAGAGGAGGTGTGAATAGAGGGAGGTAAGCGCCGTTGAAGAAACAATAGAAAAAAAACCCCTTGGTACTGTGCCTGTGCCGTAACATGCCCCATTCTTCTGCGCCGGTGTGTGCCCGCTTTCCGTTTAAGCATTCCCATGTGACAGAGTAGGAAAGAAAGAAAGAATGGTCAGGAACAACAAGTACGCGGCGCCGCGAGAGCGCGCTGTGAAGAGAAGAGAAAGAACAAGAGGAAAAGAGACTGGCTTCTCGCCGGAGACCACGGCGTCGCGAGGGCCGGGTTGGAGAAAGCCAGTTTTTGGCGTCTGAGCTCTGGCAGGCCCCGTTCGTTGGAGCCGGGGGACCACAGACAGCGGCGAGACGACGACCAAGGCCGTCGAAGGAGGTGGTGCCGTGTCAACGCGGAGGCGGACGACGATCCCGAGCAGCGGCAGTTAGGTTGACGGGGCCGGACTACCAGCCGCCGCGCTGCGGCGTGCCGCAGAGTCTCTGCATGGCGACCTCGGCGGCGTCCTCCTTGGCCTTTTCGACGTACTGGCCATCGTACCAGAACCGCGCGGGGACGCTCATGTTGCCGATGTGGACGCTGCTGGACCAGGCTGTGCGGCCGCCTGCCAACCAACGAAAAAAAAAACGACCCGTCAGCTTGGCTCTCGTGGGAAAGAAGAAAGAAGGGAAAGCGGTGAATGTTGTGTCTATGTGTCTATGTGCATTTGGGGAAGCTTGTTCCGACGACGGGGTGCGCCAGGTGGGAAAAAGGGTAAAATGCCCAAAAATATGATCTGTGTGGGAAGCAAGGGGGCCGTGTGCAAGCGAAGGAGAAAGCCCCGAAAGGGAAGAGACACACGACTCAAACTCACCTCGTCGGTCAGAGAACTCCTTGTAGACTGGTGGGGGGTAGGAGATGGCCCTGCAGTAGTCTGGGAGGAGTCAGTGCCAGGGCAGCAGGTAATCAGTGGGGAATAAAAGCAGGTACCTTGGAGCTTCTCCTGCCACGAGTTGGGACGGCCGGCCATTGTGAAGGTGGTGATGATTCGGCTTGTGGGGGCGATGTGAGGGCTTGGATGGGGAGATCAATTGTGGATTTCGAGCAAAGAGCAAGAGCAAGAGGGAGGCCTACTTATACGCAATTGGAAAAGACGCGTCTCGCAGTGGTTTGCCGGGGGGTCATGGGACGGTGTGTTCAACGCAGCTTGACTTGGCCGTTTGGTATCCTATTGAGGGCGAACGCATCTCTGGGGATTTGGAAGGGACCCAGGAGGGTGGTATTGAGTGGATCGGACCGCGGAGTGGGCGACGAGAGGGCGCTTTGCCAACGCAACGCACCTGACGCGGGATGGCTGAGTGCAGTCAGCAAGGAGGGAGGACGCGACTACGTGTGTGAGCTGGCCCGTAGCGACGTGTCTCCGCTTGCTGGATGATGCAAGTCATGCAGCCTCGCGGATCCCGCTTCCCAGAACTTTCGCGTGGCCCGCTCGCCCAACAGAGCCGCACGGCCGCCGGCTTCCTACGAGATGTTACGCAGCGTAATTGTTTCATTTGCGTCTATCGGCGTTACAACAAAGGCCTTCCCAATTCCAAACGCCTGCCTGAATGAAGCAAACTTCCTTCCATGCTGATGCCCGTCCGTTTGTGTTCATGAATATAAGGAAAAATATCGAATCAATTAAATTTCACCCCGTCTCGTCCGACGCCCGTCGCAGAGGCGTTGGCCCCCGGAGCGACGTGCTACCGCGCGTCGTACGGTGGAACACCTCGTCAATCAGACGCTTGGGGCCGACGTAATCCATGTTCAGCTTGAAGGACCCGCTCCTCGACAGCGGTATGTGGATGTGCGTCGTCTGCTTCGAGTGGAAATGGTTCTTGATGCTGTCATCCGCAAGAGCCACCACGCCCGTCGCCACAACCACGCTGCAACATCGTTTGTTAGCACACTGCACGCAAACGCCGCCGGGGTGGTGCACTTACTCGGAAAGGTCCGACACTCCCTCCAGGATCGAACTGTCACTGATCCACATGGAACAAGGGGGGATCCAGCCGCCCTTTGCCGCCTCCTCCCGCGTTTGCGCCTTGCTCAGCGCAACGGGCACAATATGAGCGACCGCTTTTCCGTCGTCCGTCCGGGTGAGGTGGTAGGCAATCCGCGTCGCGTCGCCCTCCTTTTGGCAAACCCGTTTCCATGCATACCCCACTCCCCAGTACTCAAACTCGTACCTCTTTTTCGACTTGGCGCCGCGGCGCTTGACATCGACGTGCGCGTAGTTGGAAAACTCCAACTTCATCGTGTTCGTCGGTATCAGCTTGGCCTTGCGCGACTGCCCAGCCGACTTTGGCCGTCCCTCGGCAGATCCGCCCGCGACAATCGAGCCGTACCCGGAGTCTTGGCGCCTGAGGCCCGAGTTGGAGTCTTTGCGCTCGGGCTTGTGGCGGAACGTCGCGATGGCGCTGCTAAACGACCGCTGAAGAGCAGGGCGCTCGGACGGCGGTTTCTGATACTTGCGGATCGAGTGACACACTTCGCGACCCGAATCCCTGCAATATCGCCGAAGTGAGAAGTCCCGGCTCTTGAGATCATGCATGCGGAGGTGGAACAACGTCATGGCCTGCTTTCCGCGCCTCGTCTCAACTTGGGCGTCTATCCTTAGATTCATGTTTCCGTCTATCGTCGCATCATCGTGACGTATCGACAGCTTTTGCATCGAGGGGAAGAGTTCAGCAAAGTCCCGGGGTGTAGCGGGGATGGCATCTGAGGGGAAGGTTTCGCGCCTGTGCTCGGGGACCTCATAGGGAGGATAGTCGTCGTCGTCGTCTTCCTCCTCTTCCAGATCGTCCTCCTCGTCAGACGTCGAAGCATAAGTGTCGACTGAATCGACCGAAGAGCGAGACTCGGAGACGGCCGAAGCGTTGTAGTATCGCCCTCTGGTCCCCTCGACGCGTCCGTAGCAGGTGCCATACTGCGGCATTGGTGGTCTTGCGGCCTGGACGGCGAGCGCCACGTGCCTTGCGTTGTAGGACTCGTTGCTGTCGCTGCCTTCGCTGTGGCGGGAGCTAGTGCTACTGGTCGAGTCGACCTCGCGCCAGTGAACGTTGTTGTGGTGGGGGGCCATGATTGTTTTGGAGAGAAAAACCAGAAAAAGATTAAAGTAGTAGTAGTAGAGTCGGTATGGTGGGTAGTATTAAAGGGTAGGTGTCGCACACATGTAGCCACAAGATTAGTCGTCGTCGAGCGTGGCAAGAGGTCAGCGTTCCGGGTCGCGCCGGGGGCGAGGGAGGGTGGTGTTTTTGTACGTGGTAAGGGGATGTGTTGAGGTTGGCGTGGCAGGTGATCGCGGGAGCGGCGTGGTGGCAGCAGTTATTGTACTGGCGCTGGCCGCATGCACTGTGCAGCCGAGGGGTCGTTCGACTGATGATCGATCCATGCATGACCGACACGACCCATGAAGAAGCGGAAGCGCCAGAGGGTGCCTAGCACGACGCCTGCACTGCCCTGCAAGCACCCAGCCACCAGAGGGCTCCGATGAGAGGCTCGATCCCATGCTCACGCTACCCTCCTTGTCCGTTTTGTCCCGCGCCTGTCTGTCCGCCCGCTCGCCCGTCCGCCCTACATACCATAGGTACCTTTTTTTTCCCTTCACTCTTTCGCCCCGGCGAGGCGGCCAAAGTGCGAGGGCAATACGACACGATACGACATTTGTGATGGGTGGAGCGGGTCCAGAGGCCTTTTCGGTGGGGCCTGGCCTTGGCCGATCCCCGCCGCCCAAGCGCTCAGACTCTGCGCATCCCGTCACTCCGTCTGCCGCTGCTGGCGCATCATCCCACACTCCATGCCCATCGCGGATAGCTTCCGTCACGGCTTGAATCCTCCCACGTGCTAACCAGCGCCGTCGCCCAAGCCCTTTGTGCCTCTCCTGACGGCGCTTGCGTCGAGAGAAGGGGAGGGGGTACGTCACTTTTGCCGGCGTCGTACAGCTGCAACAAATTTCTTGTCGGTGCCATGGTTGCTGACGGTAGCGGTGTGCCTCCTTGTCCCTCTGGCCTCTCTCGGTCAATATTGTCGCGCAATTCACCCCCCCCCCCCCCGCCAATCTCCCCCGGCGATCGTCAATGACAAACTCAACGGATCCCCAGCATTGGTGCCCGACTTGTCCTGATGGATGCTCGGCCCGCAAACAACATCTTTCGCAGGGCTGAGGAAAAAAGGCCTTCCCCACGCTCACACGAGTCGCATGCAGTGAGACTACTTCCGCATTTGCATCGCTTCCCTTTGCGCGTCAGCTGACGGGCCTTGGGGCCTTTTTTTTTTTTTTTTTTTTTACACCTATGCCAGACAGTCTGTCACCTCATTTCACTTCATCTCCAAACGTCACTGTGCTTGATATTATTCATTAACCGACTTCCCAATCCGCTTCTCGCAATTTCCCTCGCCGTCGACCGCTGCAGCCAATGGGACATCCAAACGTGTTGACGTTCCTTGGTACTCAATCCCACGGAACCACTCGGTCCAGCAAGATGGAATCTCCAACCGCAACTCTACGTCAACCTTATCGCGACAACACCTTGTAGGCGGAGGCTATGTAGGTACTCGGTCCCGTTAGCGAATAAAGTGATCGACTTTCCCGCACCAATGTTCCTTGCAAATCCACGAGTCTGTGGCCAACACGCGGCATGGCGCGCATGATTGGCAGGGGAACATGCTTATATGCCCGCCGGATGGAGCATCCACTGCAGGCGACGCATCGCTAGAACAAAAGTCGTCCTCCGCCTGGGACAAATGGCGGTCGCGCAACGAGTTATCTTCCCCGATTCGCCGGGACTCGCCCCAGAGATCTCCCCGATAGCATGGTTCTCCGACAGCCTGCAGCACAGCCGCCCTTGGGGTCGGGGTTGGTCTTGCAGTTCGTATGGTCCAGCCCGCTTGGCGTGAGGAGTCATGGCATGTGAGCGACATTTGCGGCTCCTCGATCGGGAAACTCCCTCGGTGTTGTTGTTCTCGATAAAGTGGTGATGGTCATCGTCACCCTCGAACCTGGTATACCGCTCCGCCACTGCCCATTTGCGCTGACAGATATGCAAGCTCTCAAGCCGAACCAAGATACCGCCCCTCTCCACTTTTGCCTGGGACGTTTGCTGCGCCTTCAAGGCAGCAATGAGATGCCGGCCAGGGACGATACGTGTCTCTTGCGGAGACACTAAAGCAACGAGGCGTCATGATAGCCTCAATGAGGCGGCGCATCTCAAGGCGACAGCAGCACTGCGACGTAATTGCCAACAGACCGTTTCCCCGTTCCGCACGAACGCCTTTGGCGTGCAGCTTACCCATACAGCCGCAACGAACAGGAATGCTTCCTTCAGAAGACCGTTAGGGGCCTAGAAAGCCTTGTGTCCACCGTCCGCCGCCGGACGCAGCCGACGTTGGGCAGCATTAATGCGGTGGCAGGGGCCTGAGGCCCTTGTCAGCAAGACGGTAGAAGGAATTGAGCCTGAATGGCCCGGCTCAAGGTGGGATGACCTGGGGTACAGGATGTTGGGTGACTTTCACCAGCGAATGGGGGGATATCCAGATCTTACTTTTGCTTGCTCAGCACATTCTACACACCTTTTCGATGCCTTTTTTACTTTTGCACTTTCGAAAAACCGTGTGCTGTCTCCATGCGGATGCGGATAAGCAGTATGCGTGCTTACGACAACAGCTAGCTCACTTCGATCCATAGATTCGTCCTACCCAGTTCACTGCGGCTGTAACAGACAGCTTCATCGAAGTATCGCCCATCTTCCAGACGTTTCATCCGTCTTCTTCTGCGACGGCAACACTCATACTTGTGCCAATTGGCCCCACCAACTCGACTAGGTAGCCTTGGAGCATCATGCGATTCGGGTCTCCATTACTGACAGGTAGGATTTTCCTCTCTTCTGTGAGTTTTCCCTGTTTGGTTTCCTTAATGCAAAAGTGTGCATACTTGTACGACAAGCGGGCTATCGCGTGGACATGACTGCCTCCTGGTGTAACAGACACTGGCCTATAGGGGCGGACTGGCTGCCTATTGGAGTGGAAGGGTAGCAGCACTCGAAATGGATATGGCTACCTGACCATGCGTACGGAGATCGCATTCACCATCGTCGTCATTGTCGTCATGATCATCACGAGCAGCATCATGACCTGCAGTCTCGCTTCCTATCATCTGGATCATCGCAACGGGTGCGCCAAAGAGTAGGGATCCGAACAAACACCCCCCACTCGAATAAGATGACAGACTAAAAGCTGACTGGGCGGGTTCCAGATCGCATCAGATAGCTAGCGCTCAGGCAGGCCGTCTCCGCGTCAAAGTAGGCAAGCGGCATGAAGACCACTCCGTCACGTCGTCATTCAGAGATCCGGTACTTCCACACTCCTCACTAAGCAGCAGCTCCCCCACGTTCTGTCTTAACAGCCTTACGGGCTGCTTACGCCCGCTCGTCTACCGTCTGCATCCGCCTCGGCGCGGATGTTCCCCCCCACGCACGCCACACCCGACCTTGTGTGATGCGATCGAAGCAAGCGCGGAACATTCGAAAGATCAGCGCGCCTATCAGTCCGCAGATGGGATAAGATCGTTAGGGCTCGGGAAGAGCACAAACGGGCGCCGACGGGGTTGGGAAGCCGACTCCGTGAGATGCGCGCCGCCCCGTGCGCCACCCACGCCACGATGCACAACCAACACCACGGCCTTCGAGGTGGCAAGCTCTGCCATGTCGGATGCGGGCCTGTTGGAGTCAAACGTGGCTTAGGGCGGTGGCGCTGTGCCCTACTATTGCACAGCCGACATGGGCAGATCTGAATATGGAGCTGATGTGTCGAGTGTGGATGCAGACAGCAGGCGAAGTGGCAGTCCCCCTGAGTAGACGCATGTGTAAGGGGCAAACCAGCTGAACAGGCGCATCACACTCGCCAGCAGCTGCAAAAAGGCGCTGGGGAGGAGTGGGGTGACGCATTGCGCGCAGAGGCCGGCGGGCGTGAGGGCGAGAGCAACGCTGCTGCTACTGAGCCGAGTCCACGGCAACAAGGCGCCGCCGCCGCCCCTCTCGGCTCCACGAGGCAACAGCGCAACGAAGCCGGCTGCCCAGAGCACCGCCGTGCCCCGGACCGCCACGCCAGACAACACTCTCACCGGCTTCACGCCACACCCACACACGCAGACGCCGAGGGGCTCGTCGAGCGGCACGAGCGCGCTTCCGACGCAGGGCGGCCCGCTCTCCGCCCGCATTGCTGTCGCCAACGCCCAGCAGCGGAAGACGGCTCGAAGGAGAAAATGATGGTCGCGAAAAAGAGGGAAAAAACCACAAACCCACATGGCGGCTGGCTGGCTTTCACCGGACCGACGCGCCGATCGCGGAAGAGAGGTGCCGCCCATGGTATGGTAGACATCCACACCGGTCACGGGCGGCCGACACAGACACGGACACACACCCAACCTCCTCTGACAGAGATGGGACCACGATGGTGATGTCGTGCCTCGGGGGTGGGCGCTGCCGTGGCACCGGGAGGATGGGGCGATGTGGTCCCGCGGAAGTGGTGTCTGAGGGGTGTGCCGCCTCTAAGTTTAGCGCGCTCGTTTCGATGGCGTTTCAATGCATAAGACGGGCAATAACGTTTCACCACGGCGGGCAGGTGATTTTTTTGCGAGCGAGCGAAAGAGAGATGTCGCGTGGAGGCCCCACGACTGACGGCGAAAGGACAACAGTTGGCAAAAGAGCCAAAGACAGACCAGTCGCAGCGCCTTTTCAGGACAGAGGCCGTGAGCCAATGGAACGGGTTGTCGCTGGCTTGGCGTATCGCGGGCGGCGCTGCGGCGGGGCTATTTGATTGGCCAGCGAGCTGCGGGCGGCCGCGATGGGCGCCAGGATGGTGAAACGCCCCCGTTTCGAAACGGACACACCCGCGCGATAGTTAAAGCTCGGGGGGGTTCCTGGTTAGCTATCTATTCTTGTTCCTGCCTGTTTCTCTCTCTCTATTGCTGCTGCTGCTGTCTGTCTACTACGCAGCTGGTCTGCTTGCTTGCTTGCATTTTAGTAATTCTTCTTTTTCTTCAATTTTTTTTTATTAATCTTTCAATCATGCTTGCTTTCGACAACAGCCCGGCCAAGCGCCGTTCCAGCTACGGCTGCCTCCCGCCCGTCGTCGAGCACGACTTCTTCGCCGCGCTGCACGCACATGTCGCCGCGGCCTCGTTGCAGGTCAACGTCGAGGAGAAGGCGTCGCCCGTCACGCCCGACATTTACCGCCACATCGACGCCATCAAGCACCTCGACGACGCCCTGATCATCGAGCTGCTCCGCAGCGCCCGCTTCTACAGTGAGTAGTGTTTACCTAGTCGAGCTTGGTCCACGCAATATAACTGACGTGGGTTTTGCAGCTAAAATCACCCCTGCTGCTGCTGCTACTACTACTATTCACACCCCCCACAGCCGCAAGGTCAGCGCAGAGGTCCCGGACCTGGTCTCGGATGATGGCTCGTCCTCGCCCGAGACGAGGCCGGCCCTCTCCACGCACAAGACCAGCCCCTCGGTACCGACGCTGAGGCTGTCGTCGCGGTCACGGCCGGGGATGCCGCAGCGGGCAGCGAGCGACGGGCAGGTGCTGCGCCGGGCGGCAGAGGAGAAGCCGCTGCCCGTGGCGCCGGCGGCGGCCGAGGGCGGCGCTGGCTGCTCCAAGACCGACGACTCGCAGCGGCCCAAGCTGTACGTGTGCACGTTCTGCGACGAGGCCTTCCGCACCAAGGCCTACTGGAAGACGCACGAGGAGGAGATGCACGAGCAGCCCAAGCGCTGGACTTGCCCGGATTGCTACCGCACGTTCCACGCGGAGAAGAAGTACCGGCGCCATCACGCCGAGAGCCACGGCTGCAAGCACTGCGCGCCGAGCCGGAAGCACCACCACCACAGCGACGGGCGCAAGACGGCGTCGTCATCATCAGGCTCGCAGTCCGCGTCCGCGCGCAAGTGCGCCGACCGCTCGGTCCTGCAACTGCACAAGAAAGCCGCGTACGGCTGCGGCTTCTGCGTAACGCTGCTGACGTCCTGGAGCGAGCGGTGCTCGCACGTAGCGGCGCACTTCGAGCGCGGCCGCCCCCGCGCCGACTGGAGCACGTCCAACGTCGTCAAGAGCCTGATGCTGCAGCCGCAGCTGGCGGGCGCGTGGGAGGCGCTGCTGACGCGCGAGCACGGCCCGGACCGCGCGCACTGGCCGTGGTTTGGGTGGCGGCGGCGCGAGAGCCGCGAGCTGCTTCGCTCCATGGAGCAGCAGGGCATGGTGCGCGAGCGGGCGAAGGCGCTGGCAAAGGCCGCGTACGACTTGGGTCGCATCGAGGACGCGTGGATGCAGCAGCATCTGCTTGAGGAGGCGAAGCCGTCGTCTTCGTCGGGCTCGTCGGGCATGGGCATCACGGCGCAGCGCCTCGCCCAGCGCCAGCGCGAACTCGCTGCTGAAGACGGCGACGACGACGTTGATGCCGACGGTGACGAAACCCCCGTCCTCGCCGAGGCGGAGCGCGGCTTCGTCTTCCCGGCCGCCTCGTCCGTCTATCCCACCACCATGCCCCCGACGCCCCAAGCCCCGCCCCTGCCGCCCATGCCAGCACGGCACGCGCCGTCGGCATCTACGCCCGCGGCTGGTGCTGCTGCTGGTGCTCGTGCTGGTGCTCTTACGCCCTCCATGCGCTCGCACTCCTCAAACCATGTCACCCGCCAGCGCCCGCAGTTGCATCCCGCCATGCGCTCGCCGTCGTGCCCGCCGCACTTGCTGTCGCCGTTCCAACAACAACAGGAAAACTCCAACCACATCAACACCGAAGGCGCAAGCGCCGGCCACCGCCGCTCCGTCTCCCCCGCCACAAAAGACCTGCTCCGCCTCATCGACCAAGAATTCCCCTCCGGCACCTTCCTGGAGGGGTACGACCCGCTCGACTTCCGCACGCCGAAGCTCGGTGCCCCGCACGGGAGTCCCGCCTTGTCCGAGGCGCAGTTGACGCCGCAGCAAAGGGCGTATCGCGAGTTCTATGACCACATGCAACTGCAGGCGCAGGCGCCAGAGACGCCCCTCGTGCCCGCGCTCGAGGCGTATCCGGACTCGCCGGATTTGTCGGTCCAGCAAAAACCGCAGCGTGTCATGCCGCCGTCGGTAGCGGCGTTGCGGGCGCGGCTGGTCGCGGGCAGTATTAGTGGCAACACCTCCGCCAACGGCACTGCCCCTGCTGGTGCTGGTACTGGGGCTAGGAAAATGGCGCCCCGCGTCGAGGACCACCACAGCAGGGACAGAGACAGGGATATCGTGACGTTTGACCGGCCGGGCGCGTATGCGGCGTTTACGGCTACGGCTGAGGGGCCGGGCGGTGCTGTTCGGGAGAAGGAGGGGAGAGATGGGGGGAAGGATGAAGGGCAAGGGTTGGGGTTGAGGGGAATGGTGCGCAGGTGTGGTAGTGTTAGGGGGTGGGGGGGTAGAAGATAGCTGGGGTTTATATACCTAGGTTTGAGCGATATTTTATTGTGTGTATTTTTATGTGCTTGTTTGCTATGCGCTGGTGCTGTGTGGTTGTGTGTGAAGTTGTAGTGTCGTGTACGTATGGTATGGACTATCGGCCTGTCTAGTATATATATATAGTACGTGAAAACTATACAAACATAGACATCTACATCTACATTATATCTACGGAGATACATGCACATAAATACGTCTATTATAACTATAGTCTATATACCCAGGACCCAGTAAATACGCCATACCTACTTCGTCGTGCTAGCTTGGAATTTAAGCCCAGCTTCTGGTTCTAGAGGATAGTAATATAGAGATGTTTAAGTCGTGTTTTATTAGAGGTAGAGGTAGAGATGTTACGTATATTTTAAACCGCTAGTTGGAAAGGGCGGTTTAGAGGAGGGTTTAGGATTTAGGATTAGAAGGGGGAGAGAAGTAGGGTTTTTGTATAGTAGTTTGAGACTATAGGGTATAGTAAGTAGGAAGAAAGAGGTAGTAGAGCGGAGAAAGTAGAAAAAGAGACGACGGAAAGGTATAGTCTATATAAACTTAGCTGTATATACAGACGGGTATACTCTTATTAGATACGAAATACTACCGTAGTTATATAACCCTATCTATTCCATCCTAACACGCCCTTCCCTCTACTCTTCTACTATTACCTCTCCAAGAACAACTCGTCCGCACACAGCTAATCCACCACCGCCGCCACTACACCACACCACCACAGCACACCGCCCACTGCTATAACACCTCCTACTCCTACTCCTCCTTCCACCACCACGAACCCCACTCAAACGACCTACACGTCTTCCCCGATCTCCTCCTAGTTAACGTAGCAAAACACTGTACTGTGTAGGTTCTATATCCATATGCACAGAAGGCTTCAGTGATTAGCATGTGTGTAATATGTATGGTGCGTGTGGATGTATGTAGATGTTTTAACCCAAAGGAAGGACGTACGGCGAATGCATGTTGAGTGTTGAGAGGGGCGTGTTAGGGTTGCGCTTTGTGTGGGATGGTGGGTAGTGAGATGTAGCGTGTACCGCGTGCGTGCTAGTTGGAAGAGGCAGGAAGTGTAGGGTTTGTCTTAGCAGTAGCTCCTGGGAGGGGACAGGGTGTGCGTGGTAGTTCTAGGAGGTTGTGGCTTGCGGAGGAGCGAAGAGAATGTTGACGTGTTGACGTGTTGGAGATTCTTGCCACCAGAGAGAGTAGGTATCGTGGGCACTACCACCGCTCCATCTTTTCCGTCAAGTTAACACAGCTAACGCCGAAGAGACGGCAGTGACGAGAAGAAGAAGAAGAAGAAGAAGAAGAAGAAGGAAAGGCACTGAAACCACGCGCACACAGACACTAAGAGTAAGAAACCGAAGACCATACACCAGCGACGAGACGACCACGGACATAAAACCTACGCTCAAGACATTTTGGGAGTTGAGACAAATGAACAACCGACACCCCCTCTCCTGAGTCCTGCCTCTACAGCCTATAGGCTACGCCCTCATCCCCACATCCGCAGTCTACAGTCCCCTCCATCACCACCCACTCACCTCCCGCCACCCTACCCAACCCTACCCATCCCACAACCACAAGCATAATACCGCATGAGCTATTTCCCCCCACCCGCCCTTCATCCACCACAAAAACAAAACAAAACAAAACAAACAAGCAAACAACCCCCCTCCCCCGCCCTCTACCCTCACAATGCAAAGCCAAAGCCAACCAACAAGGCGGTAAAGCCCCAAGCTCATCAAGGGAGCAGGGCTCACATCCCGCATCCCGCGGGGCTGAGCAGCAGCAGCGGCGGCTCTAACTATAGGTAACTACTAGCTACGCACGCACTGTACGCTACACGCACGCCCGGGCGGCACAGCCGACAGGCACAGCCGACAGGCGCGGCTGGTGGTAGGTGCGTTCGTGGGCGGATGGGTTGGGTATGGCAAGACGACGACGACGACGGCGGCAGAGGCGGCGGTGAGAAGAATGAGCCGTTTTCTGGAAGCCGGTCAGGTCAGGCAGAGGACAAAGAGCGGGCAAGCGGGCGGGCGGGCGCGCTGGCGTGGTCCTCGGAGGCCGCCATCTCGTGCCTTCCATGTCCTTGCGCGATCTCATCCCTGATTCCTTGCCCTCCCTCCCGTCTACGTCTGGTCTGGCCTGCGGTCTGCGTACAGCACAAGACCTACACACACACGCAGGCCTCGCCGTAGGCACATACACCGCACGCACACGAGCGTGCGTTTCTAGAAGGTAGGTGAGTAGGTAGGTCGCAGACAGCTGCGCGGTGGCAGCTCTACCTAGAGGGCTCGAGCAGGCAGCACCGGCAGCAGCAGCGAGCGAGGCTCCGGCGAAGCCTGGTCGACGGGATGATGATGAGAGGGCCAGGGCGCAGAGATCGTGGCCTGCAGACACAAACACGAACGCACATGCACACGTACATACGAATACACAGCGGAGGTTTACAACGAGCGGGCCGCTGGGGGGCTTGGACTGTAGGTAGGTAAGGAGGAGGCGGAGCTTCGTGGAGCGTGTCAGGGTGTGCCTCGACGACCGCGATTGCGCTTCTGTCCGGGGCGGTGGGATGGGATGGGATGGGGAAGTGAGGAGAGAGGGGTGACGATGAGCACGCAATCAATCAATCAAGCAAGCAAGCAAGCAAGCAAGCACGCGCCCACGCAAGCAGCATAGCACAGTAAAAGGCGCACACGGCACCAGCGCCGCTGCTGCCTGCTCCTGCCGCCATGCGCGAGATATAGGCCAGATCGAGTCGAACAAACAAGCAGACGTGACCGGCTCGAGGCACTCCGCTACCTGGCTGCTGGGGAAGAGGGGAGAAGAGGCCAAGGGGAAGCTTTGGGCTTCTTCGTACGCAGCAGCAGTAGTAGCAGCCGCCGCGAGCATCGTGCTGCATCACCCTCGACTGGCTGGGCCGCTGGGCCGGCGGCACACTTACCAACAACAACTAGCACCGTCGCCGCTGCCGTGAAGGAGGTGTTCATGCACGGCGCGTGCGAGCGGTACCACCATCACCACCTCCACCAACTGACCTACCCGCCTTCCCCCCGCCGTGCTAAAGACGCCAGCCTGACGATTCCAAACGCCTCTGTGGATGGCGTGCTGGCCGCGCGGTGCCTGTGGCCAGAGAGCATCAGGCCAACCCGTTACGCGTCGTAGTCGTCGTCGTCTCGCTGCTGATGAGCAGCAGCCTGGCAGCACCCCCGCCGCCACTGCTTTCGTATTCAGGAAGCCACCGGCTAGCTCAGGGCGGCGACTTCTTTGTCTTCCCCGCATATGCGGGATTTGGAAAACACAGCGCCCGCTCTTTTCCTCCTCACCACGAGGCGTCAAGGCTGACCGGATGAGGCAAACGGCCCCTCCCACGACAGCGTGTTCGTATGACTTCTGATCGTCGCACGCTCTGGCCCAGCGCCATTTGCGGAGAAAGGCTCGATTCGAGAAGCCACCACAGCGCCTCGAGATGACAGGACCAGGGGGCCGTGATAGGGCTGTACAGCAGCGGGAAGGCGTGCCTTGGTCCGTCAGAAGCACAAGCTACTGCCGCCTTGGCACGGACCATGCGTTCGTCCTCAAGTTTCGTATGCTTGACGTAGCTGAAGAACAGGGGCTTGGTGGTGCTGGCTTTGCCTAGCCTGCCGGAGATGATGATTGTGGTGGTGGGGAGGGGGGTGCCGTGCGACCACCGCGGCGGGCAGTGCCCTCTTCGTTCCTGGACACCGCCGGCCTGACGGATATCAGCGTTTCGATACGTGCGCCCACCGGAGGTACTTGCGATCCATACGACGGATCTGCGAGCTCGTGAAGCCTTGTCAAGCCGCGGAAACCTGGCCGTACGCCGGAATTGCCTCTCTGGCGTCGCCCCGTCGCCCTATACCACGCATTTTTAGCACAGGGGTTCGGCGAAGCTTAGATGTTTGATCGCGCGGAAGATCGACGCTCGGAAGATGGCCCGTCCATCATGTGCCAGGCATCGCAGCGGCCTCTTTACTCCCTCTGGAACCTTTGGCCGAGGGCCAGGGAAGGTGTATAGCGGGAGCTGCGGAGCGTCTAGAGGTTGAGTAACGCTTGAGCGCCCTCTCGCCCCGGCCGGGAAGATCTGCGACCGGGTGAGAGATGGCATTGCTCGCGCTGTACAACTCGACCCTCTCGCTACCAGCCTTCCGGCGTGAGAAAGGAAAGCCACTCGTAGCAGTGAGCCACGTTGGGCGCAGATTCGCATCAGAGATTCCTTCCTTCGCAGATTGTTGCTCGCCGCTTGCTCCCCCAGCCCGAGCATTTGGAATTGCGTGGAGGGAATTGCTTGGACGCTCCTGGCCCTGCGCGACGCGCTGTTTTCTGCATCAGCTCACAAGACATCGAAACCGGGAAAGCGACATAGCCGGCGGGAGGGCTCTCGTGCTCCCCGTGGCGGGACCGCAGTGCTGGCGTGCAGGGCATGCTTGGATGGTTGACATGTGGTTTTGAGTTTTCGCCCCGTCGTACGGCGGGACATGGTGCGAGTACTGTTGAGACCGGATGCAGCTCGCCTCGGCCCTTTGCCGCAATCTTGTAGAAACGGCTCCCTCAACGGTTCTCGAGGCAACTTACGAGGCGGCTGTTTCAGACCCCCGGCGTATGCGCAATTTCCTCCAAGTCCAAGGCCTTCAGGCAAGTCACTGCAACGCTCCTCTCCCACACCGGCCGCCATTAGCCGCCAACGCAGCTCAAAACAGGATCAGGATCATGACAAATGCCGCCACCAGGCATTCTCGCGTGGAGATGCACGCTGTGGTCGTGATGACATGCCTTGATCGGAGGTCATGAGGACGCGAGGACGTTTCGATGCCAAACGGCCGACCAACCCGCGCCGGTCCCAAACTTCTTCTCTGGCCAAACAGCGGGGTATCGGGAGCTCCGAGACAGACGGCGCCTATCAGACTCGACCATAGAAATTGGGTCTTTCCCTTTGTCGCCTCATAGCGGCTGACACTTGTCTTTGAACTCGAGGCCGGCCCGTACCGCTGGGCTGGACGTTTTGCTCATCACGTCAGCCCCGCGAAGGAGAGGCCCAATGGCACCAGCAGCTTGGGGATCGCCGGGATGGCCCTGTACGACGCTGAGGTCACTAATCGGAGAATTGAGCTGGGCCAGCCTCATCGCCCCGCATCTGAGTGGCTCGATGGCCATGGCGCCTGAAACCGCAGCGACGGTCCTTTATTGTCCGGCCGCGAAATCATGTGGCCCGGGCATCATCAAAATTCGGAAGCAGGATGCAATAAACTCAAGGCCGCTGGCGGTAGGCTGCAGGCCGTATCCGCCCTTCCCTGCGTCTTAGCTGGGGGCATGCCAGGCTTAATGGGGTCAGCACCACGGAAAACTCGTCGATGCAGCTTAACCACCCGCTGCAGTCGCTGCCCCAACGGGGGGCGACTGTCAGTATCCGTGCTCTGGCCGCGACCGGATCCAGGCGGGCTCATGGCTCATGGTAGAAGGGGACCGGGCACATGGCAATCAGATGACGGACGGCATTCCAGACATTTAGTTGGGGCTGGGCAAGTCAGATTCCAGGGAGGTAGACTAGGCAAGGACGATTCGTTCGTTCCTGATCAGGCGGACGCCGCAACGTGTGCGTGCGGGGGGGCGCCATGCGGTCGGTCGGTCGGTCGGGTGCGAGGAGTGTGAGAGATCGAGTGCGAGAGATCGAGAGAGAGAACGTGACCGTGACCGTGACCGTGCGTGGCGTGGAGTGGCGGGGCGGGTGGAAGGAGAAGCAGCAGCAAGCAAGCAAGCAAGCAAGCTAGCATTCCAGCTGGCTGGCGGGTAAGAAAACAAAAAAAGGACTGATGATGGCAGCAGCAGCAAAGAGATGTGCGTTGTGGTCACGGAGGGCAAGTGGTGGCGGGGGTGAGGTCTGTCGGGGGCGCAGGCAGGCTCTAGCGGGCGCGCTCTTACCCCCCGAACACATGCGCCTATCTGCACGTCACAGCTCGACCTCTATCCTGGCTATTGGAGTCCCACTTCCCGCGCGCTTCGGGGCGGCGAGGGAATGCGATCGTCTCAAGCCGCTGCCCGGAGAATTGCCTGCTGCGTGAGATCTTAGGTGGAATGCAAAAGGCGGTGGCGCTTTTTCCTCTCGCTCGCCTCTCTCTTTACTTTTTTCCCTCTCTCTTTGGTGAAGCTGCTATAGACTTTGTGACAGGTAACGGCCTGCCACCTCCCCTCTTCCCTCCTCCTCCCTCGACCGCGCGGCAACCGGCCCACAAGGAAGCGGTGCAACGCCCAGTCAGCCCAGGCTTGGCTGGTCGCCGATACAGTGCTGACATGCACAGCCAATACTTTCCCTGCCGCGGATCACGCTGGGCCCGCCAGGATGACCTGCAGCAGCAGCTTTCTCACATGCATGGGGTTATTGTTAGGATCGGCCAGATGAAACAGCGCGCGGATTCGACGACGTTCCTGCGTCGAGATTTGGATTGCGGGCGCCGGCAACGACGATCCCTCCCGGCCGGCGCAAGGAATGCAAAGCTGCGTGAGCGAGAGACAATTCGAGAGCAGCCCCCGGGGCAAATCATTCCTCCCTGGCTTCGGAGACATAGATAGACCGCTTTAGGCCACATCCGTTGCTGCAGCCTGCCAATGCTACCGTGGTGGTGCTAGAGAATAGAAATGGTCTGAGCCTGGGCAATACCGTGGTCATCTTTTGGGGCTGAATCTGATCCATCATCACCTGGGTACATATTTTCTCCTTTGGGCCAAACCACCGAGCTAACCCTACTCTGTTCCTGTCTGTACTTTCCCTTTCACAATAGACACAAGCTCAAATCTGTCCCGATCACCACCTACCTTTTATTTTCCCCCGTGAGAAGAAAATTATTCTCTCGACAAAGCCTTTCCGGGTCTTGTGTGGCCGCGCGCTTCCCCGGTTCTCGTTCTTTCCCTATTCTCTCTCCCGTTCTCTCAACACACACACACTCTCACATTCACACTCCCGCCCACCCCCACCCACACACCACACTCCCTCGTTGTCGCGCGCGCACGCACGCACGCGCACTCTTCTCCGCACGCCTCTCGTCATCATCACTCGTCTCATCTCATCTTTCTCTCTCGTTCGCTCTCTCACTCTCTCTTTCTCACTCTCACTCTCACTCTCACTCTCAGTCCCACAACCACCTACGTCGACCAGTCGCACACATCAGCGGGGTCCCGTCACCGATATATCATTCATCTACCTGGAGTGAGTTGTGAGGCTCTCCCGGTGGAAGGGA